CATATTGAACTGCTGCATACGGTTCATTCTCAAAAGAGATACTTTTTATTCTTATTAGATCTCAGTCGAGATTTTTGTATAAAACACATAGTTATCAAAAGTTGCGCACAGCTATTTGATTTTTACTACAGCTATTCAACACTCACTGTAGCTATCTGATATTCACTGTATGTATTCACGGTATGCCATACCTACTTTCTCGCTTCTGTAGCAATTTAATTCTGTCACAGCTATCTAATGTTTACTGTAGCTATTTGAGTATTCATTGTAGCTATTCAATGTTCATTGTAGCTATTTGATATTCACTGTATGTATTCACGGTACGCCTTGCCTACTGTCTCGCTTACGTAGCAATTTAATTCTGTCACAGCCATCTAATGTTTACTGTAGCTATTTAACCTTTCAGTATAGCTATTTAATGTTTAGCGTATGCATTGAAAATATACTGTGTCTAATTAAATGTTTGTTTGTAGCTATTTAGTTTTCGCGCAGCTATTTAATGTTTGCTTTAGCTATTTGATTATTCAGTAAAGCTATTTAATCGTCAATGTAGCTATTTAATGTTTACTATATACATTGGAAGTATTCTATATGTTATTAATCTTTGTTGTAGCTATTGAATTATCACATAGTTATTTAATCTTTAATAGAGTTTCTTTTATCTTGAGTGTAGAGATTTAAATTTTACTCTCCTTCTTCGAATTCTGATATTTTTTTTTATCTATGTTGTAACTATTTGACGTTTGTAAATTTCACGGATAGTGAAAATATGCATATATTACCACGTTTGACAACTTCAAGATTAGTAAAATTCAATGATATATTGGGTGAATCTTTCATCATTTTTTCTAACATTTATAATGATTGGTTGAGAATGAAATTGATCGATTCAAATGGTTGTTTCGTGGAATTAGAAAAGATTTTTTTAGTGGCTTATTTGTTATATTTATTAGAAATGTTGAAGTTCATGTGAGTTCGGTAACACGAGAATGTTTTTTTATTGAATTGAGATCCAGTTCAATATATTATTGTTGCATTCAGAATCTTTGCAACGTATCGTATAGATCAATTTTTTTGTGTCAAGTAAGATTGCTATTGAATTATTGCGATGATGTGAACCTTTTTTTGGACAGTAGCGATAATTACCACCGATATTGAAAAAAAGTAGATTTTTGTTATATTTTCCAGGAATACATGTATAAATATATCCTTGGTGATGTGCATCAGATTTGATTATGTTTTCTATAAATGGTATGAATTTGGCTGCTGTTTCATGTTCAAAATTGTTATGATTATTTTTACAAATGCTAATAGTTGTTAAACTATTTGATTTATTGATAGGCGTGAATTTGTTTTGAAATATGCAGTAGTATTTCAGATGGTCGTTAATAGAATTGAGAACTTCAATCTTATTTTTGGTTGTTAATGCTGAAGTTCCTGATTCCGTAAAACTAAATTGATCTTGATTAGTATTGAAACTTAGTAATTGCAAGTATGAAATTGTTTTTATGTGTGAGATCACAGATTTTTCTAATGTTTGAAAATATGAACAATCAGATTTTTTTGAAAATGGATGATGAGTAGATTGAAGAAGAACATTAGTTTTTCCATGTTTAGCACAATCAAATAATCGAAATTGTTGATTTCTAGAATAAACATTAATATCGATCGCCAGAGTCCATTTATTTTGTCTATTTAGTACTAAAAGATGTGCAATTTCAGCTATATTAATTCTATTGTTAAATAGATAGCATTCGTTACAATGTCTACGTAGGACAGTGATATATGGTGAGATTAATAGAATCAAGTCGTCTATAGTGGTTTTATGAATTTTAAAGTCGATGTTAAAAGATGCACATTTATGTTGAATCATTGTTTGTAAGAGAAAATGTATGAATGTTTTAATAAAAATACCTAGAGTAATATTGTTTTCGAATAAGATAGTTGGATTGGCATGAATGAAATGATATGATATTTTTTGGGCATTGGATCTATTATGAAATGAGAAAAATGAAGTTGTTGGAATATATGTCCTTTATTTTGCATAGTATGATGTGGAAATAAAGGGAAGATGATTTTTTGTTTTTAGAACCTTGAAAATAGATTGTTTGATTGCACCTATTCAAATTTTTTCAACCTTCAAAAATATTCAAGTTTACATAGAATATTATTTGCAGTAGCTAGTAAAAGGTGTGACGAAAAAAATATTTCAGAAACTTACGCTTGTAAAACAAGAAATTCTTCTAAAGCAAGATCAATATGATTTTCATTTTGATAATGGGTATGATGAGTAAAGTTTAATAAATAATGAAATAGTTTTAGACAACAATTTGATCCAATATAATGATTTTGTATGTCGAGATTGTTATCTATATAATACTCAAAATCAATATATGCTTTAACAGGATTTGTTGCAACAATGATTTCATATAGATTACGATCAATGGTGGTTGAGTTTTTATATACAATTATCAATTCTTCCATAGTGAAATAGCAAAATTCTCGTCGTCTTTCATTTTTCTCGATAGCAATAAATATATAATCATTTGTATTAATATTTTTTGGCAAATTATCGAATAAATGAAAAATTTGATAGTTAAGAATTTTTGATGGAAAAAGACGATTTATTGTTTTAATGATAGTCATTATACTGAGCTTTATTTTTTTTTGTCTTAACCATATATAATTCGCGCAAAGTTTTTTTTAATTTATCGTAAATTTAGAAGTTATAATTAGCTGGGGGTAAAAAACAAAAAAAAAGAAAGAGGTGATTGAAAACTTGTTTTTTGCTGAATCGCACTTGGGATGTTTTTACATAGTTTTTTGTGTACTCAAAAAAGTTTTGGGGTTTCTCAAATGCCTGGTTTTGTTGCTAGTCAAAAGGACAATCGAAAGGTAAAAACCCGAACTCGATAGCTATTAATATTGGTGATTTATTAGGAGAATGCTGATGCCTGTATCTATCATATATCTCTTATAGATTCATGAGGTTCCTTACGATCGTAATCCCGCTAGATACAAGCGCAAATCCATTCAAAAATAACTCTTCTTACCCAGTTTTCCAAGCTAAACACGAATCTGAACTTGATTTCTGTGATTTCTAAAGATATTATATCACTCTAAGAGTAGAGTCAGTGGTCACCGGATATGGTCGCATACAGTGTGGTCCATGCTAACTTAGCACACCTGTATTTTCTTCTTGCAATTTAGTGACAAGGGATTATCTTGATGAGATCTATGTCTTATAGAAGAAGAAGAAAATGAATATACCTTTTCACGTTTTGAAGTAGACATAACACTCGGATTTAAATCCGAGGTTTTCGCATTTTTCATGAATATTAAATTAGTTAGAATCGAAAACAATAAGACTAATCAGTAAAATTTAGATTTTTATCATATTCATACGAGATTTCTTCGTATTTCAACCAATACACAAACCTACCATGAACTTAAATGTCAATGGCGCAAAGAACAACAAAAAATAGTTCATCTTTACTGATTTTTCACTGTCCTGGATGATGAGAACTATGCTAATAGGTATAGATAAGGTCTGTGAATTCGAAGTCATTTTTTAACTTCGATACAAGGCCATGATATTGGTACTCATTCATACTATACTTCTGCGTTATGAAAAAATTTTAGTAGAAAAGCATTTCGCACTTTGAAAATAGTTTTCTGTGGCGCATGCTATGATTCTTAAGTTTCGTAAACGACATAAATTATAGCTATATTCCCATGAGACAATCACAAACGAAATGAGAAGTAAAAATGTTTTTCACCAACTCGACAAACAGAATAATATAGATTTTTTTCTAATTGAACCTCATTGATAAAATGCGAGTAATTAAAAGAAAGAATATAGTTCAGGTTATTGAAATTACTACTTTACTTTAAGTTATTTTTATGGTGTAGGCAGTGCGAAAAGCTTTACTATGAGGTGTTAATTAGAATTTTTATAGTTGAATATTTTTTCATTTTTTCCTGCGAACATTGTATATATGCTTGTTGTGATTGAATTTTAATCATAACTTGCGACTTTAATATAGACGCGTGACTTTTTTTCTTTATTTGTTGCCTTGAACCTCGACGTTTTTTTGGATAAGATCATTTTCTTCTATGTCATATATGGCATCGATAACTTAATTAATTCTAATCTAAACTCGCCTTTTTATCAGTGTAGAAGTTTCACTGTTTTGATGTGTCGTAGATATTGTGCTCATAATGCTGATTTTTAGAATAATATTCATTAAGGACCCTATATGACTTAAGTGTGTGTATTAAATATATATATATATATATATATATAACATATCAACAGATAATAATGCATAACGCTGAATTGATTGATCTTTTTTTTTATTGACGACAACGAGCTTCAGAAATAGAATAAATTCGACTGTTATCACTTCTATACTGGAATAAAGAGGCAATATTTTTCTTATCACAAAGAAGAAGTGCGTGGAACATTAGTATATTTAACATGCCTACTTTATTCGCAATAGAATTTTTTTAAAATTAATATGCATAACAGAAATAGCTTTGATGCTCACTTGTTTTTTATTCAGATAAGCTCCAAAAAACGTCCGAGAAAGAATAACATTTATAAAAATGATGCCAAGTATTTTCCTCACTATCTGTATGTTTGAATGAAAAGGATTGAACAAAAGTTGCGTTGTTAATATAAATTTCAATCATATTAAATTGAAATTTTTTTTATACGGAAAATTGGAGTTCAAAACAATTGACTTGGCATTACTATGAAAACTAATCAACTGTAAACTCGATGTTTTTACTATCTTTTTTTTTTCAATATTGCCTATTAAGTTTAAGTGCGCCAATGATTCTGTCGAAATTAATAAAAAAAAATGAATCAATTGGAACTTCGCTTCATTCTTGATTGCTAAATACTATCCTGTTGTTTAGAGAGCTTCAAAATTCATACACATCAAATAGTCTTATTGCTGAAAAGAAAATGATTAGATTAATCTTAACAATTCATTGGAAATCCGTATATAAAATCCATTTTTTTCTTGTTTATATCTATCGTTGAATGTAGTTTCACGTTGATTATCAAAACAATTTGAAATAGAAGTTTTCAACAGCTCTCAAAATTTGCGCTTTGGTAGAATTTGATCATTAGGCTCATCAAATCTACATATTTATATTCAAAGAGAACTATATTTTGGTATAAAATTATAGCGAGCAAAATGTGTTGAAATAACTCATTGAATTTTGTTTCTTAGTTAATAAAATTTGTGAATCTATGCATTGTGTACTATACTAAATATTTTTGTTGTCAACACAAGTACATTCAATACTATTTTGAAGGTCTCTCTAGCTCTCGAGTTAATTACACAGCGCATCACTGCGTACATTATCAATCGGATAAACATAAGCAAATCGTACTACTAACATTATATTATGGTATGCCAATCTGTAACATAAACTACTAATGTACTATTCTGTGTATCTGTGTTGTAGAAGTAGAATATAATCTTGACATCGAATAATATATTATGATCTAACTGTCTATTTGTGCTGGTTGATAATTAGATTTGTTTGACTTGACTGGTGTCTCGGGTATAATAGCTGAAACATGACTTTTTTTTAGTATCTATATTTCGAACCAATAAATAATTTTAAATTCACATAGTATCCACTTTTCAATAGTCTCTTAGTTGGATCGAAATATTTCGACATCAGTTGTATTTTAATATCGAATGTAACGACAAACTTATTCATATGAATACTTAAGACGTATCAGTGTTAGTAACAAAATTACTATTATACTTCTTTAAAGGTTTCAGGATATTAGATTTCTGTCTTTATATTGATTGATATTTCAAATAATGGCTCTATAATATCCAATCATTCTTTAATCTTCGAGTTAGATGAATGAGGGAAAGTTGGTTTCGTCTCTACGCGTATGTCCGTACTATATTGCATGTTAATATCAAGACCAAATAACTTGTTTTTACAATTAGTAGTAATCTTTTCGAGTTCACAAAGGTTAAAGATTTTTCTCTAATGGCAAGTCTTGATTAGCTTTAAGATCTTGATAATTTCCCGGAAGCAATCTTACAGTTAAATATTACAGAATTCTAGAACATGTTATGGGATATCAAAGAAAAATACATTTTGAAGTCTTCTACAAGATATACGAGTGAATATCAGCACTACATCTGGTGCGCCTTCTAAGTTTCTATATGATACTTGTCGTTCGTAAATATCAATTGAATCACCGTTAAGAAAGAGAATCAAATAGGATCATTTTACTTGGAATGATTGTGAGAAACTGATGAGGTAATACGAAATATCAGCGCATTTTTAATGCGGTGCGAAGCACAGCATTTATGTAATGCGTCGCGAGTTTGTTTTTAATGCGATGCGAAGCAGAAGCATTTCTGTAGTCCGTCGCGAGTTTTTAATGCGATGCGAAGCAGAAGCATTTATGTAGTCCGTCGCGAGTTTTTTTTTTTTTTTTTTTTTTTTNTGATTCCAAAATGACGAAAATTAAAGGAATTTAGCGTTTTCAAAGTTCGAAATAATTAAAATGACGTCATCAAGTAATAGTAGCCAATAGTCTATTTCTTCGCATCTGATCTAAGATAATGAATCATTAAAATAATTAATCATTCAATGAAAAAAATTGTTACACAACTGGTTGTTACATTTTCAGAGAGATTTCCTAGTGATGAATTTCAGAATGGCCGATTTAAGAATAGTGAATGCGAAATTTTTATTCAAAATTCGTATACGGAAATTAAAAAAAAATAAACGTTTGTAATGGATCTTAAAGTGAATCATTTATTTTTAAATCTTATTCTCGCTACTTTCGAAAATTCGGCTCGTGTGCTTCGCACCGCATTTCGTAGTCGAGTGAAACTTGAATACCATCTAGTTTTATATTCAATTCTAATAAATCGCTGTTCATGAACGCAAGTGTGTGCAACCTTTAAAAATAAAGCACTTTTCTTTCATTTGTTTAATTTAAAAACAAGTGATAGGTCATATAATGTTTTCTATTTGGTACATGCTATTACGCATTGGATTACAAGATATTGCGTGAATCACAGTTTTTGCTTGCGCTTATTTTCAACCTGTAATTTGTATGGATAAATACATCATTTGTTAATAAAAATGCACTACAGAGGCTTTAATGACAAACTGTATGATCAAAACTATGCTTCGAGGCAGCTGTTAATATTAGCTTAACATTGACTAACTTTATATTATGATCTATTTTTTAACCATATCTTTAATGTCGATATCAAGAAATGTTGCATCGAAAATTTGGATGATTTGACTCAACTTGATTTTGAGTAAATCAAATTGATTATGCAATATGTAACATACCACATGTTTCAAATCACGAGACTGTCTCGTATGTTAAAATACATCAATGAACTCCTAATATATATATATATATATATCGTCAAGTTGAAAAAGAGTAGTGACATTGATTGCACAAGGTAGCTTCGTTTTTTTCCTTTCACGTTCGTATTACGTTTCGCTTCATTTAATACCCGTCGTTAAAATTGGTACACGATATAAATATATAGTCCTTTTCATTAGCATAAAATCAAATATGTACGTCAACTTTCGTTTTCAATTTTATTTCATAATTTATCTCTTCTTTCTGTTGACACTCTCTGTTCATTCAATAAGATTTATTAATATCTGGAATACATGTGTTGATGTATCCGTCGAAGAAAATATCTTTCCACTATCAATAATTCAATCGCCGAAATATTTTCAAGTATGTGTGGGCCAAACTGAAGGTTGGAATCGTTTTGGTTCATCATTATTTCGAATGCATATTTTACGAACATCTGAACCATACATTGATAAATACGTTGAGTTAAAACATAATGGTTATGTTCATCTTCATAATGAAACAAGATTAACAGTAGCAAGATGGAACGGAGCACAACATGAAGATTTATAATAAAAAACAATGAACAATATTTTTTTTTTTGTTTTTTTATATTTCCGACAAAATCATCACTATAGATGTCTTTTTTTTCTTAAAATAACAATAATAACAAGAAAAAGAGTAAAAGGCGATAGCAAACAAGAAAAAAAACAGAGTATAAATAAACCAGAGCCACATTAGTGAAAAAAACAGCACCAAAAGAAAACATAGAACTTAAAAGAAGTAACAAAACAAAAAATTACTTTCTCTCTTTAAGATAAATGAATATAAACTAGCTATAAGTAAGACAAAGATTGTTTTATTGCATAAGATCAAGATTGCTGATCGGTCGAAGGCAAGACTGTTGGTTCATCGGCATTGCACGCTTGAGTCTAAAATGTTACAGAATGTTTTTATAGACGAAAAATTAAAAAGTTTTGGTGCTTATTTTTTAGTTTAGGGTTTTGTATAAAGTGCTTTCTACTAGATAGAATGTGAGCAACAATCATGCAGTGCTAGGCTTATATTTTTTTTAGGAGAAAATGTTCTATCATCGAATATTCGGAGCGTACCTCTCCGGTCCCACTAGGATGCATATCGTTCAAATGTTTATCAAGTTGTTGAGTGATTGACTCTTGATGCTCAAGTGCTTCTTTGCCTGATCGAATTAATTCATTTACTTGTTCAGCTCGAACATCGATTACTAGTGCAGCTAATGATGGTAACGGATGTTTAATAATTTCAAATGATTGGTCCTAGATTAATTATGAGTTAGTAAAACAAAGGCATTCAAATATAAGTGTATAAAAGAAGCTAATTTAATTTAAGATTAATTTCTACTTCTAAGCATGCAATTAATTTCAGAAATCAAGCTGAATCTTTTCTTACAGAATCAACGGATGGCGTATTAGCAGCAAGAAGAAATCGATCATCAAGTTGGAGTTTTAATGCTGATATTTCACTAACTGAATTATCATACGCTGATTGTAAACGTTGGATTTCATTGCGAAGACGTTGAAGTTCACCAGTTAATTGATCATTCTCATTGTGAATACTTTCAAGTATAGCATCTTTCTACAGAAACAAAAAATAATGAAATCAATGTTTAAATCAGTAGAACATACACTTTTTAATTCAGCCAGTAATGCTTCTTCTTTACATTGTACAGCTTCTTCAATGTTTCTCAATTGACTTTCCTTGAGATTAAAACAAAAGAAAACTAATCAAATCTATGATCTTAGCTAATTATTTTATTTACAATATCTTTCATATTTTCATGAAGTTGTTCATTTTCATTTTTTATTGCTGTAGCTTGTTCTTGCAAATATGTCTAAAAGAACAAAATTCTTTAGACAAGAAGAAAAATATTGAATATATAATATTTTTTTTTAATTATTCAACTATCTTGTCATCAAGTTGTCACATAAATAATCATGTTTATTACGAACCTTATATGCCACTTTCAATACTGTAATCAAGAAAACCTTGATACTCAAAAAAGATGCATGAATGTGCATATGAAATTGGCACAAGGCAAGGTATTGAATAAAACATAATATTTGTACTATCTACATATGTACTATCTTTACCTGACTTGATTGAAATATTTGTTGATATGACGAAAGCCATTGGTCGAAATCCTTAAGAAAAAGAATAATAAATAAATTAATACGACTCTATTGATTGATGGATTTTAATCATTTTTAAGTTAAGTCTATCGTCTATGTAGAGTATTGTAAAGAAGAATTCTTTCTTTTATCACGTTCAAAATGATGCAATAATCTTGTCGACAGATGATATCTTTATACAACCCTGATCAGCTCATTACTTTACTACTTAAGATCATTAGGAGACTCTTGATGTTGAAGCTTTAACCATACTCAACAAAAAAAAGCAATTTCTTCTATCTTTCATATTCATAATTTGAATTCAACAAATAGGATGTTCGGTACGTTACTGAACAAATAAAAGCATTGGATATTTCTACTCGATTTTGCTCTTTGTACATAATTTTAATAAAATCAAGAAGTATACGAGTCAAAAATTTAGTCTTCCAAACATATTATGGTGATGCTCTCCTTGAAAGTAATATTGGCAGCTGTTTCTTATGCCACGAACAGCTGTCTTCAATCTATATTTATATCGAAGATTAATATCTTGCTATTGAGTGTATCTTAAAATTTGCAATCCTACATATGGCAAAATCTTGTCAGCAAATATTCATTATTCTTCAATGATTGCGTCTTCTAGCCTATTTCCTTATATGCGTAGCTGTATCGTTAGATATTAAAACAAAAAAACAAAACTATAAACCTTGAGCTCTGCTGTATTTAACTCAATGAAAAGAAACGAATATGAACTTTTTCTCGTTAAACTTCTCTTCTATTAGCGTTTTTCATTCTACAAAAGGATTAAGATTGATATTTACTTGATTGTCATTAGATAATTGATTTCGAATATCTGATGGTAAAAGCTCAGTTAAAATCTGTTGATTTTTTTCACGTTGCTGACGCTGACGTTCTTCTAATTGTGAAACTGTTGACTGAAATAAATCGAAAATGAAAATTGTGTAAAGATTAATTTTACGTATTTGATTTTACTTTTGCTTCGTCAAGTTCAGCTTGTAAAGTACTAAGTTCAGTATTTTTAGCAGCAAGTTCATTACTATTGAAAGTTAAAATAACGTTTCTTTCTCTCTTAAGACTAAGAGTTTCTTTATTTTTTTCTTACTCATTCGTTTGTTGTTGCTGTTGAGTGTTTAGCTAAAATAAAAACAAACGATATTTGATTTACTGATTTGATATATACTATCATACTTGTTTAAGTTGTTCAATCTCTTTTTGTAATTCATTCTCTTTAGATTGATATTGAGCCTGTAAAAAAAAAGCAAGATCCAAATGTAAAAAGTACGAAAGAGCTAAAATTACCTGTGAATTCTCGATTTTATTTTTATATTCCTCAATTTCTTGAATTAACTTCTGTTTTAAATCATTCGATTCTCGTTCGTTTTCTTGATTTAAATCAATCGTTTGTTTCAATTGTTGAATTTCTTTTTCTAATTGTTCGCGTTCTTCACTATTTAGTGTTATTGTTTGAATATCGGTTACTGCTGTCGGTTCAACATGTACAATTTCTTCATGCCGTAATTGTTCATTATCTTTTTCAAGTTTTTCAACGCGACTTTTATATTCATTAATTTCATTCATATTTAATGTTTGCATTTCATTGAATTTTTTATGGTGTTTTTCTTCTACATGTTTCAAATCTTTTTCAGCCTTTTGAAGTGATTGAGTTAATTGTTCATTATAACTAAAAGATTAATTTAGAATCTAATTAAATCTCCGCATCGTTTTCAATTTCTATCGAGACTAACGAATTTTCAATACACAAACAATGATTTACTACCGATACTTGAACAACAACTCGAAATCTTTTATTCTACGACAGACTTCTGAGTGGAACGATTTAAAGAATAAGAAATGATGAATTGATAAGAGCACGAGCTTCCCGAATAATTCTTACTCCTGCAAATATTTTCTTCACTGTTTAGAATTCCACAATATAAAAAAATATCTATAACTCATAATGGAACCAATGAATGAAGATTTAAGACATTACTAAAAACTCTACATTAAAGTCTTCTTATTCTGCTGGAATTCACGCGTAATTTCTTTCGCTATGAGACAGTTTTCAGTGATGATCTATTTGTTTACCGATTCAAATTTTCTTTTTCTTGTTGTGCTTCTTTAGCTAATAATTCATTGCTTTTGACTTTTTTTTCCAAATGACCATTATCAACTGATAATTTTTTGATTTGATCGCTCAATACTTGTACTTGTAAATTTGATGAATCTCCAGTCTGAATTAATTTTGACGTTGAAAGTTGTTGCGTTAATTGATGATTTAAATGAATATTTTCTTCTGTTAATCGTTTTACTTGTAATTCAATTGTTTGCATTTGTTGACGTTGTTGAGGATGTACATTTGTTGGTTCATGTTTATGTTGAACAGAATCCAATTGAGCATGAAGCATTTGAATTTCTAGTTCTTTATCAGTTTTTTCTTTCAATAAAACATTAGAACGATGTTTTTCTCCGTTGAGTTCATCAGTCAATTCTTTGATTCGTTTCATTGAATTTGTTTTTATTTCTTTAAAATAAACAGAATGAAATTTTATTTTATAATAAGAAATAGAAAATCTACCATCCTCATATGCTTTAGCTGATTCATCCATAACTTGACCAATATGTGCTTGTGGATCAACTTTTTTACCTTGTGTTAACTAAATATTGAAATATGGATATGAAATTATGTATTGTTTTTCTCTTACTTTACTCCAATCTTGTCGGAGTACAGATTGTTTATTTGCAATCTTATGCATAATAATATCTAATTCATCTGTTGATAAAGGAAATGCATCAAGTGCAGACATCAATTCAGTAACAACAACTTGCGATGAAGGTAGAACTAGAAAATTGATTTGAAATAGTAGAGAAAATAAGTGAAGAAAGTAAGTAACTTTACCTTTAATGAGATCAGCAACTTTTGCGGGTATTTTTTGTTGTTGTTTTACAGGCATTGTATTTGTAGAAACAACAATGACTGGACCTGGTGTTTCCTTTTGAGGAGGTGGTTGTCGGTGAATCAATTGTTCATGTTGAACCGGACTTGAGGAAGATGGTTGAACAGGAGCAGATGACGGTACAGCATTGACCTGCTAGAAGAAGAAGAAAAAATATAATCTTATCTAATTGTATTTCGAAAGTGTGCATCTGATTCAAATCTATTGAACTCACAACGTCACTAGAAAGATGAATACTCAAAACTGCGAGATAGCGGAGATGCCTCATACTGGACTCGTCAATCTGATGCAGAATGAATTCTTAAATGTCTACCTACAAGAATCAATGTATGTCAAAAGTCTCGCTTGAACGGTTGATACAAAACATGCGGATGCTAGTGACTTATTGACAATCATTCCGTAGCTTGCCATATCAATGATTGAACATATAAAACTGCGTTGAATAACACAATCATTTCACTATCGTCAAGATGAATCGAACAAAAGGCCACATTATACGCACTTTTACGAGATCTTATAGATATACATCACGATGAGAATGAAAATTGGCGTAGATCTGAAAACTCCTTTATTTTGAAAATACTTTAGGGATTTCTCTGTTAGCAAGTCTTGAGGATTTTTCCTTGAATAAAAACAAATAAGTCTGACTAACGTAAGTGAAACTCATTGAAATCAAAATGTGACATCCGTGAAGATTTACGTTCCAATCATTTAAAAGTTATCTAGCAGTTTCTAAGGAAAATGTTCATATAATTCAATCATATTGAAAAACTAATGTATTGAATCTTACTAATTTATTTTGTGGTTGTTGTTGCTGTAATGGCGGTGTTGTAGTCTTGTTGCGATTTCCACCAACAACTGTAAAAGGTTGTTCTTGTGGTTGTGTTTGAATTGCTTTTTTGGCTGCTTGTTGTGAAGAAGCAGGAAATATTTGTTTTTTTGGTAGTTCGATTACTTTCCCTTGAGCTTTCGCTTGTTGTTTAGATGATTCAAGTTCATCTTTAGCAATTGATTTCGGATGAGTTACTGGTGGTGCTCGAGTTGTGTTCGGAGCTTTCTCATCCTTAGTCTTAACTTCGACTTGAACTGCTACTATTGGTGCAGATGTAGCGGTTTTATTTTTATTACGTTTACGAGCTTTTGATGATGTTTCAACATTATTTAATGTTGCTTTCAATAATTCCTATTAAACACAAATGAATTGTTTTGAAAATAACTTGAATCTTATATATTTACTTGTTCACTTTCTTCTCGTTCATCATCACTGTCTTCATTTGTTTGCGATGTAGGTTCCTTAACTTTCTGTCGCTGTTGTTGTTCATCATCTTTATTTTCACGTTTTGGTTTCTTCTGATCTTTACGTTTTTTCTTTGCTAGTTCGTTACTTGTCTTATCTTTTTTCTTCTTTTCATTTATTCCATCCAAAACTGGACTACCATCATCCATTGTTAATGAGTCCGACATATTTATTTTCCATGCCAAAAAACCAAAGAAACCTACCAATGTGGCGATTATGGCCAAAGCAACGGCAATAGCTAACCAATCAATCATGTTTTATGATAATGTACTTGTCGGTTTTCTCTTTATTCTGTTCAATCAAATAATTATTTTCTTATTTGCACACTCTCACTCACGCAACACACACAAGTAAATGATCTACAGTAGAGAATAAAGAACAACTTACAAATAAAATAAAGAAGATGAAAAACGGAAAGCAAATCATTCCAAAAGACAACAGCTAGAGTTTAATTTCGTCCCATATACACGCATTCTAGGACGAAAATGATAAACAAGAACTGAAGACAGAAAAAAAGCATTAGTTCTCTATCCTATCCTGTATAAACAATAGAAGAGGATATCATCATCTGATATGACACGTGTATACATTTTTTTTAATGCGAATTGTTCTTTGAATTTCTATTTTTTTTTCTGCGAAAATCATTTAATATTTAATATCCAAGTATATTAATCATGAACAAATTCAATCGATTAACAAAGAAAAATTGAAGGCTAAAAAGCATTATAAATGGCGGAAATTCAACCAATTAGAGTTAAGCTCGCCGATTACGATATCGTATAATATCATATATATATATACAACCCGATGATAAATACTATCAAGCTTGTTACGATGCATAAGAGAGATATAACCCTTGTCGTATCATGAATAATTCCTTCTCAGAAGTCAACCCTTAATGTTTGTGACCTCGAAAGATTCCTACACAAATACTTGCTCAGAAAGACAAGAACACCATCGATAGATTAGCATCTTGATGAAGTACATCATAATGTATCGAATTGTTTATGAGCAAATAGAAAATTTTACGATATTAAGAAAAAATGTTCAGTAATAAACAAATATCTAATTAAAAGCACATAATAGAAAATGATTCAATCATGGTGTTTAGGTTAAAAGTGCTGCTGATATAGAAAATTTTCTTATCTTAGATGGAAAGCTTTTAATGCAATATTAATTCATCTGTAATATCATCCAACAAAAACAATAATAGTCATTATAAAATAAGTATAGTACACAACTAAAAAAGAAACTGTTTTTTTTTCTCAATGACATAACCTATCCGCATCCGTATTTAAAATGGAAATGAATTATTGTGTGAATATATTTATTTCTCAATATACACATACTATTTATTAGGATCCACGATTATTTCAGAGAGGCTTTTCAGTCGTTTATTTTTGATAGATCTCAATCAAAAGAAGCTATAATTCTCCAATTATTGTGATATTATATTTGATAGAAAGCGTCCTCGTTTGTATATATCTCAGAAGCAGACTTCAACTGTTTAAAATTTCCTTTTAATATAAACTATTCATGAAAATATGTTACAATAGAAATGCATTTATCGAGCTATAATTATAGATTCAAGAAAAATACTCTTGTTCTATTAGCAAAGAATGTTAACAAGAATGGCACTAGTATGGGAAAAAAATGCGTAATTATATTGATTAGTAAGAATGATAAGATAAAATCCAGTTCGACTTCAAACAATGATGCTTGCCTTGCGTCGGTATAAAATCTACTATCGATTGAGCTACTTGCAGAATATACGGAAACGGAAGTGATATAATGGAATGTAGAGTCATCCACTATTCTCTCTGAATATTCAATAAAACAGTGAATCAAACTCAAATTGAATAATACCTCTTGAAATAGTTCCACTACTCACATCTATACCTAGTTTTGGGATCGTCGTATGGGCCATAGATACTTGAAATACTTTGTAAAAATGTATGTTGTTGCTAGTTCTACGTGTGACTTCTTCTATATATATCTATATGAGATTGTCTATTATAATGGTAAACTTAGAAATATTATTATAAATTTCCTACTTCTCATGCCACGATATTCATTCGCTTTTTAGATATTTGTTTTTAAATCAACTTTGTCCTCTGTCGCAATGCAATGTACTAAAATCAATTATAAATCTCTTAAACTATTCAAGATTTCTGGATGAGAACTGTGTTTTTACCTATCAATTTGTTTATTCATTCATATGGGTAGAAGTATTTTTCTTACGTCAATAAACTGCATGCTAATCAGTAAAACACTCTGTTAAAGGGGAGAAAAGGTGTTGTAAGACGAGAGCTTTCTTTATTTGTTCTTGCTATTTATACGTTTGTATGACTCATGATATGAAAAAAAGACGGTATTACATTTATTCTTAACAAGAACCTATGCTAGAAAGTTTGAGGTTATAAAAATTAATCAAAATTAAGAATTACTTGATTATCTCGCTTGGTATTCGATTGAAAAGTTATTCAATATTCACTGATATCTTCTGTGAAAAGGTTACTATACATGAAAAAGCTAAATATACGACTACAAATATCGACTTAGATCATGAACTCCTATGGTTTTAAAATGTTCCGTAATGAAATCTTCATGTATCCTACAAATGATACAAGTACTTGTTTGAATTTCCTACGTAAAAACATTTCGTATGCTTACCGAATATACTCATATTAAGACGTGTTCAATATTTGTATGAAAATAATTATGCTACTAAAATTTGAAAATTTGCATTGAAATATCTTGTTTACTTGAGATAAAGAGTGGGTTGCAAACCGATAAAATGATTTTTCGAAACAAACATACATATTTACACACATGATAATATCAAGAAAGGTGTAAAGTGGACCTCTAGTTTTCTTTTCTTTTTCTGTTGTGTAACCGTTTTCATCTTATCATCAAACTTATCTTTTTTTTTATTTTCTAATAATTAGTACATCAAAATTAATTGACTCTCAATGAGTTCTAGTGAAAATATCACCAATGCATCGAATACAATCCAAGCTGATGAACAGCCAGCCAGGTACATCTCATTTCTAGAGCAACAGCATAATCCTGTTAATGCACATGTGTCTGAAGATTCGACGATCGACAATAAAGATACATTGCCAATTTTGGATGAATGCCAAGTAGAACCATCAGCATCCTGTGTCTTTTTATGTACCAATATGCATGCACGTTACTCAGTTGCTCTGTGGTGTTTCTTTGGTTTCTTTTGTTTATATGCAATGCGAGTGAATCTGTCAGTGGCTATTGTTGCCATGGTCACTAAATCGATTTTATGATATTCTAACTTTAAAAAAGACTTCTTTTAGGTAGCACCACAAAGTTCTTTAAATCAATCAGTTGAAGCGTGTCCTGTAGTTCATACAAATTCGACAAAGCCTCCAGCAGTGCGTTATTTAGATACTCCTTTTTTTTTCTTAAAATTTGTATCGATACTCTTGTCTCAATAGAAACATGAATTCGATTGGAATCCAAATAAACAAGGTTTGGTTCTCGGAGCATTTTTCTATGGTTATATTTCTACGCAAATGTAAGTAAAATGTACAATATACTATTGACATTTTCTAACTATAGCTCTTTTCTAGAATTGGAGGTTCGAAAAGTTGATCAATGAATTCTATTCAAAAGAAATATTCTTTATAGGAAATCTAGCAGAGAGATTCGGCGGGAAATGGATCTTTGGTGGAGGAATATTAATATCTAGTATTCTGACCCTTTTGACGCCACTAGCTGCTCGTATTAATTATAAACTACTCATTGCTATCAGGGTAATCATCGGCATGGCATCTGGTCCAGCGTTTCCAGCAGCTGCAGCTCTCTGGGGCAAATGGGTAACGATCTTACTAATGAATCTTGTCTATTCTGTATTCTTCTTCTTAAAGATACCTACCGCTGAACGTAGTAGTATTCCGCCAGCAGCTCAAAGTGGTACTAGTATTGGTATAATATTTACGACACCATTAGTTAGTATAATGAGTGAAGATGGATTCATTGGCGGATGGCCATCGGCATTCTATGTTTTTGGTATGATAATTATAGACGATAGAATGCATAACTACATATTATGATTAGGTATTGCGTCATGTATATGGTTTATTGGTTGGTGTTTTTTCAGTTTCAATTCTCCAGCTGAGCATCCACGTATTTCAAAAGAAGAACGTAATTTTCTACGTGAACATATACCACATCATCCTCTACGAGTAAGATCGCGCAGACAAATTAATTATGACTATTTTCATTAACGGTAACAGTCAAAATAAATTGCAGAAAACATTTGAATAACTGAAGAATTTTCATATCAGGATAAATACTTGTTAAACAAACTGACTACCGCCTATCTTCAATCAGCGACAATCGTTGTTGGAAATTCTATTTTATTAAAATTTACATAACGGTATCATGTTTACATATATGTTTCATCTAAAATTATATATTTGAATGTTGACAAGTATATTTCCTCGTATAACATTGTTTCAGCTACCTAATGCTTTTCTTAAATTTATTCTAGCTATTAACATTAATGAAAGATGCTGAAAATGTTGAGTTTCTATTACATTTCATGCTGTTTATTTATTTTAAAGAATCGAGTTACACCATGGAAGCAAATTGCTTGTTGTCCATCGGTTTATGGTATTGCTATAAATCATGTTTGCTTCAATTTTATTTTTTATACTTTATTAACATCATTACCGACTTATTTTTCCACAATACTTAATTTTAATTTACATCAGGTTTAATATTGCTTAAATTTTGTTTATGGAATTTGATTAATATATTTATTTCATTCAGAATGGCTTTATTTTTGCCTTACCTTATTGCGCACAATTTTTAACAATTATTGCCGTTGGTCAAACCGTTGATCGTTTACGAGCACGCAAATTGTTCTCTATTACAACCCTCCGAAAAGCACAAGCCATCATTGGTAGATACTAAAAATCGTGATTTTTGAATAAGCAAAGAGAGAATTCATTTTTCTTCTTGTTTTAAAATTTAGGTACTGTTGGCTCGTGTTCCTGTTTGGTAGCTATTGGCTATATGAATTGCAATAAAATTGCTGCAGTCGTTTGTTGCATTCTTGCTGTTGGTTTTCTTGGCGCACAAACCAGTGGCCCAATTATTTCACATCTTGATATTGCATCGAATTATGCTGGTAAGAATAGGTAGATTTGGTCGAACATAGAAAAACAAAGCTTATATAATTAGGAACAATTCTTGGTATTACAAATTCATTGGCAACAATACCAGGATTTGTTGGTCCATATCTTGTTGGAGCTATTACAAATAATAATGTAAGATTGCTTGTTTTTCTTATCTATCATCTGAGGATTTATTTTTAGCAAACAGTTCATGCTTGGCGTCTAATATTTATTATTTCAGCCGGTATTGGTGCTTTTGGATGTCTTGCTTTTTGTATTTTATTTAATGGCGAAGAAAAACCATGGAATCGAATAGAACATGAAGATGGTACAAATGAATCAACTAGTTGAACAAAATAGAAATTTTTTTTGTGTCTATTTATTTTTATGCCTAATATTTCAATAGATAGTCTGATCATTCAGTTTTCATTTAAAACAAGACAGAATACATGTGTTTATCCGGCTAGCGAAAATCAATTATGGATATTAAATGATTGTATGATAACGATAATTTTCATCAATTAGAAATAGACTAGCAAATGTTTAACTTCGATTTCATTTGACATAGAAGATTTATTCGTTAGTTAGACGTCATTGAAGATAACTATGTTAATAGAGAAGAATTACTTTTTAATGATACCTTGATATTAGTAATGGATTGATTTTTTAGCAAATAATTCTTCTTAATGACAGAAATAGCATGAAAGTTCCAGTTTTCTAGCGCAATGAGCAACCAACCAATAGAAACTGTAGCTGTGACATTATATTTTGAACGTAAATGTTTGGTTTCCAGTAATTGATTCTGTCTTAGTTCCATTTTATTTGTAATAATTCTTTTGTTTCACTGCTGAATGACGCCATAGAAACAATGGGTTGTTTCTTGTGAGGAAATATTTCAACATAATTTTTCTATGATCAAGTTAGGCAGATATTAGATAACGAGAAACAGCAATATTTTCTTTGTGACTAATATGAGAAAAAACTGATGATGGTTACTTAATAAATTATTTTTATCTTTACATAATTTACATTACGAAAAAAGGATAATTTCAACTTGTTCCATTTACTATAAAGCATAATTGAAACTGATTGCTGTCGTATAATGTACACGTTGGTAGGACAAGGGCTCTGCGTTGTTATTGCCCGAAGAAAATCTATTTCTTACTTTCCAATTTGAAGAAACATTTATACTTTGGATTGATATGATTAAGGAACATATTTCAATTTTCAATACTGTAAAATATTTTTGTGAGACAAATGAAAAACTTTTACAATTCGATTCATTCATTACTATCAGCTAAAAGATTTTGAATTTACAAGCCATTTGACTTCCGTCGAAACGATATTGTATTCCTTAATAACCTTTAGAAACATGACTACCCATGTAGCCGATAATGGATGAATAATGAAAAAAAGACCCATTATTTTCCATTATTTCAAAAAAAAAATGAATTAATGCATTATAATTAATTGCTTTTTGACTTTTCAACGCATTTTAATGCATTATTCCAAATAATGGACAATTTTGAGATAATGCATTATCATTCCATGCATTTCAAAGTATTTGAGTAATGTTTTTAAATTAGAAAATTCACTATTTTCGTACAAGAAATATTGAAAAAGTGATTTGACACGTAGATGTTTGATTTGCCACAGTGTACCCAGAAGAATAATTCTGACAATAGGATCCTATCGGATTCCGACAAGGGTCAGACAGTGAATATATCGAATACCATATGTGTTTCAATAAAGCCAACGAAATCTTATGGGATTCCTGGACACGGACCTACAGTCGGATCCTTGGTATTGGATCCAACCGGATCCGATGTTGGATTTTTACGGAATCCAACTCTATCGAATCACCTTTGCGCTCTGATGGTTCAAAAGGCTTATTTGAGCGTGAATAAGAAAATGATTTTTCCGTTGGAACCGACAATATGTTCGTGCCCAGGAATCCTATCGGATTCTGTCGGGGAGTCGGATCCCATAGGATTCGATAAGGTCCGTTGTCGGATTCATTCACCTGGGTTTCTGACTATCAAGCGCTTTTCAATAAGAGTCGCGCACGTTAAAGATCCAATAAAAAATGTAATTTGAGTTACATGGCTAAGAGTAATTTTCGAATCCCTCTTCCTGATAATGGAAACTTACACTATTGAAAACTTAACTCAAAATCTGATGATTTATATCAGATTATCCTTTCAGTTTTCAAAATATTTTTCTAGGCAAGTCGAAGAGTTTTCGAGTTTACTCAATCGCTAAAATGTGCACTAACAACTCGAAATTCGACCTTGGGTTTCTATTTGATGCAACGAAAGACTACTAGAGTTTTGAATGCCTTTAGAATATTCTTTAGAATGAAAGAGATCACTCACCATCCTTAAACCTCTTACAAGAAGTTCTCACTCTTCGTCATTGCTCAATTTCGGATGTATCTAGTGAACTAAAACTGCTCACAGTATCAAATATAACAGATTATATCATGAATCGTTTTGTTTTCCAAATTCGAAACTATTTAAATACCTTTAAAACATCCTAATATCATATATACGTTCTTCAACTGTTTTCGCTTTCAACTACAATTCGACATGATCCAATTGGTAAGTTTGAATGCAATAATAGAAAATTATTTATTCATTGTCTTTTGTTTTAGATTTTTATCGATCTGCTTGAAACGGTAAGTTACAATTCAATATTAAAATTATTTCTGTTTCTTTTTCCTATGTTTTAGATTCTTATCGATATGATCAAGATGATGCGTTATGGAATAGATATATATATAGAAGGTTGATGAAATTTAAGGGTTAAGTTAAGTTAGGGCGATAGATTAAGATTAACGGATAGATATAGATAAGTTAATAGATTAAGGTTAAGGAGTTAAGTTAAGGGATAAACGTGGAGAACTACAGAGATGCAATTATGATAATTGGGGTATCGATTTAATAGATCTTATGTAGCAAGTGTCGCATAAGAAATTTTCAATGCATTATAATGCATTCAATAGGTTGCATTATCATGTAAGTGCATACATTGCATTTCTATAGTAAAACAATAATGCATTGCAATGTTCATTATTTTCTAAAATCGACTACCTGGGTATGTTTACAATAAAACCCACAGAAACGATCATGTTTCTTGAATCATATAAATGCTCTGTTAAAATTTACTTATCAGCTAGTCAAATTAATTTCTGCTTGTTCTATTATTGCGAACAGATATAATGCTCGACGTCGATTTAGCAGTTTTTATCTTGTATATAATGATCATTATTAATTAGTGTATGACTAGATGATGGCCATGGTGTCTTTTGTACTTCAAAACATCTGAGTCGAAGTGTACAGGGTACACTTGAATGTGGCATCTCTTTGTGCGCATACGCATATTGAATAGCCCGAATAAAACATTTTGCTACGTAGAAAGAAAAACAACAATAGAAGACAATCGAGCAAAACTATAGCTAAATATGCTGCTACTAAATATATATCTTATCAAAAGCTACAATCTTACTTGTTTTCGTAACTTATTTTTACTAAGCATATATTCTTTGTACGATAATCTAATAATTGTCATAGAAAAACAAATACTCATTAACTACACGAGATGTATGCTAAACTAATAGAAAATAAAGCATTGCTTTGTGTTTGAAACAATATATTATACGAATCTTGAGTGATGACAAGTCGTTTCAGGAAAAAAGACGTAATTGATATTTTGGGACAACAATATAGATAAAAAGCGACGCAATAATATAAAATTAACTAAAAATTGTAAAAAATACAAAATTACATCCAATTTGTTTTGTTTTTTTATTTATTCAATTATTATTTCATAAGTTAACAACAATAATATCAGTTGTCTTCTATTGTTGAGTTCCTTTTTCCTTTCTGTGTTATCTTTGACATACGGTATCTTGTCACAGCAAGCTATATTGATCAATTTTGCGTTGCTTTTAATATCAACAACATAATTTCGTCGGTTCGTCATTTATGATGAGATCTAAGGACGAAGCAGCACTGACGCATATTGTAGGGGCGGAAGAAGAAGCATAAATATCGGTGAAATAAATAGTAGTCTGTTACATTATACATCTGTGAGAAATATATAAGAAAAACAAGCAAATATGGAAAGCGACTTGACCAAACGTCGACCTTCAGTAATACCCGGATGGTCACCTGTTTTACCTGCTGGATATATACCTGCAATACCTCCAGTTGATGACACTGCAAGTGATACTGAGCAAGATGCTAAAAATTCTTCTACATCTAATCGTCTATCACATTTACCGTCAATAACAAGTTATGAAACAAAACCATATTTAAGAATAAAAAAGTTTCATTTTAATAATCAAGCAGCGATGTCCATGGCTCATACACATGGTATATGTGTTTTGAATACTGATGAGGAACAAATCATAGCTTGCGATCATTATAATAATCGCCTACTTATGTTTGATTCAAATACAGATGGACGTTTATTAGAAATATTTCGTGGTGATATGGCAACACCGGAATGTGTTGCATCACGACCACATTATCAACACCAAATTTATATAACAAAAGCACATTCAATTTCTTTATATGATTTAGAAAAAAAGCAATTTATACACCAGCTAGGTAGCGAAGAAAGTGGCCATGCTAATAATCGATTTAATTCACCAGGTGGTATGAGCGTTGATCCGGCCAATGGGTAAGATAGCATTGAGGTCAACGAACATTATATGCCATAACGTGTTTTTTCTCTTCTTTTTGTTGTTTCAAAGAGAAATATATATGTGTGACACATGGAATCATCGAGTTTGTGTCTTTTCACCAGATTTTCGTTATATTAATCGTCGATGGTATTTAACGCAATGGCAACTAGAACATCATAAAGTCAAACCAAATTTTCTTGCCGTTAATGGAACCAATGAATGCGTTGTTACATGTGATGATGTACCAAATTATCGTGGTGCTGTTTATGTTTTCGATAAAATGGGTTATATACAGAAAATTTACGATCAAGAAACACGTAAAAAAGCTCCGCATGTTGAAGTAAAATTAAATGTTCCACATGGCATATTACTTGATGATGAAGGCAATTGGTTAACAGTATGTTATTCAGATCTTGAATCGTGCTGGGTTGAACGACGATATAAACCATATCAACATGATGAACATGAACTTATAACTTATTGGCGAAATAAAGAATTAAAAGGACCGAGTGCATTAGCAATTAAGCGTGACCAAACATTAGTCGTTGGTGATCGGGATGAAAATGCAATTTACCTTTTTAAACAAATTCAAAGTCATTGAAACTATTGATAAACATATGAAAAATATTTCGTGAAGCTTCTCTCAATTAATTAGCTTTTTTTGTCGCTTGTCCTTTTTTCTAATCTACTTCATTGACCAATTTTCTGCATAAGAAATTCTCTAACTAATCAACAACGTCATACAATTTGACTGAATAAATATTTTCGCTTGCTAAGACAATTTATTCTATTGCATGAAGACTGTAAAACAGACATTGTGCAATATATTACACTCATTTGCCAGCTATTTAATGAAAACTCTCATACAATAATATAGATGAATGCGGCCGCTGTTACGATAATTTATTACTTGTTGTTCGACATGTACATGAAGCTACATTTGTGCAAGAGTATAGAATAGATTAATATTTTTTAGAGAATGTCTACTAGCACTGCGTACAATTGAGATAGAGTTCTTTTGGCTACGATAAAGATTAAATTAAAATTCATAAATAGATGGTATTTGTGTATTTCATAAGATTCAAATGATAATTATTGCAAAAATGAGTAGCTACATGAGAAGAGCAATGAAGAGTTACTTTCTCATGATTTATCATATAACAGTTTCTCCAGCAGAATAGTATCGCAATCAGTCCTATCAAGCTTTATTTTTGAAAAATTGACCATAGAGCCGTTTGTTTTTGAAAACCAATCGAGATTTACTGATGTCAATAGCTGTATCTATGTGGCAAGATGCATTAGAGAAATTCTATTCTATGCATATCTATTAAAATGAATGTTGCTAAACTAATTTAATTTGTCATTTAAGATTGAAATGAATGGAAAAGTCTTGACTCTATTCCACTTTATTAAAAATAAAATCTTTGTCCGATTCTGTTAATAAAATGAATCTGTTATATTGTAGGATGAAATTATAGCTATAATTGAGTTCAAATTCCAATGCCTGAAAAGTATTTGTTTAATGTAAGGTGCACCAAAGTCAAAAATCGAGCAGAAAAAAACTCCTTTTATTATTGCATGGTTGGATAGACCCGGATGAGTAGATCATGAATATTACCATTCAAATGTTTCTAAGCTTACGTTTTGACTGAGAAATTTTCAAAATATAAAATGCACCTGAAAAAATGAATATTTCGCTTTTTTCGAGAAATATCAAAATTTACCGAGTTTAACAATGTTCTAGATTTCGAGCACTACCACTATCAAATTCAACAAGACAATCTGAATCTACTGATGTAACTTTGACCAGTAAAAAATATAAGTTTCATGTTTGAGAAACTTCACTAGATCCCCATATAGACACTTTGAATTGATGTCTCGAAAAATCATCAACTGTTTTTTTTTGAAACCTATTCTCGGACTTTCTTATATGATTCGAACCGTCAAGCAATAGCGAATAAAACTATGCATTCGGTTTTAAACATATTGTTCCCTCTCTGACAAAATCGATTTTTACTAGATCGGTGCCTATTGGTTAAATAATTGCCCTCTTATTTCGAGATTTTGACTATCAAAACTTAACTTCCATGCGAAGTAAACATCAGATTCAGAATCAGCACAAAAAGCAACATTGACTATCATAAATTTTATCAAAAAATAATTTTCATCAAAATTCCAGCCTACTCCCCCTCAGTCATTTTTTTTCTTGATTTTATCCTGTAGTCCCCCACAGGTAAAATTTTGATGAAAATTATTTTTTGATAAAATTTATGATAGTCAATGTTGCTTTTTGTGCTGATTCTGAATCTGATGTTTACTTCGCATGGAAGTTAAGNGCGGGGGAGTAGGCTGGAATTTTGATGAAAATTATTTTTTGATCAAATTTATGATAGTCAATGTTGCTTTTTGTGCTGATTCTGAATCTGATGTTTACTTCGCATGGAAGTTAAGTTTTGATAGTCAAAACCTCGAAATAAGAGGGCAATTATTTAACCAATAGGCACCGATCTAGTGAAAATCGATTTTCTCAGAGAGGGAAAAATATGTCTAAAACCGAATGCATAGTTTTATTCGCTATTGCTTGACGGTTCGAATCATATAAGAAAGTCCGAGAATAGGTTTCAAAAAAAATAGTTGATGATTTTTCGAGACATCAATTCAAAGTGTCTATATGGGGATCTAGTGAAGTTTCTCAAACATGAAACTTATGTTTTTTACTGGTCAAAGTTACATCAGTAGATTTAGATTGTCTTGCTGAATTTGATGGTGGTAGTGCTCGAAATCTAGAACATTGTTAAACTCGGTAAATTTTGATATTTCTCGAAAAAAGCGAAATATTCACTTTTTCAGGTGCATTTTATATTTTGAAAATTTCTCAGTCAAAACGTAAGCTTAGAAACATTTGAATGGTAATATTCATGATCTACTCATCTGGGTCTATCCAACCATGCAATAATAAAAGGAGTTTTTTTCTGCTCGATGTTTGACTTTGGTGCACCTTAGAAATCTGATCAGGAATTCCTAACTATACGATATCAGACGTCTATCTAAAAGAAAGAAATTTGATAGAAAACGATAGTGAAGTGAAAGCATACGGTACGATTACAAAAGTAAGCACGATGACAATACTATTAGTATTTTGGTAACTTTGCATATTTCAATGGTATGTTAAAACGATTACGCAGCGCTTTCTAACTGTTCAAATACGACAAAGAATTTTTAATGCAATCAAACTACTATTTTCAATTCATTCAATCTAAATCTGTTGGAGATTAAAGCTGAAATTGTTCTTTGTACTTCAAGATTTCAAGAGTGAGCTGCAATGGAGTGATTAGGTTTCAGTATCAGAAATATTTATACGGCAACGAAGTCCAACTAGTATACTTCAGACTAACAAGAAAACATAGATTCCATCTGCCGTTGACATATTCGAGACTCCGGGAAATAATGGATTTGAAACCTGCTAAATAAGAAGAAATAACAAAATCGGTAAGTAACTGTTCGATTCAGTCGGATTAGTACCACCAGTAAGGATGCATTTTCCCTCAAATTTAGAAACAAGTGACACCATGTTGTTTCTAGTTGAATTAGAGAAACTCGGACATCAATATTCTGAACATCTCAGTACAAGCACGAATTCTAGGTGAAAAAATCGCAAAAGTATTAAAAAAATAATTAAGGTACACGAAAATTTGTGTACTAAGAAGTATCATGTCTCTTCATCGATACTTTTTTTATCATCATGACAAGAAATTTCAAGTGTCAAAGAAGAAGAGAATATTAAAAGAACTAAAAATCCATTGTGACTAGCGTATACGTACAAAAGTTCTTAATTTATGATAATTTTATGGTTTGATAGTTCAGATAAATGAATATAAACTTGAAAAAAACAACGTACTTTTGGCGACTATAAACGAAAAGCAAAATAAATTGCACGCATATAGAAAAAAACCTCGCACATTTCAGTATCAATTAGTACGTAGACATATTTTATTGTTAATATTATTCAATAGCTGACAAAATAAAAGTTGAAAGTCAAAACTAGATACAAAGAGCACAAGAAACTTTCAAACAGTAACGTGGGTGAGGGTGATCGGCTAAGTGGGGAGATTACGGAAGCACTTTTATTTCAACGAAACATTATGCTGTAAAATACCACAACTGTGATTTATAGATTTGACTCAGTTTCAGTACACGCCAGTGAGTACTGGTACACAATAGTATATAATGAAATACAATATAGTGATTATTAGCATGCGGATTTTTCTTTTTTTCCTATTTTTTGTTTATAGACACTTTGCAATATGACTATTCATGCTTTCTCTTTGGTTTACTTGGTGATTCTTTTCATTTCTTCGTTCTGATTCAAGGTTAATACCGTACATAACCATATACCTATCGATCGTTGTATCTGTTATTCTTCATGTCAATTCTAATTAGTCAGCGCAAGTTGTACATTGATTGATGCACGTTTGAGTCACACACTATATTTTTATTGACAAATAGCAAACAAGATAAAGCAGACTTAAGCCTACAAACAAATCGGAATCTTAGTCGTGAGACATTCGGTAATTGGTGTAGCAGACATAGAAGAACTGTTCTTGTCCTCTCTCAATGTGAATAGTTTACAGTGATATGCTTTCGAAGGAATTTTTCGAACTAATGCTACTTTCATAATAATTCGCAGAACGTTTTTCTCAACAGCTGTTAAATGACTCTTGTTCATGCATTGGTTTATTTCAATATCAACAGCATAGTTTTCAAAGTGATAGGAAAATATAGACTTCTTATTTAATGCTCATGTCTTGAAGTTTCTCTATCTCAATTGTGAATCAGTTCATGTGCTATGTTGGAAATATGCTTTTCTTGTTTTCAAAAGTAAAGTTGATTATATATTTTGATAAAAAAGAATTATTCGATTTAGTTCGCTTTGCATAAATAAAGTAAATATTATGATCACCGCTGTAGTCGAAAAGTGGTTCGATGACTTCTTATGTCTTTCATTGTTTTGATAGCATGTCATTTTATCTTATGTATGGTACGATCATCTTTCGAAACTGTGGCACGGATAGAAGCATGGCGTGATTCTCTGTTGATTACGTGTATCCGCGCATACATATTTGTATATAAATATCCTCAGATATGTTTTTCTTTCGATTCTTTTGTTGGTGTACCTGTTTTATCTTGAAAATTTTTCATAAATTTTACTATGTCCATGATAAAATTTGAACATCCTGATGTGTAGAGAAACATGGAACACAAAATCATTATGATGATCCTCTGCTTCATTGTGCAAAATGACCATAGTTATGATCACCTCTTTCGTGTAGATATTACAAGACATAGTAAAAGTGTTCGAAATTACGATGGTTATCTTTTTGGCTCTCTGTAACTATACAATCTTGATGATCATATCAACTGTTACAAGCATATTTTGCTTTCTTTTGATCTGAAATTTATGTTTCTAACTAATCATACAATATTCTAATTAACTTTTGAAATTATTTCAGATATTATTGAGCAATTTTGATTACTACCGATTCGACAATATAACCACTTTTTTTCGTTATCATGCACGATAATAATCCAGATGATGTAGATTATGAAATTATGAAGAAGTCATACAACTTCTCCAATATGCTACGTTCAGCGTTTCTCGTCATAGGTGCGTACTAAAACTACACTAGAATATTTTTATCTAATGAATATTTAACAGAATTTAATTCGATTGAACTTTAGATCTATTTTTACGGCACATCGAAAATAGATGTAGATGAATATATAATTAAAAAACCAAGAATAATAGCTATCAGTGTTATTGTTGTGACTAATCAGAAGTTCATTCTAATGCCTTTTCCCCTGAATTATCGTATATGATTCTTCTTAGCCATGAGCTTGTGTATACAAGATTACGTTTTTCGACCATAATCTATTCGTTTGTGCTTGTCTCTGTGGTTTTTTCAGTAACTTTTACCTATCCAAATAATCAATATAGAATACTCTACCTAAACATATATTTTAGCGCCACAGTAATCAGGTCCATACAAATATATAACTATCAGATTCAAAATAGGGCTATTTCTTCTATAGACGAGTTTGATTGGTAGATCGACGAAGAATCGTCGTACATGATGAGTCATTGATTTGTTGTTGGTTATGACGATTATATTTAGACGTATTTTTAATTTCATGCGAAAAAAAAGAAAAAAGAAAAGAATGAGCAGAAAGAAAGAAAAACATTCGTCAAGTGTGTCAAGGTATCTACAACAATTATTGCTATAAAACCAAGCAAATCACCATTTTTACATGACGATATTTCAAAGTATGACTAACTAGACAAATTTTTTCTCACGCTTCTCGAATAAGTAACAAAATTTGAATTGACGTTATATTCTACGTTTTGACAGTGTGTCAATAAAAAGATTCTTACAGGTAAAAGTTAGAAGTGATTAACAGTGCTGAAAAGCATGACACAAAACTGCTCTCTCATCATTGAGGTAATCCTAGTGACAACAAACGCTGACATAGAAAAATCGGGAGTGTGAATCAGTTTGTTCCGTCTTTTCTTTTACTCTTTAAATTATAACCCTAGTCACTTCTTTTTTTCTTATAATTCATTTTTGATCATTTACATTAATATCAACAGATCAAGATCAAATGGCAACGACAACGACAACGGTTCGTTTCTATGATTCAACATTTTATACAATTGCATTAACATCAGTTGCTTATTTATTATTTCAAATCTATTCAATACGTCCACATTCACATCGTTTAATACTATTTATATCATTTTTATGTACTTGTCTCAGCTGTGAAGCATTTTTTCAAATATTCCAACCGAATTCATTAATCCATTTTTCAAATTTAACTATAACAAACTTTTTTTCACCGACAATTATTCATTTTACACTATTATTATCGATATCATCATTTCTATGGAATGCAACACAATGTGCTGCATTATCATCAATACTTCTTCCAACAAATTCACTGGAAAAACAACAACCTCCAAATTTTGTGCTACGCCGTTGGCTTCGTCATGTATGTGTAGATCATGTATTTGCACTTTTACTTGTTCGTTTGGGACGTCTCACCGATGTAGCAACTATAACCGCGTTGAGTAATATGGCAAGTATATGTGTTATAGCAAGTTGGTGTTCACAAATAGCTGTTTTTCCATGTATGCTATGTTTTCTCTATTCATTATTTATTGATTCGACAACGAATTCAGATAAGAAAAATTCTTCGTCGCTATTAACAACGAATGTCGACGAATTTAATTCTGTATTACATCGTTTAAAAATAATTAAAATTATGGGTTTAGCTTTATTTGGTTTAAAAATATCAGCATTATCATTATGTGAAACATTAGCTTTAGGTTTAACAGGTACGATTTGTTTATCGTGTCTTGTTGTAGCACCACCTGGTCGTGAAATGTCCAAATACACGAGAATATTTGATATATTTATTGGAAAAACATCTGATGAAGACAAAAATGAAACAATGACCATTGAGAATGTGAAACAGCTGCCAGAAATCACACAAAAATCCATTGTTTCAAAAAATGAGGGTACAAAAAAAATAAAATAAAACCTTATTTTGTTTTTCAAAAAACATTTATCATTTAGATTCTCATCTTCATAATACAGTTCATCAACGATTATCGGCTCGCACAAGTTTTTCACATTCGCCATCAGCGCCTATGATTATAGTGCCAGCATCGAAAAAAGTTGAAGTAAATAAACCGTCGACGAAAGTCATAGATTATTCGGCTCTAACTGACGATGAAATCTTATCATTGGTTAAAGCTAAAACATTAGCTGCACATAATCTTGAAAAATATTTACCTTACTTACGTGCAGTCCATATTCGTCGTATTCTATTAAATGAACAATTGATATCAACGAAAAATACATTATCATCACTTGATTCTTTACCTTATGAACATTATGATTATTCATTGGTTATTAATCAATGTTGTGAAAATGTTATTGGATATGTTGAAATACCAGTCGGATATGCTGGTCCATTACTTGTTGATGGTAAACATTATTATATACCAATGGCTACTACAGAAGGTAATATTTCTTAAATTAAACTATGACTCGAATATCGTTGGTTACCTCTAACGAACTAGTTGAGACCAAACGTAGTTAGTTAGCATAAAAGATTTTCACTTTTCCGACGAAGATTAGTCCAGATTTTCCTTTTCAATTACTAGTAATTAGGCAATGATTAGTGAGTTGTGTGTCTTAGAACATCTTATTCACAGTTAGAAAATGTTTAGCGTCTAACATGCAAAAGCAAATAATTAGATTCTATCGAAAAGTTTGTAGAGTTAGTCTCAAATGGATGCCACCTCCGTCTTAATATATACACATGAGAGTTTTTAGCACATTGTTTTCTTCTATTTCCAATAGAAATCTTAGAAAATCACAGGTTTTTTAAAATTACATTGCTTTTAGGTGCACTTGTTGCTAGTACAAATCGGGGCTGTAAAGCTGTAACAATGTCGAAATTAGGTGTTGAAACCATTGTATTTAATGATGGTATGACACGCGGCCCTGTACTTAAATTTAATACTATTCGACATGCACATGATGCGTATGAATGGTTTGAAACAAATTTCGATGAAATAAAACAAACCTTTGACCGTACAAGTTCATATGCACGTTTAACAAATATAAAACGAAACATGGCTGCACATTATTTATTTGTTCGTTTTGTTGCAACAACTGGCGATGCAATGGGTATGAATATGGTATCAAAAGGCGTTGAAGCTGTATTAACACTTATCAAGTCGAATTGGCCTGACGTAGTTGATATTATTAGTATTAGTGGAAATTATTGTATAGGTAAATTAATTTGAATTTTAATCATTTTTCTTTGTTTTCTTCTTCTTAAAGATAAAAAACCATCAGCATTAAATTGGATTGATGGACGAGGGAAGTCTGTCGTTGCAGAAGCTACCATATCACATGAAGTGCTTGAACAAATTCTGAAGACAACTGCAAGTCGACTTGTTGAATTAAATCAATCGAAAAATTTACTTGGTTCAATAATGGCTGGTTCTATAGGTGGATTTAATGCACATGCTGCGAACATTGTAGCTGTAAGTTTGCTTTTATAGTTTCGAAAATAAAATGATATTTATATTCTATGCATTCTATTAGGCAATGTTTATTGCTTGTGGGCAAGATCCAGCACAAGTTGTATCTAGTAGTAATTGTATGTGTTTAGTAATAAGCATGAAGAATAAAAATGATTAACATCAACGCTTTATTTTAGGTTTAACGTGGCTTGAAACAGCTGGTCCTGAGAATCGTGATTTGTACATATCATGTACGATGTATTCAGTTGAAGTAGGAACAATTGGTGGTGGTACAAAATTAGCTGCTCAGCAATCTTGTCTAAAAATGCTTGGTATTGATGGGTCTTGTGTGCAAATGCCTGGTGAAAATTCTTGCCAATTTGCCAAACTTATATGTTCAACAGTTCTAGCTGGTGAACTTTCTTTAATGAGCGCATTAGCCACGAACGATCTTGTCCATTCTCATTTGCGACTGAATCGTAGTGCAGCAGCTCTGAACCAAATCAGATAGTATTTACTTATGTTTAAAAAGAGAAGGAACAGTCTTTTCACTGTCTGTTTAGTTTTTCGAATATCCGTGTGACTTTTCTTTTTTTTTTGTGCACTGCTGAATAAAAACAAAGAAAAAGAAGGGAAATATAACCTAATATAAAAATTTTAATCCTGGCTTTTATGTTATATCGAATCATACTGCAAACCAATCAAACGAGTAGCTACACGATGTGTTGTAATGTTTGACATGATTTATTTTCTTGCGGTTTAAGACCAAGAAAAAGAAAATAATTGGTACTTTTTAGCCATACGAGAGTTTCTTTATAGTTCTATTTTGGTCTTTAGATCAACAAATCTAAAAATAGTTTATATCGATCGTGCTAATTTTTTGCCTTCTCATTCTCTGTTTCGATTATCTTCTTGTGAACCGTCAGTATAAGATTCTTCGTTTTTTCTCTATTTCAATTTTGTTTCGTTCAATTCATAACTATGATGGATGTATATTTGAATAGGTAATAAATATCTGAGAGATGTTATCCTTCAACGATGTTATGTCTACTGTTGTGCATTATTTTCTTTCTCCCTCTCCCTCTCTCTCTCTCTATGTAAGTCCATTTCTCATCTATTCGAAGATGCTTCTTTTCTCTTCTTCTTTTTTTCCTCTTAGCTTATCGTTCCTAAATGTTATTATAATGCCGAACCGCAGCAGTATATTTCCCAAAAAGAAGAACAATCAATGCGCATCTAGATTTTGTTCTGTAGTACGTCTGGATATATCCACAATATGCGCTCTACAAATATATACAACAAAGAGGCGGGAAGCGGTTATCTATCTGTTATTTTTTCTTCTGGCCGCCCGTTGTCATAGAAATGTGTATTACCCGATTTGGAACGTATAGATATACATATTCTCTGGAAAAACAAAAAGAGGAAAGAGAAAAAAAAACTATTTTGGTACATCTGGATATAGTCAAGAAGATATTGCGGCTGCTGTTCTTTTTGCGGACAATCTCAATAGAGGAGACATACACACACACACATACACATTTTACTATCATCTAAATCTTCCTTTTAGCGAATAAACATGTGTGACGAAGACGTTGCTGCTATTGTTATTGATAATGGATCGGGTAAGAAAATAATTTAACATGAAATGAAATTTTAATCTCATCATATTTTTTGTTTTCTAAAATATGAATAGGTATGTGCAAAGCTGGTTTTGCCGGTGATGATGCTCCTCGATCGGTATTTCCATCAGTCGTTGGTCGACCACGTCATCAAGCCGTTATGGTTGGTATGGGTCAAAAAGATTCATATGTTGGTGATGAAGCTCAATCAAAACGTGGTATTTTAACACTCAAATACCCAATTGAACACGGTATCATTACTAACTGGGATGATATTGAAAAAATCTGGCATCATACTTTCTACAATGAACTTCGTGTTGCACCAGAAGAACACCCCGTTCTTCTCACCGAAGCTCCACTTAATCCAAAAGCTAATCGTGAAAAAATGACACAAATCATGTTTGAAACATTCAATTCGCCTGGTAAAATCATTGATTAGAGAGAAAAAAATAATAATAAATATTTATTCTATATATATTATTTTTTTCTCTAGCTATGTATGTCGCCATTCAAGCTGTACTTTCATTATATGCATCTGGTCGTACAACTGGTATCGTTCTTGATTCAGGTGATGGTGTTACACACGATGTACCCATCTATGAAGGTTATGCTTTACCTCATGCCATTCTTCGTCTTGATTTGGCTGGTCGTGATTTAACTGATTATTTAATGAAAATCCTCACTGAACGTGGTTATTCATTTGTAACAACTGCTGAACGTGAAATTGTCCGAGATATCAAAGAAAAATTATGCTATGTTGCATTAGATTTCGAACAAGAAATGGCAACAGCTGCATCAACATCATCATTAGAAAAAAGTTACGAATTACCTGATGGTCAAGTTATTACCATTGGTAATGAACGTTTCCGTTGCCCCGAATCACTCTTTCAACCATCGTTTTTGGTAAAGCAACTGTTTTTCTTTTATTAATTATTATTATTAACTTTTTTTTGTTTTAAATCTATTCTAGGGCATGGAAGTTGCTGGTATTCATGAAACAACATTCAACTCAATCATGAAATGCGATATTGATATTCGTAAAGATTTATATGCTAACACCGTCTTATCTGGAGGTAAATAAAAAATTATTATCATTTATTTATTTATGTTTTCTTTTCTAATAAAAATATTCACCACTTAACAGGCACCTCAATGTATCCTGGTATTGCTGATCGTATGCAAAAAGAAATAACAGCTTTGGCTCCATCAACAATGAAAATCAAAATTATTGCTCCACCTGAACGTAAATACTCCGTATGGATTGGTGGCTCAATCTTGGCTTCATTATCTACATTTCAACAAATGTGGATCTCGAAACAAGAATACGATGAAGCTGGTCCATCAATTGTCCACCGTAAATGCTTTTAAATTGAAAGAAGATCGTCAATCAGAACATTTTGTGTTTTTTTTAATCTTTTTTCAAACAAACAACAAAAGCAACCTTCTTCAATTGCACGTATACCTTACTTCCTTACCCTATTTCAATGATGTGCCATCATTATCATATCTTTTTATTCATTCGTCTTCTTCTTTTTATCCCTTTGATTAACAATTTTGTGCAATGACAATAGCATATATTCATAAGTTTTTTGTGCGAACAAAAAGAAATATATCTTAACAAACCAATATTCATTTCTTTCAATAGAATCAAAATAATATTGATGAACTTATTTTAACTACATACGATCAAAACAGAATTTATCTTGTACAATGCATACGAGTAAATTATAGAGCTTCATAAAAAAACTGACGATAACAAAAAAAAAAAAGAAATTTTGAATACGAAGAATATGAATAGTAAATTTTATGGGCTTGCAAGTGTACGAGAGTTTCGTTGCACACTTCAAACTTTCTTAGTGGATGAAGAATGAAGTGACAATGTGTACCGTAGCCGCTGAAGCAAGAGTGATGTAGATATGCAAATAGAGAAATAGACGAGTGTACAATATATGAGCTATGGCAATAAAGTAAGAATTTTGTATGAGAATGAATATGTCATGCAATATTATGCTCGAAAGACAATACTGATATTTTATTTATTGCTGAAGATCGATCGGAAAAATAAATTACTGATTATAAATATGGTATAGAAGTAAATATTATTGTTGCTATGAAGTACCTCATAAATGAAAAGATAATTCGTAGATTTCAAAAGACGTTTTTTCAATTATTAATAACAATTTTTAATTGATTGTTTTGATCTACGTCAAGTTAGATTGTGTAGTTTTTATTTTCGTTGACAAATGAAAAGAAACGTCTCAGTATCAATTACCTACTTAAGATAGGATTATTCATATCACACAATAAGCTGAAGTTTTCAAATGTTTTATCACTTATTTTAGGTAAAAGACGCAAAGAAAAGTAGAACATTGAAAATACGCAGATAAAATTAACCGGAGTAAATCGATGTCAACATTTCTATGACTTATAGAGAAAAGGTTTCCGTATACGTTTGCTTATAGAGTTTGATTTAATAAGAGGTTCTAAAATTTTGTTGCCATTTACAAATATTTGTATACATTCTGAAAAGATTATTCCTCAGGCTTCAAGAAAATTTCAACCGATTTACATGAAGTTCAAGTACCAAAAAGAACACAATCGAGTTTTTTCTCGTTCAAATAGAGAGAAAATTAAACTGCTTTGACCTTGTTATTAATATAGAACTTTTTATCTACTTGCGAGAGAAAGTTCTCTTTCTACTAAATCGATGACTATTTTTCAACAAATAAAATAATAACAGTAGTACATTCAAATTTATCAAATCGAGTATAAAAATCATTTACATATGAGAAGATCATTGCCAATTTATGTGAAAAATATGAATTTTATATGAAAAACATATTTCAATAAAGATTTGATACATAGATCGTACGATGCAATGTCTGGTATAACACATTTGCAGTTTTTTTTATCCTTCAAACGTATGAAACGAATAGTGAAGCGATAATAGCTTTGTGCGAACATAACGCATCTACTAGAATTTGCATACGCTTATTATGCAATAAAAATAACAGCAGAACACATAACACTTTCATTGAACAGTTATCAAAACAACCTGTGATTACACATAGATTTATCTGAAGAACTTATTCTATTATATATATATAGAATAAAATTGATATGGAGAATATTACTATCTTAGTTGCCTACTTTAGTATTATTATTTTGTTTTTCAAATAGATGTGTTCTTTTCTTTTTTCGATCAACGATAAGCAAGAAAATAGCAACAAAAAATGCACTGATTACGAAAAGTTACGAACGAATTTTTTAGTCACGATATTTCATTATAATAGAAAAAGAAAAGGCGAAATGAATCAGTAGGAATCATTCAGAGAATTGAAAATAGCTTAATCATTTAATGCTGATAGAGGCGTATTGAAAGAGTCGAATAATTGATTACCATTACCAAGCATTGCATGTTATGACTTCAATATATATATATATATATATATATATATTTAAATATGTATCAACGACACATTTCAGTAGATTGCATTCGAACAGCACTTGTATAGTGTATGTTGACAAAAATATGTGATCTCGACCGTCATTATTTGCCTTTAAGGGACTTCTTTGTTCATCGTTCTATATGAATTCAGATCTCAGTTCGTGAGGTAATGTATCAACTGGTGTCACTATAGAGAGTATATACATAGGACAGTATGCACCTGAAATAAAGGATTTTTTTCTTTTTCTTTTTGATCGCTCTCTTTTGTATGTTTTCGCATCTGACAAAAATCACAGCGATTGATTGTATTGCTATGATCGGTTGACATCGCTCATTGGCAAACAGAAAAAAAAAGTAAAATATATATTTTTTTCTTTTCTTCGGTTCTCATTTCAGTGGCAGCAGCCTTCCTATTGCTAATAATTGTTGAAGAACAGCAAAAGTATGTATAAATCATACGCACATACACACATACGCACACACACCAAACATTGAGTAAGATTTAAAAAAACATAATCTAATAACATGAATATATGTGCGAGCGCATTTTTTTCTCATTTTAAAGGAGTCTTTTTTTTTTTATAGACACAACATGATACGACTCTCAAATACATAATGCTCTCAATTAACCTGAATATATATATTTAACGTAATTTTATTAATTCCAACGGTGGCTTTTCACTCCGGTGCCTTTAATCTAAAAACGAAAATGGCTGGTTCATATCGTCAAAAGTCACCATCCGTTATACATCGTAGTCGACTGAAATCTCGTTATGTATTATCGATTGTTGTGGGCCTTATACTTGGTTTTGCACTAAGTTTTGCGTGTTTACCGTTAATGAGTATATGCGATAGTTCGCCATCGATTTTTTTCGAACCATTCTCTTCTTCATTAAATATTCGTTTGAACAGTGGAAGGCGTTCTTCAAATGATAAATTAGATTCATTTCGAATTTTAAATCGGCAAGCTCGGTCAATAGCTGATGTAACACTTGTTGATTATCGTAGTAAAGATTACGAACCAAGAATTCGCCCATTACTTCAGCCGTCTGTTAAATCAAATAATAGTAATATTAATGTTAATGTTAGCAGTAATAATAAAAATAAAACTGCTAATGCACCTACACGTCCACCACATTCATCTACATCCATACGACCTCGTTATATAGCCGATGAATTAGGTATTCGTGAAAAGGTTCTTGTTGCTGTTTTAGCTGAAACAGATCGCTTGAACACATTCAGTTTTTTCCTTAATCAAACCTTACAGGATCACGTTAATCGTTTATTATTTTTTATTAATGATAATGTACAAGATTTTCCTAAAAGTATGCAAGTTATTGCTATAAATGATGAGCGAACATATTTAAAGCCATTCTATGTGCTAAAATATCTTGCGGAGAAAATGATTAACTTGTATGATTGGTTTTTTCTTGTGCCAGATAATACGTTTATAAGAGGCTATAAAGTAAGTTTAACAAAGAAATTTATTTTTGCATGAAATTGTGTTTTCTTTCTTTTTAGTTGACTGAATTTCTTAATCATATTAGTATTGGCCAAGATCTTTATATGGGACAAGCATTTGATGATGTACACGCTGTTTATTGTTATTTCGGATCAGGAATTATTATATCGTCAGTAAGTTTATATCAAATACAGATAAAAAGTTAGAATTGATAGTAGCTCTTTTGTTTTTAATAAAGAACGATTTACATTATTCGGCATAATAGGTTCATTCTCGAAGTGCTATTATGATCAGAGAAATATTTTACGCGTCTGTATCAAAGAATTTTCATTTTAAAAATATATCTCTCGATAGATAGTTTAGTTTTAAACAATATAGAAAGTATCAGAGTATAGCAGTAGAACTTTGGATCCTCTCCTACACCACCATTGATATAGAAATATCATTAACTGTGGCAGACGTAGTTGACATAATATACTTTTTAGGATCGTATACAAAACTTAATAACGTCTCGAACTAACGTGCAAATTATTTCCTGATTACATTTTCTAGTTACCAGTTTTCGTAATCGAAATTTAAATCAGGATTTATTTATTAAAAATTATTGAATTTATATCACAAGATGAAACAATACAAATTCTGGAAATTTATGAACGAAGTAGTACCATTGAAAATGTTTATTGTAGAAAACTGAAATATATTTATGAAAAAGATCTAAGAAAATTTTGCTTACTTTTGTCTTGAACACTTTATTAGAATCATTAAAATTTATCAATACAAATTCATGTAGATTTTCATTCAGTTATAGAATAAATTTGGGTTTTTATTTATTTATTTTTAGTCAGTACTTCGAAAAGTGTTAACTGAACTTGATTGGTGCACGAAAAATGCTTATTCACAAGATTTAACTGATAATATTGGACGATGTATTTTAAAAACTGCAAAGTCACCCTGTACTAATACAACTAATGTACGATTTTCTTTTACTTCATATAGAAAAAAAAAACAAATCTTATGAGAATTTATAATTTTTCATGTTTAGTCTTACAAATTCAATGCTTATGTTAATTATCGATTTGAATTCGATACAGATATTGATAAATTACGTAAATCAGCAGATTTTAACGACTCATTAACCGTTCATCCAATCAATGATCTTGAAACAATGCTCAAACTTCAAAAGTATAGTTGAATTTTTATACGGTTCAATTGAAGAGCAGAAACGCATGAAATAAATCTATTTTTTTAAAGGTATTTTAATCAAGTAGAAATTGATGAAACAACGCAAAATATAAAAACATACGGAGAAACTATTGAACAATCATCTTGTTATACTCTTGAGGGTTGTGGACATATTCCGTGGCCTGTCGGAGTACCACCACCGTTTAAGCCTCCAACCCGTTTTGATGTTCTTCGTTGGGATTATTTTAATGAAACGCATATTTATTTAAAAAATGATAATGACGTGATCGATCCATTGAAAGGTACGTCTCATAGAATTCCAGTTAATCTTTATTCTGGTTGTTCACTTGTTTGATAGATGATGATTACGAAGATATACATGAAGTTATTGATTATTCTGTACAACAGTTTAAACAAACCTATGGAAATCAGTAAGTTATATCAAAGACAGAAAGATGTTTCGAAGATTTTATTTTCTATTTTCTTATTATTATGAAGATTAACTTTTAAAGCACTGCTCAATGGTTATCGTCAATTTGATCCAACACGAGGTACACACTATTTCATTGATATAGTGCTGACCGATGGCAATAATAATGAATATATTAAACGTGCTGAACTGATGAGACCATTAGGTAAGATATCTGATTGAAAAATGAAGTTATCTAATACAATTAAAGAATAGCATAAACGAAATACGAAATAATTACTTTTTAGGTCTTGTTGAAATCGTTCCGATGCCGTTTGTAACTGAAACAACCAAATTATTTCTTATTTTACCTATTCATTCCGATGACGAATCAGTAGCTATTCGTTTTCTTCATCATGTTAATAGAACTCTATTCGATCGAGAAACTCGCGATAAATTCGAATTGCTTCTTACACATATTGTTGCAACAAAAGAAGAAAATTTTCAAACACAAAAATGGTTCGAAAATATTCGTTCTACAGTTGATTCAATACGCCAAATACATACACAATTAGCAATAACATATCATACTGTACTGCTTTCGTCATCAACAATTTCGCATAGTTCTCAACTCATTTATTTGCTCGATTCATTTCAAGCAAAACTTCGTACAAATGCTTTAATATTTATTACCAATCCATATGTAAATATTGATTCAGATTTTTTAAATCGATGTCGACTGAATGTTATTGAAAATATTCAAATTTTTTTTCCAATTGCTTTCTATCAATACCATCCACATATTATAGCACTTTCTCGTAATATAACCGATAACACAACAATTGATTTACATAAAACTGTCGGATGGTTTAACTCTTATGCTTATGAACATATTGGACTGTATATGAGTGATTATTTAAATTTAAAAAAATGGATTTCATTTCATAATATTACAATATCAACAGCAAATCTTTATGATTTATTTGTACAATTATCTGATTTGCACATCTTACGTGCACCAGATCAATCGTTACGTGTTCATTATCGAACAATTAAATGTGATACAAATTTACAAGTGAATCCCATTGAATACGATCGATGTACAGCACAACAAGAAAAAGGTTTAGCATCACGTAGTCAATTGGCTATGCTTATTATTGAAAATGAACAGAAAAAACACACAACGAACGTGAAAAATAAATAAAAAGATTCTCAATGTTGAATACAAATTTTAGAATGTTGCATCTTGAAATGATTTCTAAAATGCATAACAACCGAATTGGTGTAAGAATTAAAAAGATAATGATCGGCTTAAGCTTCTTTAAACAGCAAACAGCAACTCTAACAAAATCTATCTTTTTTTCTAACAGCCCATTAAGATTGTGCGCTAATTAGATCGAGGCGATAATCAGTAAACAGACGTTTAACATTTTTTAGTTTAACAAATTTTTCTTGATAAAAATATGAAATAGAAAATGTTTTGTTTCGTAAGTGACTGGTGAATCAAGTATTATTATTTTATATATTTCGATACTTGTTAGCAATAGCAAATATATTGATGCAGACGTTAGTAAGATTCAAACTTAGTTGCACGTATATCATTAGGATCATCGGCTTCATCTTTTCTCAACATGATGAATTTGATGTTTATTCACCCATGTAATAAAAACTGCATGAAAATCGGCGGTTTTACCGGTCCGGTTACCGGCTCTCATTACCGCAGGAAGGATAAATACCGCGGTTTACCGCAAAAAAATGATCCGATATTCGCAACATGGGTATGATTTATATTGATTGCACGCGATAAGGAATAAAGAATACGAAGACATCTACGGAAGAATTCATGAATCAGCTGCTGCTGTTGTACTGAAAGAAACATGTTCACTTGAAATTGTAGTAAATATAGAAAGCTATCTAAGTGAACACGGATGTATGGGCTATAAACTAGAATAATATCAAAAAGAATTGAACCTACAAAATTTCAAGACAAACAACTTCCGTCTCTTTGGGCTATTGAAAAGCAAACCTGATTTTTCGAATCAAACATCGAATATCTCATGAATAAAATAATCTATGGTATCATTGCAGTGGAATAATCATAGTTCTATGAACACAAGTCATTGCTTGAAGGTTTCGTCAAATTCTTGACATATGTAGATCTTGTCCTAATGTTCAAAGTAACTTACAAGTTGAAAAACAATAAATCATTTCGATCAATTCCTAGATCAGATCACAGAATTTACAACAGCCAAACTCATTCACTAGGAAACAATCGACATTCAACGTATGACTATGTTAAAATTGCACGATAAATACGTAGCGTATGTTAGTAGTGAAAGAAAAATGAAAGAAAACCGTGCGCAATCCAATTTGTTGATATTATGAAATTTAACTAGAATCATATTCAGCAGCACTAATTGAATAGTAGTATAACTTACTTTGTCCCTTGAAAAATAATTTAGAATAGCTATTTATAAACTTATTCAAGTTTGTTGTATCATCAGGACAAAAAAAGATATTTTGAATGAACTCTTGAACCAAGGCAAAAATAATAAATGTTTTATTATGATTATAATTTAAAGTCCTTAACGCATTCGTTGCAAGAACATGAACGTATTCTTGCATATGGGATTTCTTCGATGAAAGCAATTGTTATATTATTTTCTAATCGTTGGCATTGCATTTCAATTGGTTCCATATTTATTTCCGAGGGTGAACAGCAACGACATGTCATACCTGATATGCATGTACCTAAACATTGTTGTCGCGGTACTGGATTTATTGACACACAATCGTTATAGACAAGTTGTTCGACTGGCAATTCTTGTACTGAACATGGTTCTATTTCTAAAAAAGTAAAATAAAATAGTGCATCTTTGTAGAGGGGAAAATTCATTTTGTCAATATACTCTTAGTTCGATTACATGAACCGCAACATTCACCATCGATCGGTGCTACATATTCATAAGTAGCGAATGGATCATTGGTTAATTTTGAACATATATCAGGCGTCACAGCACATCGAAAATTACATGTTTCTTGACCAGTAGTTACATCGCAAGAACATTGTGTACAACCTTTCCTATAGGATGTTTCGTTCGTTGAACATGTGCGGTTTTCTTGTTCGATTTCAGGCTCTAAGCCAACACATGAACGTGAACGATATCGCGCTTGTGTTCCATTACATTGTGCTGAACAAACACCAAATGAACTCCATGTACTCCATTCACACGTTGAACAATCTTTTGTAGACGGACGACAATTGAGACAACCATTTGAACACAAACTAAAGGAAAAACATAAAGAATTGTTAAGTGTGCTTCGTTTTCGCTATAAAATGATAAGTCGCACCAATCTTGACATGTGTTTCGATCGCTCATAGTTTGACCATGAACAAGGCTAATTTTACCATCCGAAATTTGACATAAACATTGATTTATTTCAATACATTCTCCTGATGTACTCATAACTAATGGACTTGGACATACACAACCAGATACGCAAATCGATGGTTCATTACACGAACGACATGTTAATGTATTACATGTATAACCACAAGTATTACTGCAATTACTCATTATTCGTCCATTTGTACATGCCAATGTCTCAGCTGAAACTCTCATTGAATATTTATAATAGTTGAGTTTTATCTTGACTTTTAAAATTACTTACGGCATTGCCCTGTATTGCACGGTTCAATTTGTTTATCAGAGCCCTCACATATAATGCCTTGTTTACAATGAGAAGTATCATTTTTACACGTTCTCGAACGTATTCGTTCACCGCCATTACACAGTTGGCTGCATTTGCTCCACGGACTCCAGCCTGACCAGGCAGGTGTTTCGCCTATTTTCATTCAAATATGTTTTGATGAAGATTTTCAAAGCTAATTTCGACTTACTTGACGGACAACATTGAGGATTACAATCTTGTATTTCTTCCAATTGATCAGTACAATTCGGTTGAAAAGATAAATAATATCTCGATCGTTTTCGACCACCAAGATTACATGATTTTGAACATGAACTCCAATTGGACCACGATGAAAGAATACATGAACCAAAACAAGGTGGTGTTTGACATGAACGAGTTTCTTTGTCTGGTTTACATAGATGTGAACCAGTAAGAATCTGTACAGATGTACGTTGTCGAAACTGAATACCTGCACGATTTTCATCACCACACTGACCTTCACATGAGCTCCAAGGAGACCAAGAAAGGTAAACACATTTTTCTAGGATTTAAAAATAGAAAGATAGGACAATATATCGCAATAATATTCAAAACGTAGATAGACTGCAAAAGAAATCGAAAGCTAGATAATTAAAAATGCGACAAGTCTTTTTTTCCCAACAGTTCAATATCATTTCGAAAGTTTGAATAAAAATAATTTGTAAATTCTTACGTTGACAACCTGTCGACTTTTTTACATCTAATCCAACATTAGAACAAATAAATTGCGAACAATTATACGTATAAACGATTGTGCCAGTATCTAAAATATCTCCGATATGTACGGCTTTTCCTCCATCTTTCAAATAGCCAACGATATCTTGAGAATATATAAACATTATACATAAATATTGCACATTACTTCAAACTACATACCATTCACCGGTACTTTCTGACTGGTGGCAGACATATAAAATTCTTTGGTTAATACACACATGCATGGTTGTAATTGACACATACGATAGTCCATTAATGCAGCATTACATCCACTACCTGAAAGTTGATTCCGTGCACGCGTCTGTACTCCATTACCACAACTAACTGAACAATGTCCCCAACGTGTCCATTCAGAATATCGACATCTTGGTTTGAGTGTTGCTAGTAAAAAATGTAAAATAATACTTTACATACAATGTTTCAATTATTATTTTACTAGTAGTTTTCGATTGTTGCATTGTTTTCTTGATTTGTCTAGCGGTTGATATACTTGTATACCTAACTGAACTCTTATAAAAACATCCATTTGTAAAAATGTTAACACGACGAGGCGGAAGACCATCAATAGTATCTAATAGGATAACTCGAATACCGGAAGAACTTACAGGTGGAAATCCTGTTAAACGAGGATTACTGTTCTTTTTATCTGTTTTATTATAATGTGGTGATGTTAAAGTATATAAGATACTATTCGGCAGTTCGATTAGTTGTACAAGTATTCGATATACATTACTTGATCTAATACCAACTTCAAACAGACGACCAGCAATACCCGATGGAAAATCAACTTCAAGTATAATTGGTTTTTGCCGTTCGGAATAAGAAATTCCCATGCTATCAGTCATTACATTTTTAAAATTCTCATCGATGGGCGAAGGTGTTCCAGTAATGTATGGAGTCAAAAATTTTCGTGGATGATATCCGTTGCGTCCAGCCATGATATTCGAATGAAGACATTTAACTATTTGAATAAAAAATAAAAAACCGATTAGTGCAGCCTCTAAAGGCTTAGGCAACGAAATATGATGTACAGCTATTCATGTTAATCATAGAGGTGCTAGTGCTTTATTTCATCCGTTCTAGGACATATTTTAATTCTCGAAAAAGCATGTGATTTTTTATTCGTATATGTAAATCTTCGTTTTACCTGTCCACCATTGTTGCTTTGAAATTTTTTCAGTAGGTTGAACTTTAGTTATTCTATCAAAACAACCAATAATTGACCAACAGATATTTCTAATGGGTTTTCCTTTTGTGATGGTCACTTTTAAATATTGAATATGCGTTGGATGAGTTGGAAAATAAAGATTTGTACTAAGTATTTGTTTAAATACTGATAAATCAATTCGTTTTAACAACTGTCGATTTTCATCCAGTAATTCAATACGTATTTGTTGTATACGATGATTCGTTGTAAGAATAGATATATTTTGAATGTGACGAATAAAGATATCTTTTTTAAATTCAAGAATAAAATATATTGAGTGATTGTCCTTTTGTGTTGCATTGAATAATTTTGGTATAGCCAATGTACCACCAGCCGAAGCAATTAAACTTTTAACATGTTGTTTATTCATTAAGTCTATTGAATGACAATATTCATGTCGTTTTGTTGTTGTCATCGTTGTCATTTGAGTAGTTTCAAATTTTGGAATTCGAAAGAAACAGCCACGAATCGATAGTTGAACATGATTAATATTTCTATTGTCATTTGTATCGAGAAATACAATTCGTATTGCAGCAACATTATCCGCCGAGAATTTTTCATGGCAATCCACTTTTAATAAACGTTCATCAATTTTATCATTGTCAAGATCAAAAAACGACACTTCGTAATGTTTAATATTATGCTGATGACCAATAATCGAAATATGATCAATATGACCAAAAATACCTTGTTTAAATGCAATGAAAATTGAACCAGACGTCGAATTAAACGATAAACCATTCGATGAAAACATGTTCGAATGCTCAGTACTATTTACTGTTAGAATAATTTTATGTCGATTTTTAGCAGCCATTGCATCAAGCATGACACATTTTTCTGTTAAAGAAAAAGAAAGATTCAATATTTTAAATTTAATTTAAAGGAAAGTTACTCCTTGTTTTTTATCAAGTTTCTTCTGAAATGAATTATCTGCAATCTTGAATAGGTACGTAGATAGTTACTCGGAAAAAAATTTGGTTTTCACATTTTATAGTATACTTTCTCATGAACCAAACGAAGTCGATTTGTAAGATAGAAGGGGTTTGAATGCACCTATAACGAAGGTGAATGTGTCATTTTGAAGGGAATTTTTTTTATAACTATACGCCAATAAATCTGTAAGTTTCAGAATATCTTATTTAGGTATATATTCTTAACTAAGTGATATCGATTTATTACGTTTTATTCTCTGTGTTGTTCGAGGTAATGATGTCGTAGCCGATTCGATCATTGGTGTTGTTGGCGGTGAAACTGCTGCGATTGACGGTGTTGTTCGTCGACGTGTTGGTAGAACACCAAAACAACCCTTGATCGATAGGCGAATATTAATCGGGGCTTGATTATCTTTTGTTTCAATGTAACTAATTCGTAGGGCAGCAATACCAATTTCTGTCAAACCATCAACAATTAGATCTTTATTAGATTCAATCGTTTGTACAATTGATTTATAATCATCGATAAGATCGACTTGAAATCGTTTGACATTTGTTATTACACTTGTCAACGACACCGAATGAATTTCAGCAAAAATAGTCGGTTTAAAAATCATGAGAAAAGTTATTGGCAATTGTTGTTCATCATATGAAACCGAAGATGTTTGATTGAAATAATCAGTTAATGTATGCGTTGTTTTTCTGGGTAATGTACCAGTGATAGAATCGACCAATATAGTAGAATCAAGTTTATTCATCATCTCAATTTCATGGCAATGATCTAATAAGACAATGAAGCCGATTGATTTTGATACAAGAAATAGCTAAATGTCTACTTACATGTTTTCGACGTTGACGAATGCCGCGCTGTCGTTACCGTAGTGCGTTGAGTTGCTGTTGTTGGGGATAGATTTATGCCAAAGCATCCATCAATACTCAAGGTAATATTTCGCGGTGTCTTTCCGTCTACAGTTGTGAGATATGTTATTTGTAAAGCAGCAATCGGAACATAAAAAGTAACATTTAATTGAGGACGCTGATTATCCACAGTGATTGTTTGTAAAATTAGTCGATCATTATCGATTAAATCAATTTTATATTCGCGAACATTTGTTGCATTATTTATAATTGATATTGATTTTAATTCAACATAAATATTTGTTTTAAATATAATGAGAACTTTCGGATGTGATTTTGAATAGGAAATGGACTTCGATGGATTAAAATAATTAAGTATTGATGACGAACATGGATTAGTGCCGGCTATATAGGCAATAACTTTAGTAGATACAGGTTTATTCGACATTAAATTTAAATGATGACATGGAGCTGTAATAATAAAAAATGAATTATATAAAAATGAATTTCTGTTTACTGTTTATTACTTGGTGTTGTTGTTGACATAGTTGAATGTACCGTTGCTGTTGATTTAGGTGGAAGAGCAAAACAACCTCTGACTGCAAGACGAACATTTTTTGCTGACTTTCCATCATACGTCTCTTCAATTGTGATTTTAACTGCACCAACATTTTGAATTGGCTCCATAGATTTTGATCCATTTGAATAATCAACAGTTATTTTTCTTATCAATACTTGATTTCTATCAAGATATTCTATGCTAATACGTTTTACATTGCTATCCGATATTGATGTAAGGGCGACATGTTTCAAATAAACAAATAGATTAGGTTTAAAAATAATGAACACCACAGTTTCATCATCTTGTTCATCGAACGATATAGATTTTCCATAGATAAGATCCAAAAGTGACGTATTACTACCTTGCGGATTGGTACCACTAAGACCGGCAAGAGTTCTTTCACTGTATGATTCTTGCATTGCATCAATATCAACACAATTATCTAAGAAAAAAATTAATTCTTTGTATTCATAAATTAAACGAAACTATGCAACACATCGTTGAACTAGTGTCAACGAAAACCCGTTTATAATATATTATCAAGATGTAGGGCTTCTATTTCTAATTGAAAGAAAGATATCCTGTCAATCAACCTGGATATAAAACAGCCAACATCTATCTTGGCCAGATTGAAGTCCTTACTAATTTCCCGAACAAATACGATACATAAAAGCCATGGTGTGTCACGATTGATTTTACTGACAGTACACAAGAGAAATTCTTAATCAAAAACTTATAATTTTAAGTATATTTTATTGAGCTACAGAAATCATAACTCAGCCAATTAATTTACTAGTGATACTATTCCATATGTTGGATTAAAGTCGAAGAATATATATATATATACCTGGTGTAATGGGTGTTGTTGTTGGATATGTTCGACGCGTAGTCGGTAGTGGTGTAGTAGTTGCTGGTGTTATAATTAGTATTTCATCTACGCATGCTTGAATTGATAGAGTGATGTTTTGCGGTGGTTGATTATCATCTGTTTCAAGAAATGTAATGCGAATACCAGCCAATACAACTGATGGTAGTGAATCTAAGTTCACTGTCATCGAAGACGATTCAATTTTATATTGAATATCATTTTCATTATTAAGTAATTCAATACGAAATCGTTCTAGGTTTGTTTCTTTCGAGATGATCGATATAGAATGAATGTAAATAAGTAGATTCGGACGTAGGATGATATCAATGAATGGAAATAAATCAGAAAATGTTATACCACCAGATGTAGTCCGGCCAATGGACGCCAAATTACCATAACTGATTTCAGATTGTGATGTAATACCAATGATGATATTTTTGTTTGTCATCAATTCTTTTCGAACACAATCACCTAAAACAAAAAAAATCATAAATATCAGAACGCGGCCAACATGCAAAAAAACTGATGTACGTGGTCGTTTTGTTGTTAGTCTCGTAGTTGTAGGTGCCAAGGTGGTTGTCGTCGTAGATGCAGTGGAAAGGCGTGGAACCGTTGAAAAGCAACCAATTATCGATAATATTATACCACGAGCTGGCCGATCATCAATGGTATTCAAAACTGTTATTTGTACCGTCGATACCAATAGCTCACGATTAATTATTATTGATAATGTATTCAAACTAGCAGATTGGAAAAAACATTTTAGATGTATTTTGGTTCTTATAAATAAGATGATAAGTATTAGCTACTTTATGGAGTAGACCGCCGGTTAGTAATAGATTCCATGGCTTTCTATCTAACGCTACAAGTAGTAAACCTGCGCAGAAGAAAGATCAGATGTAGTCTTCTTGAGTTTTCCATTTATATTTACTGCGTACTTTTATGTTACAATTATTTTTATAATGTTATAGATAGATTCGAGTATCGTTTTATAATGCTTTTGCTTATTTTCATATATTGCCCCATGTAAGAGCTTACATAATTTTGACATTCAAGATAACTCGAAATCGCATTTATAAACGTCTTTTTTTTTATAAAGTATTGAAATCTATGTACTAAGCATGAGAAATAGAAAAAATCTTTGAATTTTGCGACGAGAGTGTAAAAATTTCTTGTAAATTTCTCTGACAAATGATGGAACATCTTTTTATTGAAGCCTTTACAGAGAGGTTTTCCTCACTTTAGCGATCTAAAACTAGCTTGTAAACAATATTAGTACAAGAAAGTGCTCATATTTATTTCCTTAAATATTCCTATTCTTAGGCAAATAAGAAATATGTTTTTCCTCACCGATTATTTCTCAGATAAGTTGTTTGTCTTGAAAAAAGTAAGCTATTGTCGAAATCAAATAGATCAACTTGAAACTGACGTATGTTATTGGCACCATGTGAAATTGAAATTTCATCTAGTTGACCAATCACATTGGTTTGAAATCGAATACGAATAATAGGAGACTTGATTGCGTAATGAACACCTCGTTTTGTTGATTTAATAAAATCAATGAATGAATAACTAGGTAATGGTTGAGTTCCTTCGAATAGTCCAATAATTCTATGAGCATATTGAGGATCGACAGCGTTAACACGATAGCATGTACCTTTAATAAACAAACTCATTCATATGAGAAAATTATTTTCTTTTCACAATAGATCAATACAATGAACTCGTTAAGTAAATAGCGAAGCTGTAAAGACGTTTGAGATCGACCGAAAACGTTTACAATGTTCATCATTTAATCTTTCTGTTTCAAATGAAATATGTAGAACATAGAAAGCTTTTTGCTCTTGTTGAGAACGATAATATGTTTTCAAGTAGCTCGTTTTCTTGATAGACAGAATCTGTAAGAAAACGTTTATAGTTATCGCCACATTTCCTAATGGAAAGTATTGAAGATTTTCGTGTTATTGAAAATTCTAATTAACTTAGAGAGGCTTCATAGAATAAACCCTTTTTTTAATATGTTTATTGAAGTGAAACGATGGTCAATTAGAAAACGAATGTGCACAGTAAATTATTATGTAGGGAATGGATCGATTGCTTGGTACCTATATCTAGCTATAACAAATGCGTCATTGTCGCACATACTTTTTGTTGTCGCTGTTGTCGTTTTCGTTTGTTTCTTCGTAGTTGGTTTCGTGGGATGTTTTCGATAAAAACAGCCTTGAACGGATAGAGTAACATTAAATGGTGAATTATTATCAGTTGTTTCCAATATTGAAATGCGAATAAATCTCACGCGAAGTGTTTTCGTTGAATGTATCAAAACTTTCATATTGGTTGTTTTTTCCCAAAACAAACGGTTATGATTTTTATCAAATAATTCAACGATTATTTTTCTTACATTCGTTCGGTTTAACATATAATCAGGAATAGATATTTCGTTAAAACGAGACAGTATATTTTTACGCATACGAATATCAATGACGGCTTGTGATGTATTGTATGTAACTCCACCGTAACCTTGTAATAGATGATTATATGTAGAATTAAATGGACGAGTACCACCGAATTTAGATATAATTCTGGTGGTATAAAGTGACTTCATCGCGTCGATTTGTGTACAGTTTTCTTAAAAAAAAAAACAATGAATAGTTAAAATACTAGAAACTTGACATTCAAAACTCATTTTTCTTGTCATGACTCGGCACAGCCATTCGAGCTACCTCGACAACTACAATAGTTTTAACACATGAAAACCTTCATGCTTCGGTAACCTCACCCCATGCACACTCTTACGTTTCCATTCAGTAGACATATTTCTAGCGATTCTGAAAAAAATGCTGATTTGAACTGAAATTCTGTTAGCCACAATCAGCTAAGCAGAAATTATGACATTCGAAAGATAATGATTTTTCAACTTTCTATGCTTGTTTTAATCGAACCTTCATAGGGAAAGCAACGTGTTTCGAGACGATTCGATATTCTATGCATAATTATGACACGAAAATCTCCTTAAAATCCTGAATAGTAGACAATTTCAATTGAACATAAGAAACTTTACTTTGTGTCGGTTTTCCAGTTTGTTTAAAACAAGCTTGAAATAGAAGTGTAACATTTTTTGGTGGTCGATTATCATTGGTATCTAAGATTTCAATTTTAAAGAACCGAATATGTTTTAACAGACTAGCTTCTATTGGAAATGTATCAACCGTTGGGGATGTTAATTTCTGTTTACCATCCGTTGATAATATTTTATACCGGCCAACAGGTTGTCTATTTTTATTAAGAAATGTTAATTGAAATCGATTGACATTACTCGGTCGAAGAATTTCAAATTTAACAAGTTGTTTTATGATTATATGTTGTTGCAATGGAAGCGTTATAATAACTGTAGTTGCTGGATTATTTACTACGAATCCAATACCGTTTCCGCCAGGATTCATGTCCGAAATAGAACCGATGATTGGAGTAGAAAATTCTGGTGTTGAAAGAAATCGATCGTCCATGATGGTTGCTTGTAGTGCACATGCTAGTGATGCTGACCAAATCGGAGTGGTAGGGGTGGTAAAGACATCTATAGTAAGAGTAGGAAGGATACCAGCGATTGGAGACATAGTAGAAGTGGTAGAACCGTGTGAAACAGTTGTTTTTGTTGTTGAAGCTATTAGAGAAAGAAAAGTATGAGGCTCACTTTGGTTATTTGATACGAGTTTCGATCTTCAATTATTTTAACTTACATGTACAATCTGGATGTGTTTCATCTTCGCCTTTCAAACAATGTTGAATTCCATCGCATAAGAAATTGATATTTAAACATTTTCCATCGAGACAGGTATACTCATCTTTAGCACAATTGGCCATACAATTCAATTCATCTGTTCCATCAATGCAATCTATTGATCCATCGCATACACGTCTTGCATCAATGCATTGACATATGTGAGTACATGAAAATGAAGATGTACATGTACATAACGTACAATTCAGCTCATCTGAGCCAAAATTACAATCTCTGTGTCCATCACATTTTTGTTCAACAGGCAAACAATTAAAATCCTCTCGACATTGAAAATAACGTCCACTTAATATATCACATTGATTGATTTCTACAGAAAACAAAGTTGATTTAACTCATATTTCCTCTCTTGAATTTATCTTAATCTCAATAATTCAGAAGAAAATAGTTCAATTAGAACAAAAGCAAAGATAAGTCATTTTTAGATAGTTATCTGCACAGTTATACTCAAAACAGTTTTAATTTTAAGGTAAAGATTCTAAAAAAATTGAACTGACATTAAAGATTTAATTGTTTCTTTTTACATTCGAAACTTACTACAATTACTACTTTCATCAGAATCATCTTCATAGCCACAGTCCGATGTTCCATCACAAACCCATGCTTTTGGTATGCATAATTTGCTCCTTGGACATTCATATTCTTTGCATGGTATTACATAAGCTATATAAAAAGACTCTAGCGAATCAATTCACAACAGAACGTTTTCTAGCTTACAACAGTTAACTTCGTCACTTCCATCTCTACAGTCCGGTAAACCATCACATCGGTATGTTGCGTTAGTACATTGTCCATTAGAACATTGAAATGAATTCGTTTTATCGAAACATTCGTATTGACAATGAGTTGATAATTCGTCAGTACCATCTGAACAATCTTCTACTTTATCACATAGCCAACTTAACGGTATACATTGCCCATCAGATTCACATGTAAATTGATTCGTTGTACAATTAGTTGTTTCACATATTGTTGTTTCAATTTTATCACATAAAAATGAACCATGCTGGCACTCACATTCATGGCGACATGTCTCATTTTTCTTCATTATTATTCGAGTACTTCGTGGATACATAATATTATTGTATAAACAAGGGCAACGATGTGGTTCAATGCAATGCCCATTATTATCCATAACTTGACCATTGGGACAGAAACATCCGCCGACACAACCTGAATCAACACTACAGCCGCCATAATCACCATCTTCAAAACATGTTTGTGGACAAAGTGGACCGCATGGCATATAAACTTTGTCCGAGTCACATTGCACTGGACATCGATCTGATGTACGCCACTTGATGGTTGGCGTTTTTATTATCGATTGACATTCAGCAGCATATGCACTGAGAACAGTACAAACTGATTCACAATCACCACCATGATCGACACTGAATTAGAAAAAACAAAACAACGAATTTAACGCACGATACCAACACATGAAAAGTTATCCGTAAAGATTTTGAAGAGATCTTCACACACTATTACACGTTCTAATCGTTACTAGTTGTCGACAGTTTGATTATTTACTTAATTGAAAAAATATTTCACTAGAAGACTTTTCTGTACACAAAATTATTTGTCCGTTAGTTATTATTTTCATTACTTACTGGCAAGCATCATAAAGACACGCTTGATAATATTTTTCAATTAAATGTGTCTCCATTTTATCAATACAAATCTCAAATGGATTATTGAATATACTTGATTTTATTTTGATTATATCACATTTATTCTTTGCCCATGTACGTCTTTGCGAATAATTTTCACCGCATGGATCATTATCTATCGATTGATTTTTTCCCGGTGCACATTGTGAACATGTTTGCCACGATTTTGCCATGTCAAAAACATTGAATTGTGATGCGCCATCTGCACTTTTTAAATCATCATCAAAATTATCATTATTATTTCCACACAGACCTAACATTTCACTATTTGATCGAATAGCAATCTCAACATAAGTTTGACCATCCCATTTAACAGCGAAAGCATCCGTTTTAATCATAGTATATATACCTAATTGATAGATATATATCCCACCAAGTGTTACTGGTTGAATTTGATAATTCGATAGTTCAATATCATTCAAAACTATTGGTCGTTCGCGCATAAGATCAATCACAACACCATTATATTCAATGACAATATTTTTTGAACATATTTGTCCATTGGGGCCGCATGGAACATTTTGTGATAGAATACGAAACGCACTGTTCAAATCTTCTACTAATATATATTGACATGCACCAAGAAAATTATAATAGAGACCATCGAATGTTCGATAGTGTGCGTGACCAAATATGGTGCATGTTTTAGTACATGGAATTTTTTTACATGACCACACACCACCTTTTCGACATGTACAACTTTGACAACCATGATCATTTTGCATGATTGTTTGATTTTCGTTATAGAATTGACGATTATATTGACATGGACATTCGTCTATTGAAACGCATTGCTGTTGATTCGATGTTGCATCAAGAAAAATTTTTCCTGGTGGACATACACAACCTGGTGCGTATAAACCACAATCGAAATGCGACTGATAATTAGTACATGTTAAAGGACATAATGTTGCATTTACGGAATACAATTGTGTTGAACTGCACTGATTGCCACCGAATGGCGTACATTGCAGTGAACCATTTGAACATGAACAATTCGATACAATTGGTGATTGCATACGAAGCGAATGTGCTGGATGTATGTATTGTTCAGATTGAGATTCAAAACAAGAACAGTCTTGTTGGCTTTGACAAACATCCGAATGTTCATCATAGAACTGACCAGAGCCACATGCACATCCTATTAAAGAGAAATCATCAAGTCTTACATACTATGTATTTTTTTCACATTAGCCCCGATGAACCTTGATTATTTATATATTAAAATTTCTTTCTTGAAATTCAGTTGACGACGTCTACGATCGAACTAGACGAAGACTCACTATTGAGATAACTAATAAATGTGACAAGTCTTCCTATGGGAAGAACGTACTCCAGTAAGGATGTGATGTTGTTTCTAAAGAAAATACCACTCTTCTGAACCATTCAGTCTCATGAAAATGATGTGACTTTCGAAATTCTCTTTAGCAACACAGAAATAAGCTCAACGAAATGCAATCATAAATTTACAATTCATTCTCACCCGGTAAACATTGGTTTATACATGATGATGGCAATAGATCAATATCAGTACAAAATGATTGACATTCCGATACGCATTCCGAATAATGTGCTCTACTTGCTGAACCGCATTGGCCATAATTAATTGTTTGACATGTATTAGCTAATGTTTGATTACTCATCCAGTCAATAATTATGCCTTTTAAAGCACACACATGAGCTAGTGCTGTTATAACAGAACATTTAACTTCATCACGATGTGCTGTTGATTGGTCTTCACATAGATCTCGTATGCACGCCTTAAGAAAAAATGATGGATCAACATGTAATGGCGAACAATCTGAAAACATAGGGTGTTTTAATAAATTTGTGCATTCACTTTGTGCATTGGATTCATTCTAAATCAAAAGAAGTTTATCCTGAAATCAAATAAACGAACAAATAAAAGTCCATACAGCTGGCAAATTGAAACAATTATCAGTTTGTTGTTCAGAAATCGAACATGATGAAGTCAGATAAGCATTGGCAAATGTGACTAAATCTGTTTCGATAACATTATTCGGTGTTAAAAAGTCCTATAGATTAAAAACAAAAGTTCTTCTATATTAAGGTAGATATAAAAATAAGAAATCAACAGACATCATTTGTTATATAATTAAATGTCCCACAAAGGCCGCGAACTCGATTAACGAATGATGGATGTAATTTAACATAAATACGTGCCGCTAATGGATCGTAATGTAATACAACAGTTGATTGAATATCTAATGTAAAGATGAACACAGTCTTACTAAATCTATTTATTCTTTTAACTTACTTCGAACTTCAAGAAATACTGTTGATGCACGTCGAATGATAACATCATTTGTTTCATATGGTAATACATGGCGAACTTTACCATTGATAAGTACATTATTCTGACGAAATACTACTTTAGTATTCAATATTTGAATATTTAATTCATTTTGTTCGTTTGTATAAGTTATACGCAAATAACCGGATTGATCGTTAGTCTAAAATTTGAAAAAATGAATCTTTCATATTGACAACCAAAAACATTTCTAATAAAACTTCAATTCGAAAAAATATGTTATGTGTTAATTAGGGTTTGGTGGAAAAGGCAGAAAGGGAAAACATCGAAAAGGAAAACGTCGAAAAAAAAAGAAGGAAAATGCCGAAAAGGAAAACATAGAAGGGGAAAATGCAGAAATTTTAAACGTCGAAAGAAAAAATTAGAAAAAGGAAAACGTCGAAAGGTAAATGTCGAAAATTACGTTTTTTAATAATTTTAACGAAAAATAAAAACTAATTCGATCCCAGGTTGACTGATCCGACATCGGATCCGATAAAATCCTATTGGATTCCAGTCGGATCGGATGGGTTCCGATAGGTGCCTACTGTCGGATTTCTCGCCCTGGGATCATATGCTAAAATACAATAAAAAAAAAGAAAACTAAGTTTATCAGTAGTATTTTATTTTTTGTGTGATCCAAGTAGTAATGCTAATCTCTTCAATAATTGCTTTGCACTGATTGCCAAATCAAAAGAAAAAATTTTCGTTATCTATAGACATCTTTTTCATTCTACGTTTTCCTTTTCAAAATTCTTCTCCTTTTTTTCTCTGGCAGTTTTTCTTCGACACTGTTATTAATTATACTTTTTCCATTCGGCGTTTTCCATTCGACGTTTTCCTTTCAACGTTTTCCTCTTCGACGTTTTTACCTTCTGCAATTTACAGTTTCGACGTTTTCCTTTTTTTTCGACATTTTCCTTTTCGGCGTTTTTCCTTTCTGCCTTTTCCGCCAATTCCTTCAAAGTATGATAGTAGACAGCAAAACTCCTTTCTTGTACCATTTTAGTTCAAACACTGCTTGATTTTGACTGGATACTATCATTTATTCGCGTCATTATGTAAAATAAATGATATCTGTCGATAGGAGATTTACGAAAACCTATAAAACATTTTTGTAGGAATCAGTTCCGTCGTCCTAGGTTCGAAAAATCTTCTGCTCAATTTCGGCCAAGCAGAAACCATTTTAGTTAGATACGCCGTTGATTTAATTAAATCTCACTATACATAGAGATGAACAAGAAGATTTTTTACAGGCAAAATAAAAATTATGACTAAGCCATTACGAAAATTTATTTTCTGATATAAAACTAATTTCACAAGAATCTCTACAAATGTCATTCTACGTATTTGATTGTAACTAAGGAAAAAATTGAGTGAATCAAATTTTAAGACAGTTCGATAAAGTAGACGAAAAAAACTTAGTTTTTTTGGACTGAACTCAATTTATATTATTACCGTAGAATCGTATTAATTACAAGATCCCTTAAGGTAACAAAAGATTTTGCCGCAGTAGAAAAAAAATTATCCTTTACTAATCTTATACTCAAACTTTCGTATTTTTCTCTAACGTTGCTATTGAATTACAGTAGGCATGTTTTAGAATAAAACGCTACCATTTATATAAAAAAAAACGATATTTGAGATGAAGTCTTTCATTTAAAACAAAAAAAGAATCTTTAGGTATCTTTTATAAAAAAAAAAAAAAAGAAGATAGATTAGTGACCTTTAAAATATTCGAACTAGTCTCATCAATGAAAATATCTCCTACATTTCAGTATCTATTTTATAGTTTTTTACCTAGAAAAATGTTCATACTTTATTGTTGTTCATAACTACGGTTGATACCTGTATCTATAATAAATCTTCAACCAAAAAAAATGAGACGAATTATAACTAATCCTTTCCTCTTCAACAATTGACTTTTAATCGAGTAGTCTCATCTGACCTTTTTTCTCTAAAAACAAGCTCAAGTGTTGTAGAAATAAAATTTTATAACTTATCTTCCCTCATCATTTTTAAAGATCGAACAAAAATTGATTTCTATTTAATATTTAATTCATTTGGAAATCATTGAATTTATCATTTCACTTCTCTTCTATCTTGTTTTTCTCATTAACCATTCAACATACTCCACTTTTTAGAATATCCGTCAAAACAATAAAAACTTAATTGATGAATGATCAACCAAATAAAATAATAGTACACAATTTCAAACTTGAATCAAACGAACACTTCATACATGTTCTATAACTATTGATTAGAAGCACACGTTTCATAAGATAATATTTACCTACATATACTATTTGTAACAATATTTGATCAACAACCACTTCATGTAAAATTCTAATGTCTTCTTGATTAATTCAAAATAGCTTTAAACATTTAAGAAAAGAAACTTTTTCTTTCATTGAAGAATTTTATCATTTGTCAAATAATTTATTTAACAAAACATTTAAGTTATATAATAAAATCCATATCTCGTGAGATTATACATTCCATCGGTATTCAGACGAAACAAAAAAAAAAAAAACTTACAATAATTTCTTTTTTTTTCTGATACAAAGACCAAGAGTGAAATACAAAATAGAATTCTCTGTATTATATGTAGCGAATAGGATGGAGAAACGGGACTATGACGATGAACAAAACGATTTAAAGGGTAAGTATGCGGTAAAGACGAAGAAAGAAAGCGAAATAGAAGGAAAAATAAGTCAAGCAACAACGGCGCAAGAGGGTGTAAGATGGAATGTATGTGTTAAATATCTACAGGTAGACATATGAAAAAAAACACGAGAAACGAAACAAAACACAAATAAAAAAAAGTTTCTTTCTTTTTCTTTTCTTTTTTTCACAACGCAGCTGGTTGTGTTGCATACATAGCCGAATGATGATAATAATCTGTTGATGATGATGGTACAAAAGCTGTCTGTGGCAATTGCGACGCATAATATGCATTTAATGCGGCTGGATTATCGCCAAAACCTGGGTGCATCATAAGTGAATTGATAGCAAATGGTGAATAACCACTAAATGTATGCGGATCAAATGACATTTGATTGAATTCACACTGTTCCTGTTTAAGTTGTTTAACGCCAACAGCTGAACTTGATGATGATGAAAGTTGTAAATTACGTGAATCGGGTGACTCCGATGCTTTCAAAAAAAATCATTTAGATGTTTTTTTTTACTTTTTCAACATCAACGAAATTACCTGCTAATGTTTGTTGTTGCTGTTGCATATACATCGATCTTTGTTGTTGTTGTTGTTGTTGCTGTTGTTGCTGTTGCTGTTGCTGTTGCTGATGTTGATGATGATGTTGCATAAGCATTAATTGTTCATCGCATGATTTATCTGATGCTGATGAAAGTGGACTTCGTTGTCCACTGCCTGTTGACGTTGTAGATTTATCAAGACTATTATTTACTCCATTACGTCGAGTATTATTATTAGAGTCTCGATCATGTGGTAGCCGACATGACATTTCACGTTTATTACCTACAAAAGCTGTTTTTTTGGAAGGAAATGCAAATTTTTGAAAATTTGAAATATTCATACTCACATTTAAAACGTTTTTGTCGTCGAAGATAACATCCATTTTCAAACATATTGGTTGCATCTTGATGTAATGTCCAATAAGAACCTTTGCCTGGTCTATAAAACAGAAAAACACATGAGAAACAAGAAAATTTTTACACACAGAAGATTCAAATAAATATAAGTTACCGATCAGGGCTTCGTGGTACTTTAACAAAACAGTCATTAAAACTTAATGAATGACGAATAGAATTTTGCCATCGTTGTTGATTTTGACGGTAATATGGAAATGAATCCATTATAAATTGATAAATTTCAGACAATGTACACATACGATTTGCCGATAATTGTATAGCCATTGTGATTAAAGATATATAACTATTAAAAGGGAAAAACACACACACACACGGTATAGATTAGAAAAGAAAATTATTTATTGAAATACCTATATGGTGGTTTAGCGCATGCATTAAAATTTCTTCTATATGCTGTAGCAGCAGCCAATGCAGCCGCACTATTTGTAACATTATTAACTGGCATCGATGGTACTTGTCCATTGGTTATAACTGTTGATGAACTGTTATTTGTCTTATCAGCGATTTGTTGATTTTGATAACGTGTTGGTGAAAGCGTATGAAGAACATTCAATGATGAATGTGTTCCATAGGGCGGTGATGCTGATGAAGTTGGCTGTTGTTGAACATTATTATAGACCATAGATAAAGATGTTGGTGATAATGTTTGACCATTATTATTGACTAGTTGTTGATGATGATGATGTGATGTTGGTGGTGGCGGTGGTACAAGAGAGTATGGTCCATTAGGATTATTTCCATAGGGCGATTGTTGATAACAGCAATTTGCTGGATAACTCCCTGATGTTTTTGGTGATGAGGACATGGAACTGTAAATATATATTTTTAAAAAAATAGAGAAAATCTTATGTTTATTTTTACTATATTTAAATTAACTATCTATATGTTCATCAGTCAACAAAAGAAAATTATTTATATTAGTTGTGTTAATATGTACTTATGATCGAATAGGCACACATACTTTTTTATATTCAACTTCTTGAAAAAAATCTTTATGTATATATATAAATGTGTGTACGATACGTGCGTGTACACGCGCGTGGATATGTTTGTGCGTTACAAATAAATGGAAACAATATTTGCTTCGCGCGTCGTCGTTGCTGACTGCTGTGCTTGCTAGAATAATATTGGCTCCTTCTTCTGTAGATTTTACATCTCTTTATCAAGAAAAGAGAGAAAGAAGAGAAAACGAGAGAGGGAGAGAGAGCAGGAAAAAAAGCAAACTTTTACATCTTCTTCTCCATCGTCAATGAAGAAGAAAAAGAAGAAGAAAAAAAAGTTCTATACAACAATTATTAATTTGAGACCGAGAGAGAAAGAGAAGCCTTCGCGAAATTTTTTTTGCTTCTCTTGACGACCTTCAGCCAATAGTAAAGTTGTTTTTCTATTGGCCAATCACATTCATTTTGTAACAGCAGTAAACGAATCAAATGATAAAATACACTGACAAACATCTTCATCAATAAAATATTCGGTTACTCTTTTTTTTTTTGAGTGCCAAAAAAAACAGAAAAGAAAGACTACGGATTCTTCTGGGAAAAATACTCTTAATGATGAGTAGGTGTTATGAATGTAATCGGACTTATTGAATAGTACGTGATCATACTTGAAGTTCGACAAAATTAATTTATTGTATACTTGATAAAACTGAAATGTGGAAGTGGCAATAAATATCTACTTCTTCAACATTTCGAGTAACTGTGATAACAGTATTTGTTTGTTTTATATTATCTATAAGCTTCTCTCTTTCTCTCTTTTGCTCGGTTATTATCTATTGATTCTTTTCTCTAAAACGGATACAAAAGATATATTCGCTTTTCTCTAAGCCGATTTTTTAATGATGAAAGTAGTTTCGTCTTGTTAGGGTCATTCTAAAACACAGAGCAAAAAAAAAACGTATACGAAACGAATGACCCTGATGATTTACATGTCAACGAATAAATCCTTTCTATAAACATTTCCTTCATACTGATAGCGAGAAGGAGAGCGTGATACCTTCGATGTTTGTCATATCTAACAAGAATGTATGGATGATTCGTTATACTGGTCATTCTCTCGCCATGTACGTGTGCAAATTGAGCAAACACAAAAAGAGGTAGTCATCATATCTAATCCCGCCCTGACGTGTGTATATATTCTAGCTAGGTTAGAAAAGGGATGGACTGCATGTGTTGTCGCGTTTCCGTTTTCTACGTTCAAATGCAAATTGAGGAAGAAGCTTCGAATACCTTGAATAATCACGTATTCATTTTCTATTGGATTATCAAAAATAACTGAAACTATGACAATCAGAAAAAGGTGTGATAGAAAAACATTAAAAAATACATCAAAAATAAATCTTAACACATCGTTAGATATGATAACTCTCTCTCACCTGTGTAAGAATTTTTCATTTTTATTCTTATGTGTTTTTTCGTTTCGTAGTTTCGTTGATCGATCAATTTCGCATCAAATTCATTTTGTATTCTAACTGGCACATAATACGAATATGTTCAAAATGAACCTGTCTGCCGTTGTATATACAAAACATAGTTCGGGATTTTTTTTCTCTTTCTCTTCTGTATGATTCTCATTTTCAAAAAGTAAACTTAAGTTAAGAGAACAAGAGAATATATGTATGTATATGTATACATATACTACATATATATATATATATATTTATTCATATGTAAAGTTCTTGTGAGTCACGTACAAAGAAGGCAAAGTTAATTCCGAACACTTTCTTGATGTATTTCAGTCATCATTGACAAGTATGTAAATATGTTCGGTACACAAAATGTTTGCTGATTACGGGGAGTGATGTTTCTTAACAGTATTTGGGTAATCATGATCTAAACCACTTACTTTTTCTTTTTACTCGTAATCTCTTCTTGCTGTTTTCTTTTTTACTGATTACAAAATGACTGATGTTGAAGAAAAGAGAAGAACAAAAAAATTATGTATGTGCTTGTCCAAAATAAATATACGAACAAAAGTAACTCGAGAATTGAAGCATAGTGACATACAAACTTTCAAGCAGAAAAATGAAAGACTATTTCATTCAGATATTCATGCCATTAAATGAAGTTGAACGAATGACTCTTCATTAGTAGTTTCGAATAGGTATTTCCTAAGGATTCTTTGTACGTGACACGACTTGTAATCAATTGTCGATGTTAAATATAATGAAAGTGAGTGAAATCTTTTGTTTTTCTAATCAACAAAGCTCGTAAATAAGCAGATCGATTTATGTGACTAGCTATTCATTTCTCTCTTTCTTTTTTTTTTCTCCTCATACGATATGTCAAGACATAAGAATAATATTTTATTTCATCAAAAGAAATTTTTTTTTGTCATTTCACACAGGTGTATTTAAGTCAATGTGTTGATGATGATGATGAGTCTCTTTAAAGTGAGAACAAACATTCTTTGGATAAAGTGATTCACTGCTTTATATTTTCAATCACTTTTGATCATCAAATGAATAACAAACATAAATCCATTTCCTTTTTCGCTATCAACTGTGAAAATACAAAATGCGGTTGGACGTACGAAAAACAAAAAACGAACAAGAAAAAGAAAGAGGCAGGGCTTTACTAATTTTTAATTTGTTAAGAAACTTTTTCTTCTTCTTCTTCTCCTCTTCTTTCAATGCTTTTATCACATTTGATCACTTGACGACGACAATCAGCTCTTGTTCGGATGAGTGTATATGTGTACTCTACTTAGTTTGGTGTTGACTCTCGAAGCTTAACATAAATTCCTCGTTTTCTTTTTTCCATTCAATATATAGCTTTGCCAAATATACTTGAAGAAGTGTGCGTGTAGGAACAAGGTCAAAAATGAATTGAGTCGAAGCTCCATTCAAACAAAAGATCAAGCAATCTTTTCTTTTTCTTTTTTGATTAACATTGTTCCGCCTAAGTAAAAAAAATGAAGGATTAACTCTTCCAAATTTTTATTGACTTTATATAAACATGTATATTTTGTCTTTTTTTCGAAGACGTGGATATTGGAAGAGTTCTAACGACCAGATGGTTTTTTTCTCTTCAATTCAATTTTAAGAATGTACATAGAGAAGAAGTTTGTTCATTAAAAATGAGCATAGAATAAACTATAGTCACACCTCATCATCATACATCAATTTCGGATCGTGACGATCGAGAGAGAGAGAGAGAGAGAGAGAGCGAAGAACATACGAGGACCAAACGGAGACGTTTGTTCAGAGTAAATAAACGAATGATGTCTATGGTTAGTTCCGTTGTCGCATTCGATTGATGATCGATCAATTGTATTCGTTAACATAGAAATAGATGGAAGAAGATGATTAAAATTTACATTCGATTTCCTCTTACTCACATCACAAGTAAATAAGAAAAAAAAACAAAAGCAAATTCATTCGATTTCCGTTCAGACTTACTTTAAAATCCATTTATGCATTTTAGAAGATGTCGAAAAAAAATTATATATCTCTTCAAGAGTTCGCTGTAATCGGATCATGAACCTTCAGAAAAAAAAAACGAGTAGTAATCGATACCTGAATGAAGGTTTCTTGGCGTCAGTCAATATTTGCTTTTCCCGTTCTACAGATATATATCAATATGCACCTTAATCAGATATCGATATGAATGACAAGAGTGAGAAGACGAAAAAAAGCTGAGACGCGTATACAATGCCATCTGTTCATTATTCAATAATTTAAAGAGAAGATGAAGAAGAAGAAAAAAGAAAAGTCTTGATAGACATTATTAGTTTTTACTTCTGTCTACACATATTGGTCTCATTTTGAATAAAAGTATGTTTGAGAACAAACATTGTTAAGATATTGTATACACGTTCTGCCAATCATTATTATGAATATGTTTTATTTAATTGAAAATTTGATCGGCTTTGATTTCTCCCTCTCTCTCTCTCTCGCGCGCGTTTTATTAATAACAAAAAATGGTTTTCGACAAAGATAAGAAGAAAAAAAATCCAGATGTGATGAACGTATTACCATGGATATTTATGTGGAAAGAGAAATTGTTTTAGATAAATGGGAAAAAGCAGAAAAAGGAAAAAAGGGAATTTAAAAGGGTGTTCAAATATTTGCTATATTGAAGTCAATAGTTTTCATTTCTGATGCAAAAAAGAAGAAGAAGAAGAAGAAGGGAAATTACTCGTTCCGATCCATCACCGGTTGAGAGTAGATAAATGCTCATATGCTCTCAACTGTTACGATTGAGATTTCATCATAATTCTACTATTAGTTTCGTTTGATGAATACAATGGTAAATACATAAATCTACTTTCGTAGTCAATTGAACATAGAATGGCAAAAGAACAGATCTAGTTGAAACGTTTGGCTTGGATAATAATGTATCGTTATACTGATTCCAGTATCGAAACTTATTCTGGTAAATATTTTATGAAGAAATATTTACAATAGAGACTAAGTGTGTGTATTGTGTTTTGTAAACGTCTATGCATACGAATTATATCATCATTCAGACTTCTAGAGCTTGAACTTAGAATATATAAAGTGTCTATTTTACTATTGGATTTGTAGTCTGCGATTTCTCGTATTTATATAAAGCTCCCGCTATTAATTATCGATCATATTATAAATGTTTCAAGTTCGAAATAATCAGTACTTAAATTATGATGGGTGCACTTGAACTTGAGAATCAAACGGATTTTGACGTGCAGTGTTTGATTTATTGAAATATCGATAGAAATTAGATGACGAAAGTGCATTACTGTAAATAAATTTATGAAATTTAAGTTCATTAAAAATATCGAGAAGAAACCTTTTAATTCAACATTAATTTTATAGAAAAAAATCCATTACTACAAACTTTTTTTAGACTTTGATTTTTTTCTATTGGCAATCAGACCCGAATGTAAATATTGTAAAGCTTCATGAAAATTACCCTAGTCTCATTGAAGAACGAAAGTTGAAATATTTATATTGAATTTTATGTTTTTTTTAATATTTATTGGGCCAATACAGTGAATAAAATGGTGACTAAAATTAAAAGCGCTGTTTATCAAACTTTTTTTCTCAATAGAAAATTTCAGATTACTTTAGATTAAAACGTCAGAGCGATCTCCTATGAAATTAAATCTAAATAATATACTTGTAGGTAGAAGTTCAGTATTACAAAACTTTGATAAAAAGAGAATAAAATTACGCAATTTTTACTGTTGATGAATTCATGAACTTTTTCATTGGAACTCTTTGTGTCATGACTTCGAACAATTAAGATGAGTTATAAATTCTATTTATTTTAGTTTCCAGATCATCTGATTAAAAAAATCATGATTCGACTCTAACAAGAGAATTAGATTTGTTTTCTTATTAGATGTTCAAATAAGAGAAATGTGCTGGCAAACAGCAAACAGCAAACAGATCGCCATATGTCTACATGTGTTTTCAACAATTCATTCCAAGAGATTGTTTTTTACTTTATTAGTAATAACAAAACAGAAAATTAAACAATTTCAGTTTCCTAAAAATAAAGAAGAAAAAAGTAATTTATTTGATAAAATAAAATTCTACGTACCATATCTTGATAGTCCAGTAATTGTCGTCGTATTGCTGAATTATCAGTCCAGGAAATAAAATCTTCTGTGTTTCTATATCGAAAAAAAAATTTGGCATAAAATGTAAAATAAAATATGTACCTTGTAACAAGAAATGCTGGATCATTAACAATATCAGGTCCGATACGGACATGTCCTTGTTCAATAAATTTAACGGCTCCCGGTAAATGTTGTGCCATATGATTACGTGTCATGATAACAGGTAAACGCCGTCGACAGAATCGACTAGCTGTTATTTTATCAATCAATTCGAGGTTTTCCTTTGTTGGTATTAAACCGATTGCATGCCTTTGAAACAAAAACGTTTTGATAAAAATGACATGATAATATGAAACTATATTTTCTTACAATTTTTCTAATAATGTACGCGTAGATTCAATACGGAATGGATCCTTGGGATCTAGTTCTTTAATTTTGCGTGCTATGTCACGTATTCTTCGTGATAGTTCATTATACTTTGTGTAATCTTCACGTTTTTGTATGTGAAATTTACGCATAACAGTGACTTCATGCAGATTTTTATCAACTTCCCAATTGATAAAATCAACTTTTTTCAACAGTTTACGTTCATGAAAACGTAGTTTTCGTACCATGATGACTTTTGTTTTTGTTATCTAGAAAAAAAACGAAACTTGCTTAAAGTATTTTTATGAAACATCTGAACATGTTTCTTTTTTCTATTGTCAATATCCAAAAAACCTTGTTATCGTTCAATGTCAGCCTTGATAAAAGTCACAGAGGGATAGAATTGCATAAATCGTTTATATCACGTTTTGTGACTGAAACCGATGAGACTAACCTATCTCATAGGCTATCTGTACACAAGACTTGCTGAGGTTAGTGACATGATTTGTGTCGATATAATATTCTGTGGGAGTTATCGTCGTCTCATTAATTTTTTGACCTTATGAAACTAGTCGATCGAAGATAGTAAAACAGATATTTGATTTGAACAATAGTCCATAAGAAGAAAATAAAAATAAGAACATTTTTAATCTTAACTATGCACAAAATTTCAAGTTACTCTCGCTACTGACTATATTTGATCAGTTGATTGTTCGTGAACTTCAAAATTCTATAGCACAGTTGCAAGGTTCATCTATTGAATAAGACATAAGTGTTAGTTCCTTTTTAATTTCCATCACTCTAACACAATACTAAATATTGGCAAAATTTTTTTATAAAATTTTTTAACTCAATAAGTCGCTAGCAATTTAACGTTCGAAAATATTTCCTTGTTGGAGTTAGATCAATATTTTCTTCCATCATTTACTTGAAGTTCATGATTTAAAATCAAATCTGGATAATAAATCTGTTTAAAATATATTATCATCTATTTATTCATACTCTACTGAATCTTGAAACCAAACAAAGCCTAATTTTAGACCACGCTAAACATACGCTTCTATCTAGGAACGAGAATTATTCCATTTTTAATTTAAACTATAACCCTTCTCAACAGAAAGGCTGGTAATGAATTTTTATCTCTGGTTAGTTCTGAAACTTCTCCGGAAAAAAAAACAAAAAACAAAAATCATCACTCGTTTGATTCATTTATTTATTAAAATAAATTCTGTGCTTTTATTGCCCATCACAAGTCACCGTTTTACAAAACAGGAAAAAAAACTAAACCGGCTGAATTAAGTAATATATAAGTAATACAATGAAAGAAAAAAATAATAAAGTTACTCTTTTAAAATTCGATTCGTTTTATTTATTTCATTAAATTGGTAACATCAGGATCATCACTCCACTGTATTAATTCTTGGCGTATTTCTTCATTATTAACACCATTTTGATCCAAATATTGACAAATCGTGCGAATACGTTCTAATTCTTGTTGTAACTGTATAATCGCTTTTTCTCGATCACCAACAAGTTCTTCGAGATATTCATAACGGAGTTTCTTTCTGTGACGACATTGTCGTGCACTTTCGCGACTTTTTTCCAATCGTGTATTCGAATCGCTCTTCATTGGTTTACGACCTCGTTTACCCATTTGCGTGCTTTTTTTTGTGAATCTGAAAAATATAAGTATTGATTAATTGTTGAACTGTTATTTTTTTTTGTTTAATCATCAATTGGAACTAAAAGACAAAATAGCAATACAAACAAGCACAAGAAAAAACATTAAATCATAAAATGAAGAACAACATTCATTAATCTTCTGTTTTCTATTGCACAAATAATTTTTTTTATAAATTAAAATACTTGAAAAATTATGTTCGAATTTGAAATCGACCTTTTTTAACTGTTGTTATATATTTGACGCCTTTAAATGGTTTGTATTTTTCTCCGTGCATGTCAACACGTTGTACACGTATGCCGGATATAGCGATTTGATTCAATGTAAAACGAACGTTCAATATTGGATTAGATTCTGGTATTGGTTGACCAGTTGATAAAACAATATTTCCACGTAATGATGGTAAACGTGCAGCACTTTGAGCATTACTTTCGATTTTACCAATATCCCAAACAAGAATTTTTTTCACAGGATCAAATGTACATTTGCCTTGTGTTGGAGTTAGAGTACAATTGAGCACACTTTTCGGCATTGTACATTCAATTACAACAGCTTCAAGCTTGAAATAGAAACATAATAGTAAGAAAATAGTTTTAGAAGAAGAGAAAAACAGTACGAACAGTTTTGCCCATTGTTTGTTTCGGTCCAACAGTTAGTTCAAATCGACCACCACTACCTTCGCGAAACTGAATATTATGTTTGACGTAAACTGGAATGGATATTGAACTATAAAAATCAATCAAATCAGTGAACAAGCAACGAGTAGTAAATAAAATCAAAGCACAAGCATAGAAATTGAAATGCGTTGTGGTATGATTCGTAAATATTTTTCTTTTTCTATGTCATCCAGTGTAGATTCAATGTTGTAAGTACTCTTTGTTTCTCTAGCGTTTCATTTCATTTCAAATTGAAATCTATAAGCGAAAACAATAGATTGCTGAATATGCAAATGATTGACTAGATGACGATACGTTACAACCAGAAATCAAAATATCGAGTCGTCGAGAGTAAGTTTTATGCGAGGTCAACACGTTATGTGCATAGTGAGTAGAATTTTATTTTCTATAAGGCTAAGTTGCGCCTGATAATTAGTATAGTAACTTCATTCACGTAGTGTACCACATGGAAATCATTTATGAGACAGCCGATAAACAAAATTTAGATTTAAGACAAAGTTATATAAACTAATCATTTTCAACTCTAAAGTTACAAAATTATGACAACACGTTTGTTTAAACGATTTATATTATACCGCAGCTATTGCCTTATTGAGTAGAAGATTTTTTTCCGTGCATCTGGATGCGAAAATTACAGCTTTTCGTGACTGTAACTCCTGTGAGGAAACAACTGTTTTACAACACTGTAATCTCACATTTGATCAAAGGGTTCTCACACAAAAGACTCTGCGTTCTTACCTGCTATCTGATTTCATCACAGTCGACTCGCTCCCCTATTCTTAGGATTAAAATTATAGAATCATCCCAGGACGAGCTTTACGACGTCCGTATACGGTGAAATACGGGCCGTATACGGCCCTTTTCTGCCGTATACGACGGTAAATCGCCGTATTTGGTCGTATTACATGGCTCCGTATTACGATCGTAAATCTCCGTGTCGTAATACGGTGAAATGCGATCAAAAACGACCGTAAAGCGCCGTATTTCGCCGTATACGGCACGGAGATTTACGATCGTAATACGGAGCCATGTAATACGGCCAAATACGGCGATTTACCGTCGTATACGACCGTGTATGTTCGACCTGGGCATCTATTTCGCCCCTGGAGTTGATTACAATGATGATTTACCACGTTCTTGTCGTTAGAATACTTTTTAGTGACTACTATAAAATTATATTAAATAATTAGTAACTTACTTTTGTGTACCAATATGATATGAAATCAAACGAAAATTGCCATCAGGTGGAATGAATGAAAGAACACGTTCACTCTTTAAAAAAAAAAGAAAAGATTCAATCATTCAAAAACAAAACATTACGAATATCAATCAATCCTACCTCCCATTTTTTCAATCTAACACATGGATGAAAACTAACATCATCCAATAGTCTTGGATTAATAAACGATAATGTTAAATCAGGCATGCCACTCAATTTGACACAGCAATCAATCTAAATAATAGACAAATATCGTTGGAAGAAATTTCTCGACATCAACACAAGCATTCAATCGAATTGTGTCTATAGCAAAAATTTGTATTTTTTTGTTCTTGTTTCTACATATAATCTTAGCGGACGATTTAGCATTGTGCAAATGTATTCGTACCACACCGCTGATTTCAGCAGTAATAATCATGCCTCGTTGATCAATAATGGCATCAAATGATTCAATAATATCGAACAATATTTCATTTGTTGTTCGATGTACTATCCCTACTTTACGCCATGTTATACCTGATTCCATTCCAACAGCTAATCTTTTCGCATGTTCCCGTGACATATCAACACTAGTATGCAACAATAAGAGACAATGTATTTCAAACGAATACTTCAACTCAATGTTTTTTTCTTAGAAATTTATTATTATGAAATATAAATAAAATACTCCTTTCGCGTCTTGCAATAACCATTCTTATGTTCACTTACATATCCTTGAATTTCACACATGACGGTAGCTCCATTACGATCAATAATAGCATCGATTTCTTCAATTAAATCAAAATAAGATTCATTATTTGTATATTTAACACCCATACGACGCCATGGAATATTCGATAATTGACTAGACGGAAGTACATTACTAATGCTAGAAGAATAAATTTAAGCCTTTTGTCTTTGCATTCTGCTTTTTTTTAATCATTTAATTCTAAAACTGAATAGAACCTGCAAATTGTGGTTTTTTTCAACTTACTTTGTACTATCGCCAGTAACGAGATTTGCCACTTTACGGAATATATTTGGTGGTTTAATAAGTTCTTTTAATATATTTGTTTCTGTTGCTAATGGTAAACCAGAATCAAGCATTTCATCTAAGAGCTGCATAGAAAAAAAACAATTTGTTGAAGAGTAACAACAAAGAAAATATCGCTTACTTCATAAACAATAACATAATTATCTTTAAGAGATGTTTCAGTACATTCAGTAAAGTAATCCTCGAAGACTTCCACAATACGGTGAAGAAATTCAATGACAAAAAGTGGTGCAACTAAAATTTTAATAATAGGAAAAATTAATAAAATAAACTTTTATTGCCAATAAATAAGTTTGACTGTGACTCTGATATCAATCAATTTACAGATGAGTCTTACATCATGTAGTAGAGATTAGATGAAGCCTAAAGTGGTAGACCTCTCTTTTAAGTGATAGTCGGTTTAGTAGAATTTTTACTTAGCTTCGAACGCCTGTAAAATTTTATTTCCTATCCCAACTGATGATTTTATGAATATAGATACCTTTCGTACAGAATCGAACATTTAATATTAGCCTCTAAAAAAATAAAACATATTGGAGAATTTGTCTTTTTTGCTACCGACTAGCTAGAAAAAAACATTTGAACTCGATCCAATAAAATGGTCCATAGAGATAATCTGAGAGACACTAGAGCATGTAGACAATGCATACGGCTTACTTTCATTGGTAAGAACAGCCACAAAATAAAGATTATTGCGAAATATATTTATCAAATAATGATGAGGTGTTGCAATTACAGGTGGAACGTCTTCAGCATTGGCACACTGTATTCAGAGAATATTTCTGATTAAATATATACAAAAAACAAACAAACAATGATTCCAATTACTTTAGATTGGGCTTCGAAAAAATAATCACATATCGATTTTCCTACAACTGTTTTCCAATGTTTTTCCATGAAAACATCCCTACAAAAAAATATTAATATGAATGCTTTGTTAACCTTTCGTAGAATTGCCAACACTCACCCGGATGCATTAATAATAAATAGACTATGAATCATTCTACGTTAAATATTCAATCTGTAAATGAAACAAGAAAAATGTTTTATATTTTCGTGAAATGATTTATCAATGTAGAACAAGCTAATGCAAAGAAGCATTGCTAGTCACAAGTCGTTGTCTTTTTTTTCTTCTTATAATCTACTAGTTAAATGAAGGCGTCAAGAAAAAAAAACTATACAAAGAACAATATCAGCACACAAATACGAAAAAAAAATATAGAACAATCCAAACAACGTATATATATTTATATCTGACAGGCACAAAAATAATAGAAACGAATGAAGAGAAACAAAAATAATATCTGATGAATTTTAGCTTTTCTCGTTCGATGCGAGTGAACATGAGTAAATATATCAAATTAGTAGACAGTAACAACAACAATAACAAAAATATAATAAGGATAATCATGTTCATTTATTCTGTTTTTCTTCATTAATCGAATGCCATAGCTGAACGTGAATCAACGTTGTTTACAATAGTATCCATTGAATCAGCGACTTCTAAATCAATAACTGAACCAAATTTAAGCTCGATGTCTTTGCCTTGATGTGGATTAACTGTAAGTGATTCTTCAAAATCATATAAATCGGGTAAAAAATTTTCATCAATTTCTTCCATGCTCATTGATGAAGACGATGGTGTTGAATAACCATCACTACGCTGAGATGACGCTATTGATACTGAATCATCATCATTATTACCATCTCCACCACCACCACCATTTTCCTTTATTCTAAAATAACCAATTAGCATTAAGCATTGAGCAATATCGAGAACGACTTTGCTGATATGAAATCTGTATTTGTGTGTAAATCATTTTTTCTGATAGATATTAGTTATCGATCACTCGTTTTATAGAAACTAGAATATTTTGTCACACTTCCTGGAAGATTGATTTTGTTCACTCATTATAGTTTATGCAAATTTTAAAGATAGTAAAAAGATTAATTTACAATGCAAATGTTGAGGAGATTATAGAACATTCTTATATCTCTCATGCATCTACAAAAGCTTGAATCTATATGCAATTCTCTTCAAAATTAACATATGTTCAACTGAATTTTATCCGTCTATTTTCAAATATTCATGCCTACTTTGCCTAATAAAACTAAAATCTCACAACGAATATTTCCCCCTTTATTCAAGTTCATTGAGTACAATTAATCGACGGATAAAAATAACATACTTTTCTGCGCCAAATTCATGAAGTTTTCGACGCCATGCTTTAATAGCTCCATCAAAACCACGTCGAGACATTTTAGCGTATTTGCATGGAGTGCGTGGATGTTGTCTTGTACGAGATTTTCTTTACATTAGAAAAGAATTTAAATAATAACTTAACAGACGAACGAAAAATAAAAATCTACCGAGGAATAGTCGATGCATATGCTTCATATACTTTCGATAATTTTCCTTTACTGATTTCTTTTTGTCGTCTTACAAGTTCTACAAAGAAAACAGTGTCAGAAATGAATTGAAGATTAAACTAAAATTGAACCTTTTGGGCAACATTCAATAGATCCAAGAAGTTCTTCAGTTGTTTTATTTTCATGAACAGAAAATTGTTTTAAATAAAGTACAAAACTAAAGCAGTGGAACATTTCAAAAATATCATTAAAAAAAATAACTATTTCGTTTGATTACCTATGTAGTTTTTTTTCTTCCGCTTCCTCATTATCCATTTTATCACACCAGTCTTTCGATAAAGATTTTTGTAGTTCTTGTTGTTCTTCTTCAAAACTATCAAGAAATATTCAATTGTTTCAAAACAAATAAAGCCAATCGTCGTAATATTTCTCTTTACCTAGGTTTCGGTGTTTTAGGTTTTTCGTCATTTTTTACATGAAGTCTATTTGGGCGATTATTAGGTGTTGATGGTTTACTTGTGGTTCTAATGTAGCAATAAGCTATTTTGAAAAAATACATATGTATATACGAATAAATTAAAGTACCGATGATTTTCATCATGAAATGGCTCATTTGCATTTTCATCAAATTGAACAGGAGCTGAATAGGGATGATATTTATTTCGTCGTGGTGAACTAAATAAAAGTGAATTATTGTTACAGAAAAATGATCTGATTTAAATAAATTACTTTTCATTTGTTTCATTCGCGCAATAACGTTTTGAACGAAATCGCGCTGAACTCGGCGTACCTCCATCGCTTGATTCGTAGGCACGAGTTGTTTTAGGTGTGTGACGTATACGACTAGATTTAATAACAAAATATAAATTGATATAAATAATAAGAGTAATTAATATACTTTGGAGTATTAGATGCTGACATATTATGGAGAACTTTCGAAGAATGTAAATGGTCTTAGAATAAACTTTAGCCGTCCAACTAAACAAAGAATTCTCCGTTCTTTTTTTTTGTAATCTCTAGTTCCAATTGAATAGATATACAAACCAATATAAATGGATGGTTTCGGGAGCGCTACTCTCAATGAGTTCTGTTGAGTCGATTGTAGCTCATATATACGATTGACCCTGTTTTGCCTGTCGTCGATCGCATATGCTCATTTCGTAGGTGCAGAAAAGATATCGTATGTATATTGTTGTGTTGTCTCTATTAATTGGATAAATTGAAAAGAGAACTCATCAAACCTGGTAAATATTCCTAGGAATTTACTACGTTTCTTGTTTACACTATTTTCTATTGATATTCTCTGTATTCTCCAACCGTCATTTTCATAATTGTACATCATTTTTTTTTATATTAGTTGCATGCGGTTATCTGTTGCTGTTTTATAATAGGATGATAGACATCATTTGGTTTCTTTCTCGTTGTCTTTTTTTTTTGTATTATTGTATCATGTTATGATAAGATAGATGATACAGTCGATGAGAATCGATCGTTGGCAAGTAATACATTTTTTTTTTAATTTCACGGTTAGATTCTAGTATTGTCGTAGTTGCGCATCCATCTGTTTTATCTATGTTGTCAACAAGAATAATATCGCAGCAGAAGTCGACTTTAGCTTCTTAAATGTACAGATGTTTATCTGTTTAGTGAGAAAGTCCTACGAGAGACTATCTATATTCTCACATCGCAATTATCTATATATGTATATGTATGTATGTGTGTGTACGTATATTCATATAGACGACAACGGACACGTTCAAATAATTGCTGAATCATACTTTTTATCTACCGGTCTAGTTCTTTTTCTTCTGATCTCTAGTTTCACAGTAATCACATGTTTTAATGACGGCGGTGTTAATAATAGTAAGTAATATATTCTCTCTTCTTTTTCTCTCATGACTATTGCAACATCAGAATAGCAATGATGTCACTTAGCATTGTTTCTTATTCGAGATAGTGTCAAACTTATTTATTTCTGTGTTGAGTACAGCGCATGTCCTTCGACGATAGCAGGAGTTATTGTTGATAGATATTTCGAATCATTCATTCATCGTATATTATCATCAATATACTTGCATTCATTCGTAAAAAAACGTGTTGATCACCTGAAATAGCAAAAGCTAACTAGGGTGTCTTATCAAGGTTTTCTTTTTCTTCATATGAACATTCAGAATAAAGAGAAGAAAAAAAAACATTGATCTATTATATATTTATGCCAAGGCAAAGAGAAAAGAAAGAAAAACGAACGACAAACACGATATACATGGGATTCTACTGATTTTTTTCTATATAAGTATATGTGCAGAGTCTGGTAATTTATTGTATGTCAAGTTATTCCCGTTTTTTCTCTGGAGTGGCGTCGTCCATTCAACCAGAAATCCAGCATTGATGGTATTTTTTTCTCTCCTCTTTTCTTTCGTTGTTGAAAAGTTTATTTTTTAAAACCTCATTCGTTCTTTGCCTACGCAGATAAAAACAGCATTGTATAAAGAAAAAAAAAGTAACTTGACAGTCCCACTTTCTCTTTTTCCTCATTCTCTTCGATGCATCTCCCATAACAAAAAAATTATATGCCGATGCACGATATTTTTTGCAGATGGAATGCCGCCAGTATTACTACAAATATGCAACAAAGCAATAGTAGCATTAGTAAGTTAAATTAGTATCTACTAATTGATCAAGTCTGCTCTATCAATTATTTAGATGGTGGTGAGATTGTAGTTGCCAAATTCAACTATAATTCACAAGATAGTCATGAATTAACAATTACCAAAAATGAACGTCTTATATTGCTTGATGATACATGCCTCTGGTGGAAAGTAAAACGTGTCGATTCCGATGATACAGGGTAAGTGCATGAAACAGTTGTCGACTTCTAATTTCAAGTAAAACGTTCCCTATATGCAGTATTGATTGATTGATGAGAATTATTCATTGTACATATGCTCTCGAGAAAAATATCTTCTAATCTCTTATCATTTTCTTTTTAATTTCATTTTCTCAATTAAGATCACTTTGCAATAATAGTAGACATAATCTCCATCTGGCAAACATATATCCATGCGTGTATGTATATGCATATAGAAAAAAAAGAAAGAAATGAATAATTATCCTTGATCATCTAACACCGACAAAAAGTTCATCTTTCTGTCATTTTGCAAACGCATACACATCTGTCTCATCTTTCACATAAATATACATATATAGACATTTATGTTGCTATGCAAATCTTCAATCATTATATTCTAATAATAGATGTAATAAAAAGAAAAAAGACTAAAAATATCGTTTTTTATTTTATAAAGATACATTCCTTCAAATTTTGCTCGACGTGAAAAGCGTTCTTTACTCGATAAAATTATTTCAAAACGTCTTGGAAAAAAATCGATTCTAACCAATGGACACAACAGCGAACGTATTATTTCTTCGGCACTTGTTAAATTTCGTTATGATGCTGAAAGGTAAAAACAAAAGAAATAGTTTATTTTACATTTGATTATTCGTTGCTGTTTTTTTTAATTTTGTAGCGAAGATGAAATTAGTTTAAACAAAGGCATATGGGTAAATGTATTACAAAAGAAAAACGACGGCTGGTGGCTTGTACAATATGAAAAACAGCTCGGCTGGTTTCCATCAAATTATCTTGTTGAAGTAAAAATTAGAAAATTTTGTTTCATAAATTGACTTTTTACTCTTTTTTTGAAGAAAACATCTGAGTGTTTAAATTCTCTATCATTATTAAATCAATTAAATAATCAACATAATTCTCCTTTCTCATCCTCGTCGAATTGTCTTTCATCGTCAAGTAGTGCAAATTCAAATCTAGTTGAAAATCATAATCATCAACAAATTCGTCATAATTCTCATCCATTACATATCAATAATACAATTGATGAATATGAGTTTGCTATTAAACCATCGAAATTAGCTCATTCAGACGGCAAACTTGATACGTGTAACAATCATTTGATTGATGAGCAAAAGATAAATTCATGTTCAGCATTAATGCAACATAAAGATTATTCATCGTCAACTTTAATCAATCAATTAAAGACATTACAATTAAATAACGATTCACCTTATATTCATGAAAGTTGGTACTATGGTTTATTGAGCCGAGAAGAAGCCGAAAAATATTTAAAATTTTATGGAAACGAAAAAGGCGATTATCTTATTCGAGACAGTGAACGACGAGTAAGAAATCTTCTTTTCTTTTCTTTTTATATTGTTCGTTTTATTCTATTAAATAGATTGGAAATTATTCTTTGAGTATCCGCGATGATATTAATACTGTTCGTCATTTTCGTATAGAACTTTCTGAGGATGGCACTCGGTATTTAATCGGTAAAAGGTCATTCAAATCATTAAATGATCTTATCGAACATTATAAAACTCATCCGGTATATGATGCTGATCAAAATAATAAACTTTATTTAATTAAATCATTAATTATATCAGATGCTAATCAACAATTATAATAAAATTATCTTTTTGTTTTTCGTTTCGTTTTGTTTTGTTTTTGTACATATGTACGGCTATGTTTGAAAACGAAAAGCTCAAAGAACATTTGTCTCGCTTTTTAATAAGAATATCATAAACTTTCTATTGTCAGTTTTTCTTCTTTTTTTTTTGTTCGTTTTTCCTTCTTCTATTTGTATGTTTTTTGTCCTTGATAATAATGATGTGCTCGTTGCTTGTTTGAGAAAAAAGAAGAAATCATCCATTAAAAAATAATAAATTGCATATTATGCATATGAATCAATTATCTAGTGAACTGTGATTGATGTATGTATAATTCGATGAAATCAAAATACAATATGTCTTATCGATCTAGGAGATAGATTTGATACAGATTAATACATGGGTTAGCATTGCATTGACTATAAATAGGGTTTTGTTTTCGTAGATTGATGGGTTTACAGCATTAATGTTATCTCTTTGCTATTTTTTTTACATATTTTCTTATTCCAATTGTCGGTCGGAGAATTGTAAAGCTAACTCACTATTTTGATTAACATGACCTATAGATTCACATCTTAAATGTTATGAAGTAATTATTTTATCTGTTGAGTTTTTTTTATGATGTTTATCGATCAAATATGTCTTAAGTCAATATGTAATTATATTTGGATTTAAGTATGTGCTAATAACATTTTATTACTTCTCAAATATTGAATTAATAAATAAACTTAGCTTAAATAGGAATCATCTTTTTCTTTTGGAGCAATTGAAAATACGATTTCTTAACATAACTATAAATTCTTGATTTAATCCAGCTAGCCATCAATATATGGATGCCAGAAGTAGAAGAAGAAAAGGCAAGAAATGGCTTTTTTTTATACATGCGAAAGACAAAAAGTTGTTCTCACTGGCATTACCCTTTCATAAGCGTATATTGACAGGACTTGCTTCACTCATATTGGATCGGAGAGTTAATTGTTTACATAATCGAAGCAAGAAATATCAAGTCTTAAAATATACAAATTGTAATCTATAACTATTCTACTAGTTCTATAGAATCAAATTAGAAATATAATTTTACTAGGTCAAATCAATTATCATCTATCATTACGTCAGAATAATTATCGTCTAATGAGAACTATTTAACTCATCTCTTATCGAAGATTATTTGCCACTATTTTTGTCAAGCGTTATTCGTCGAGCGACTCTACCAAACTATTCCGTGGTTCAACAATCTTTTGTTTTTGTATAGTTTATTTCTTTGTCTCATAATTAAGCAAATTTGTGCGATGTGAACATTCAATAAATAACAACAAACGATTGATTGGTGAGAATGTACAATTAATGCTGAAAAAAACATGAACACCAAAGAAAAAAAAAAACAATAAATAAAATGAATAAACTACATACAAACGGAAAAAAAAAGTTTCACGGATGCAAATCGACTGTAAGCATCTAGGGAAAGAAAAATATCATCATCTGACTTGTCAGTGACATAGCTGTCAATGGATGGTGGTTGTAAAATTAAATGAGTTTTTCATTTCCCCCAAATAATAAAAGAACTGACAAAAACTCATAAAAAACATTTCCTACATGTTCTCTGTAATTATTTTTTTTGACATATGAAGCCAAACACAAGAGAGTCATCAAGAAAAAATAAACAATTTAGTATTTTGCTTCTTTTTGATTTTGTTTATACTAAATATACATAGACGATACGGACGGCGGTATACATATGGACAAAAGACAGAAGAAAAAAAAAATATAAAGATTTCGGTAGCAACAAAAAAGTGCCCACCGGTTGAGAGATTCTCATAATGATAAAGTGAAATTTTTTTCTTGTTCAAACGTATCAACATGATTGAAAAAATGCATATCTCTTGTGATTTCTTTTGAGTGAATCAAAACGAAAAATGATTTGAAATTTAGCATATTTCACTTGATGTCATTGGCATTGGATTTTCACGTGATTTTTCTGTTGACTCGGGATGATGCAGACGCATTTTGCGCGCATGATTTGGACTCGAACCTCAAATAAAAGAAAACAATCTAAACTAAGTCACCTGTTTTTTTCGTTTCTTTTTACCAATGTAACTGAGTAACACAGGCAAAAATATTAAGCCATGAGCAGCACCGAATGAAACAATGCATATAAACATTCGAAAATAAAATATGTGAAAAAGTTGTGAGTGTGAAAAGCCAAGCACTACAATACCGCCAATTTTAGTTAAAGTTATACCGCTAAAGACCTAAATAAACAGGGTCAATTGTTTTTTTTTTCTAATTGATATAAATGAGCAAAGGCAACATACTGAACTGCCCATATGGGCAAGTGCTTTTTCTGCTCGTTTCAATCTTGATCCTGTTGCTGATAAGATAAAATCTCGACATATATGAGCACAAAATTCAAGTGATATTCCAACTGACATAACGAGATTCACTAGTGAGATAGCATTCATTTCAATATTCCAAACATACATCATGGCGATCATATCACAAGTAATCCTAAAAGAAATTTAAATTAAAACGTTGTTATTCTATTGTATATTTATTTCTACTAGGGCTATTTAAAATTTCCCTATAGGAGAAACTAAAATTTTAATTTGCCCTATAGAATGAGTTATAAACTACTAGATGATAGTTTTACGTATAGTTATTAGTTTAAAAAATGAAGATTATAGGGATTTTGATTGATTAAACTGGAGAGAATTTATCATATATGATGATACGTTTGATAATGAGCTCTAAAAGTCAACACATCAGCAAGTTACTAATCTCGTAAAAATATCATTATGTAAAATATTCTCTGATTTCGAATGCTTAGATAAAAATTGGCAATGTAAATAACTGGATTAAAGGACTACAAAAATCATCAGTTTACTGACGGATAAGTTTCTTTGCTTTTTGAGTCATAAAATACATAGGCAGAAGCTTGTTCATTGATCACAAAAGCTCGACACAACTTTCTTATGTCTAGTTCTAAACGTGACTAAAATTTTTAAAGTGCTGTCTTTTTAGTTTCATTGATGTCAATAGCAAGGTTGATTCAAAGTATAATCTATTTGACAGTTTTTCTTCTGAGAACAGAAGCGTCAAAGAATAATCTAATATCAAGAAAAATAAAACATTTCGATTTAATTGAAACAGACTGCTGATATTCATCTAGTTATTTTTTGTGCTTCGTTTTCCTATGTTCGAACTATGCTAATTACTATCGTATGAAAGAAATCCTTTTTCATCCATCATAATAGATTCAGTTACAATAGTCTTACATAGCAATAGTTAATGTTATAATAAATGCTGATATTATATCAAAACCAAGCAGAATAAATGTAGCCACAAAAATAGCTGCTCCCGATATTGATAAATTTAAAAGAACATCATGCCAAATTGTCAAATACTGTTCGTAAAATACATAAAATATGCTAAAATGAACAGCGAAAAAAGTCGTTAATGAATTATTTGAATTCCTATTTACCTATATGGAAACACTTCAACATCATAGCCAGCTGATTTTAATGTTCGTGTTATATTGTCTGTTAAAATGTATGCCTGTTGCATTGCTTCTATAAAATCACTTGAACTTATTAAAAGGCTATGAAAGCCCATAATTAAACTTGTTTCGACACCATTATCTTTGGATGATATTGCTACACTACTGCCATGAGCAGCATGGCCACCTTTAGCACATTTGAAATTCGGATTATCTTTTAGAAAGAATGGTAAAAGATTTTTAAATTCATCGTTTGTTATAGTTTCGCGTGATGTACTACGTGTACAAGGATAACAGTTTGCATGAGATGGCGCATTTGTTGAGCAAAATTCTCCTGTAGTGTTATGTAAACGACAACATGGAGTCGAACCTCGATGACGTAACCAATCATAATAATCATCTAGCCATGTTGTACCTATTTGTGCTATGCGTGTTTCCAATGGACGTAACGAAGCAATGCCTAGTTGATTTGCCATTGACTGAGCTGAACATCCAGCACTTGCACATATGAGATTGCTCGCACGTAGATCATTGTAATTAATGCCTAGTTACAAAGAAAAAAAAGAATTTTAAGTTTTACAGAAGATAAAAAGCAGTATGCTATAATTATATTAACCTTGTTTAATAACAAAATAGACGGGTGGTCCAACAGCAAAATATTCTTTTAATGCTGAAAAATAATCAATCATATAGGAGTCTTTGGCCATTGTTATATTTTGTTCTAGACCGACTTTAACATATGGCAATAGAGCAATACTCATTGCAAACCATGTAAAAAATACAAATATAACGGTTGGCCGTACATAAGGCTTCATTACTGCTGGAGCATAATAACGCTTGAAAACAGTAAATAAGAAGCCGTCCATTTCCATTAAGTGCTTTTCACTTGGTTCAATTTTTGATGATTGACGAAATGGTGTTTTATTCGAGCTATCCGATTTTGTTGTTGCTAATGGTGTTAGAAACGGATTTTCGGCACTAGTTACAAAGTCAGCAGGTGTGCGTGCTTTCGTAGTCATTGGATTGAACCAACTCATACTTGGGAAACGGAATCGACGGCGTCGACGATCAACAGTCTTATCGCGTTTAACTTGTAGACAACAGAATATATCAATACGATTTTCAATGGCTCGTTTATGATCAAGTGTTATAAAAGTAACAAATATTGTTATTTGAAGCAAAAAATCAATTAATACAGAAACTGCTGCATATAAACTGAATAGTCGAACAGCAGGCATGGGTGTTAATGCACCGAGAAAGAATGCAATACTTTCAGATACAGATGTTAATAACATAGCTGGACCTACGCGGCCCACAATGCGGCCTATTTGAGATTCAATTTCTTCACCTGGTTCAAGTTCATCGCGTTGAATTGATTGAGTTAATATGAATATATTATCTATTCAATGAAACAAAATAAATAAGTTCATTGTAACAATTAGAAAAATATTTTTCATCCGAGATAGCTCATCAATTCACTCTTTATTCGATAGTCGTGTTTTCTAACAGTAAAGTTGATCTACTTGAGAATGTTAATGTTGAATATGATTGTAATTCTCCATAGATCAAACGATCGTTTTTACAAAACTGCGGTAATTCTTTGTATGTTTAATACTCGAGTTAAGAAAAAGTAAAAGCCATTTTTGACCGAAAATTTCGAGAAAATGGTTGAATTTTGTAAGATGAAATTCGTTAATTAACTCTACCCGGTAAACAACAAAGACTAGAAAATTTCAGCTATTGAATTTCTTCAACTAACTTCCTACCATTAACTTGAGTTTTCCGTCAGAAATATCGTCTGTTCGATGGCAATTTATTGATTCCGGAGCAAAAACTCAATAATATACTGTAAACTAAAAGTTCAATTAGTAATAGTTTCGATCAAGGTTATAAGTAATTTTTATAGATGTAGGTCATGTTTTTTTAATAAAACGAAAAAAATAGAGATTGAAGATAAAGAATAAAACTTTTCTCATTTTCTTTTTTCCTTTCTTAATGACTATCAATTAACAAGAGGAGCATCAATTAGATCTTTGACAGAAAAATGCAGATCTTCATTTACTTACCAACTCCAACTGCTAGCACAAGAAATGGAATAACTTCAAATATAATTAATGTTGTTGGAATTCTCATATATGAAAATATGCCAACGCTAGCCCAAACACTAAGCGTAACAAGTGCGACACCTGCAATACCCAATGAAACTTTCATATCAACAAATAAATGTCGAATATTTCTTATTCGACCCAGAGCAACAGCAATATAGAGAAACATAATCATATATGATATCAGTACTGTTTTAATATCTGATTTAGATTCACGTTCGATTTCATCTTCAATAGATCGTTCAGCACGATATTTAACATCAAACCATTCTGATCGAAATGTTTTCATGTAGTCTAAAAACTGTTTCTCCCATAGAAGAGTATTTTTTAGTTGTTTATTTTCAGTACGTTCAATTTTCCGTTGATTATTTATCGTAATGGTTATAATAAGAGCTTGAGCTTTAGCATAATCAGGCACATCATCATGTGATGGAAAAGCACCGAGAACCATATATGGATCGATAGGACCACCAAATTTACCCATACATGTACGATGAAATGATCTTGTTATTTGTGTTAATGGTGATTGAATGCATTCAAGATATTGTGATGGATATAAAGGTTCTTTTAAGAGAAATGTTAAATTGTTTTGATGATATTGAAATAATGAAAATATGGCACAATTATTATTGTCAGGACTGAGAGGTTTATAGCATGTATCATTTAAATAAATAACTTGGCCAGATTTTGTAGTCACATTAAAATTTTCAACAAATAATTGCAATTGTAATGCATCAATTAGAAAATTACGTTCAAATACAGGTCCAAATGTATGTTTTTCTTCGGCTTCTAATGGAGTTTTGTATTGAAGAGTGATATTACTTTTATTCTTAGGTACAAGAATTAGATGTGCGATACGATAAAAAGGGCTAAAACAAAATATTTTACTTCTTTCTATTTAAGAATATAAAAAAAGAAATGTCTGTTACCCAAATTTTTCATCGAAGTAAGCTTTTTCTTGACGTGCTCGAGAATTTGATGCAACCCAAAGATCAACTGGATCTGTTGTTACTGTATAATAACGACTACCAAAACATAAAGCAAATAGAATAACTGTTACAGGAATAATTGTATATCTTGGATGGTAGGCACAGAATAAGCCGATACTAAAAAAAATAAAAAACAATTTTCATTAATTTTGTGCAAATCCCATATACTTTCGCGAGAAAAAATGGTGAGAGTACGTTTGAGACTTTCAGGCAAAGTGTAAAATTGGAAACAAAATTGATTTTTTCCACTAGCGAAAACAATCTTTTTCTTAGATGGGCGTGTTGCACCTCATCTTCAAGGGGATCCCACAAGGGTTTCAGTAATAAAATTTGTTTTTTCTTTAATGCAAAAAATATAATACTTACGCTTTAAATATATCATGTAATCCATCATCGATTTTCACTCCTAGCCGATCCAAAAATCCAATTCGTTCATCATTGAATGACACGTCTGAATCAGATTCATCTTTACTTTTAGAAGTAGCTGCTTTGAAGTTCACTTCTTCTTGGTATGCAATTGAATCACCAGTTTGCATATCTAATAACGAAATTACAAAACATTTTCTATTTCATCTTCATCAAACGTTCTTACTTTCACCACGAGGAGTTTTTTCATCACTTTTCATATTCCATATACAAATGAATACATACGAAATCATAAACATAATAACAAATAAAATATAGAGTCCAATAGCAACTATCGTTACGATGTGAAAATTGTAGATTTTTGATTTGATTTTTTCAATTAATGTGTTATTCTTTTGACTAGAAACTTTTGTCTTTGTATTATTCATTTTAGGACACATTGCATTACAATCCATGCATGTGCATTTTTCTCTTGACATATGAGGTAATATAACTGGCTGATCACAAGCGAACATTTTCGCTGACGATGGTTGAAATTTTCGTTTGACTTCAGGATCATAATAGGTACCATTAACAAAAACAAAGTCAATTTTAATTGGCGATTGGGTATTTTTTAAACCAATATATTGAAATAATTTTTTAACGTCACATGCACGATTCAATGAGCCACATAAAACGTCAACAGCATATTGGAAATTAATACGAACACTCCTGTTCAATGAAGATAGGAAAAAACAAAATGATTCAAATTAATAAAGAAAACCTTTAGTATTTCTATTTTTACCAGCACGAGCTAATAAAATCATTCGCTTGTTGATCTGATATATAATATCGTATTTTAGTAATAACTTCAACTTGTGCAACAGGCTTTTTAGTCACTTTTGGTGTCCCGTTTTCTTTCCCTTCTTCTTCTTCTTCTTCCGGATCAACATAATCAGTTAGAGCCCATTCTGATCTTATACCGTCATCTTTATTTTCTTTCATAGAAGTTGATTCATCGTCAGGTCTTGTTACATTGGCATATTCTAATGGCCATATAAATTTATCATGCTCAGGATTACAGGACATTTCACAGAAAATACGTAAAAAGTTAAAATAACATGATGGACATCGACCAATTAAATTATCAACAATATATTTAAATTTTCGTATTTCAGCTAGTTGCTTACGATCACAGCATAATTTCGGTGAAACACCTTAATAGAGAAAAAAATTCGTTGTTTTGTTATTTTAAATGAGAAAAATTAACCTTCGTGAGTTGGAATGTGTGGACACATTTCATTTAAAAGGTTTACATCTTCTAATGCTAACGGTAATGGTTCGCCATCTCGATAGATTCGATTGAAACCATCGCGTATACCTTCATACCATATACATTTGGATGAAATGCGATTAAACTACAAAAAGAAACGTTTTACTGTTGAAAAAAAATGAATAAATTATTAAACATACGCATATGAAGATAATGATCAACCATGATAATTTGTATTTCATTCTGTTGGAAAAAATGAAAAGTGTTCGTCGTGTATTTTATTGCTAATAGAATATAGGTTCTTTTTGTTTTTCTTTGTTTTATTTCGTTTTTCTGGTATCGTAGCAATTTCAACTCAAGACATAACGTGCTTTGAGTTTTTCTTTTCCTTTCCTTTCTCTGATCAATCGGCCATAAAATTCATCCTGAGAACAATTGAAGAAAAGAAGCTTACCTATTCTAATTAGAAAATACTAACTGACCCGAGATCAGAAAAGTACGTATTTGATTGAAATTTGTCGCCAACGCGTAGAAATAATAGATGTATAAACACATTAACATTAACTTATTTTTATGAAGGTATAACGTTTGTGAATGATGAAAACAACCTTCAATTCTTTTTCTCTTTATTGATCTATTATGATCTCATTGTCAGCTGTACAAAATTACAGCTACTATTTTGATTTACTTTTTCTTTCCTATGCTTTTCGTAAAATGGCATGAACCAATCAATAGCGAGAGTTCCGCATCGAACCATACACCATTCCTCTTTCTTTTCTATGTCTCACATCCATCATAGATCTAGATGCTTTTTTCATTCTTCTGTACTTTGCGTCCTCTCTATGCAACTACGTTCACACTTAATCTAGTTCTTTTTTCTTGTGACTCACTCTTAAAGAACTGGGGAATTTGCATTTTTCTTCCCATTCGTTGCTATGTAGACATGCCGATGTCAGATTCATGCAAATCTCTTCTGCCAAAGCGTGCAAGAAAAACAGTAACTCTTACCTTGCATTCAGTCGTGAGGTTTATGCTAATGTACCTTGAAAACAACAATTATATCACACAACTCGTTTTAAGTGGATTATTCAACATTTGAAGTTCTGAAATGATCGAATTTTATTTTCTAGGAACCATTGAGTTTCAAGGCAGTATTTCAACTGTTCTTTTAATATTTACATTGAAGCCTAGTAAAGTTCTGTTGAGAAGTAAAGAATGATGTAGAAAAAGACACACAAGGCCTTGATAGCATACAAACAGTTTTTTGCTTTCAATTAGAGAAATTAGTTGTTCGAAACGTAAAATCATTGCCAATCGATTATTTGCTCCCTAAAAATCATTTTCATGTTTTTTATTAATTATGTGTCTGATCGAACATATATTGATTTTTCTGTCGTTAACATTATCGACAAATATTGGCTGTTATATAAGTAATAAAAGCACTAGTTTCTATGAAATGATACTTTTGATGTTGATATTTATTAGTTTTTTTTTTGTTTGCTCATCATCGTAATAGACATATATAGACGCGTATGTTTTTTTTTCTTTTGATGACATAAAATAATTAGAACAACAGCAACAAGAGAAAAAAATAGTGTATGATGAGACACACATCATTTCTTGATTTTGCTTTTCTTGTATTTGCTTTTTTATTTGGTAACATTAAAACGCGGACTTAGTCCTTCACCAATCGATCGTGTCAACTAAACGAAAAAAAAACACATTATGTATGATGAATAATTTTGAGTGTCACCATTATTTTGTTATTTTTACGACGAAAATGTTTGACGAGTTTTTAATTGGAATTTACAATTATTCAAAAAAAAAGGCGAAAAAAGAAACCTATCAGTGGTACTCGATAAAAATAACATTTCAATTAATCAGCATTCATTCAATAAAAGATTATTTAGGCATTTCAAAAACGTGTTCTCGATCTCATTCGTTGATATTTCAGATTAGAATCGATAAACATGTGCGTTTTTTGTTGCTGGAGAAATTTTTGGTAAGAAGACACACCTGCAAATTTACGCTCAAGGACTATTGAATTTTAACTGATGAAAATAATCGAATTCACAATAAATATAAGAAGAAGAATCATAACTGTATCGCCTGACATATTGAAGATTTATCTTGGAACGTCTCAATAGCATAACCTAGCTAATGAAGCCATCAAATTATTTCAGGCAAACAATAAGTATATGAAAGTTGTTATTTTCACGCATGAAAATTCGACATTTGTTGAAAAACGTTCATTAGGTGTAAAATATTGATACTAAACTATCACTGAATGCATGTATGTTTTTTTCGAACGATAGGGTGATTTTTTCTTTAAAAACTTCATGTTCATTAAATAATTCTTACTGAACCTCATCTATCAAATGCATGACTATTGATTTGTCATGTAATATTAAAAAATGATTCATGTTTGATTTTACAAATATCACAGTCGCCAATTTGTGTGTAACGAGGAAGCCCCGAAAAGAAAAAATAGCGTCGTTTGGTAATATGATCTGATGCTCTTATAAGATTGCATAGAAGAGAAAATGTTCTTTTTTTCTTCTTTGAGTAAAACAAAACAACATACTTCTTCGTATTTTAGAATTTGTTTAACAAGATAATCACTATAACGTCGAGTTATTTTTGTATCCGCAATATAGATGATTTCCTATAATGATAATAATCATATAATTCAAATATAATTTTGTTTCTCTCGTACTTTGTCTACATAAAAATCAATATCTGCTGATGATTGAAAATCTTCTTCCGTTTTTTGTGTGACATCATTACCACTTAATTTATGCTAAAAATAAAGAGTCTATTTAATACAATGTCAATAAAAGCAAACGAACTTTGAATGTTAATAATAATGGCTTAACTTCTTGTGGTGTCTAAAATATAAAACGAGAAAATAAAAACATTGAAATAAATTCAATCTTGATTTACTTTTTCCATGAATGTTGCTAATTTCTCAATATTCATTGTTGTATATAATTTCAAATAACTGTAAAGATAAAAATGTGTTAATTGAAGAAATAACTCATTTAAAAATTTTGTTTGCCTTCGAACATCAGGAATGTATGCTTGTTCTTGAAGTTCCTCAGTAAATACTTCTATTTGTCTATTGAAAGGTTCCTGAAAAAAAGTCAATACAGTTGTCAGTTTCGTACATTTTAAAATTTTGATTCTTACAGCCCATTGCGTATCATTGCGTTGTTCGAAGATTGTTGGTGCAGGACTGATAAATTTTGGACAAGCTAAATATTATTCATGAATATTAAAAGGATTGCTACTCGTCTTAATGAAATTAATTATTCAAAAGTGCATGACAAGTAGACTTTTCTTTGAATAAGGTATACTCTTGTTAATTATTAATTTTCAAACGCAGGCTCTATGTTTAGTATAGCCAATAGTTTTAAGCATGTCACTCATAAAGAAAGATTTGATCTCTTTGCCATATTAAACTTAATTAATACTAGAATATTTCACTTTTTGTTGGCCTGAAAAAAAACAGAATTAGTTTACCATATGCAAAGCTATCTCGAAATGGTAATTTTCCATCTGGTCTAAAAAGAACAAGAAAGAAACTTAAAAATTAGCTGGAACGTGAAATTCCAACACTCACCCAACCCAAAGTAATGGTTTAGGTAATTTATCGAGAAATTTTTCTCTTAAATGTAAATAAATTGTTTCATCAATACGCATTGGATTTAATGTCAAACAAATAGCAAGTAATGTCATCATTTGATCAGCTGTTTTATTAACCTATTGAATCAATTATTTTTATCAAAAGAATAAATCAACAACTACTTATTGTTTAACTTACTGCATCATTTTGAAATGTTTGAGCAACCATAATTGGTTTACTACGTTGAATATAGAGTAATGTATCAACAAACACTCTTATAGCATCTTCATAATTTCGCATCATTGTATAGCAAAAACCGGCATGATAATTTGTTGCTACAATACAATGAAATACTTGACAGACATTATTCTAGAAAATAAAAATTTCGTTTTTGTAGAGAGAGAAAAGCATTAAAGAGATGAATCTACTTGTTTCGTAACATCTAAATCGATGCATTCAATGGTTTTCAATGCCATATAATAATCACTTGTTAATGTATGTAATTTTAATAGACCAATCAAACTAAAATATCCGAACATCTTGTAAAGATTTGTTTGACAAAATAAATCACCACCAGGATTGAATGATACTATAAATAAAAAACTAAGTTTTATCGTAATGTACCAACAACTTCCGGAATCTAGTATAGATTTATTGAAATTCTCTCTCCAAAAAAGTCGAAATTCGTCAGGATTTTTGCGTCGCTCTAAGCTATTGAACCTTTGTTTTTACCTCCTTTTCTTGCTGCTTCTAACTGTTCAACAATTCGTGATTTATCAACGAGACTGTGCATAACGTTGAGTACAGCATGAACATTCCAAATTTTAATATTTCGTTTTAATTGTTCAATATCATCATCGGATCGTTTAGCTAATTTTGTACGAAAATTGCAAAATGATTGAAATTGATAGATGAATTCTTCGATGATGTCCCATAACCATTGATCTGGTAATTCGATTTTTAAGGGTTGTTCTTTTGCCAAAACCAAATTAAATAGATCGATATAATTCATATAAGATTCTTGCCGTTCTTCTAAGGAAACACCGCCCTACAGAAAAATATCAAATTCAAGAAAAACAAACTTTTGTTTTAGAACTTTATTTCTACCGGTTTCGAAGCGTAAATATGTCGAAAGTACATTTCTTTGTATAGAGTAAGAAATAATGGATCCTCTAAATAGAAATCATAAGATCATATATAAACACAAATGGCAGATACAGATTGTTCTATTATTTAAATTTGTTTCTTTTCCAATTATTAGAAACGATTCAAAACTATTCTACCACTAAAAATAAACTTCTTCTGAGAGTACAACTCCAAGATTATTTTTAATAATTCAATCGATTTCAAAGTGATATGTCATAACGAACCTCCAACATGTTCTTTCAATGCTTCAGCTGAAGGCCATTCTGTACTATAATTTTGCATCATTGTTGCATAACTAAAAATAACAAAACATCAATAAAAACTGATTGCAAAAAATGCCAGGATTTTCTTTACTTTGTATTGTAATAATGTTGAACAAGTGAAACAGGTCCTTCATGAATAGCTCGACGAAATTCTGCAAAATGTTCGATGATCTCACGTCGACTAATGCTAGCAACTCCACCACCATATGATCCTCCAAGATAATGATCCAATTCTATTTAGTTTAATGAGGAAACAAATTGAACTATCAAGAAAAAGAAATATAACAAATATTTTACCTTGTTGATTCATAGTTGATTGAGCCGTACCTCCACCATATGGTGCATACTATAAATAAGTTTCCTATCAAATGAAATAAAAATATGGAATTTTGTTTTCTTACTTCGAAGTCAACCATAATTGAATGCTGTTATATTTTTTATTTAAAAAATCTAGAAATATTTATATAACTCATCGGTTGTGTCAGGATCGAAATAAGCACCCACAGAGTTTAAAAAATAAGAGAAAATAAAAATTCTAGTAGTTCTATTGGAAAACTAAAATAATTGCTGTAATATTCAAGCAGAAGATGACCGTAAGAAGAAATGAAACTAAAAGGCTGATCAGTCATACGTCAGATATAGCGAGCCAATCAAAAAAACGGAGCATGAAATACCTGCTGCACTCCATGCATTGTTCGCTTCGTTTTCTCAGTTATCGGCACACTATTTAATTGAAAACAACTAAGACTTCTGAACACATTGAACAAAACTGAATTTCTAAATCATCATAGGCTATATGATGATTTCACACAACATCAGATGTCACCATACGCCTATTTCAAATGAGCGTTTAACGGCGCCCTTAATCAAATATAAACTCTTTTTTTAAAAACATCTTTTGATGGAAGAGGATTTCTCAAGATTTGTTTTGAAAAATATTATAATGATTTTGATCTCTGAAAGATGCTTTTTTGTATATCGTTTATACAAGTGACGCAGTGATATAGTATATTGATAATTAGGGCATACAAAAAGTTGTGAGTGACACTTTTTTACCCAAAAATAGGCCTCAAGAAATTTTCTTTCAGTACCGTCTGATAAAGAAAAAGAAGCTCTATCCTTCTATGCTATTTGATCATACTTCAACTAATATCATAATATTAAATTATCTATAAAACCCATTTCGGCTGGTTATGTACTAGTTGTAATTGTGACTATTTTTCTGAACAATTCTTGATAGAAAGAAAATAGAGAACTGCGATTTTCGCCATTGGAAAGAAGAGATGAAGAAGCATCCAATGATGTATTACAGAGTTTTATAATATGCCGTTCGTAAGGTTTTCAATTGGCCTCTTTCACACCAACCTATCTAGTAAGTTATTTGCAATATAAATTTTCAATTATCAAGTACAAATTCAGAACACTAATTAAAGATCTACAAAGCGTGATGGCTCAAATGAATAATATGTGGTTTAGTCGAACTTTTAATACGATTTTCTAGCGAAATATGCGAAAAAATCACTATTCTGTGCTTTTCGTTTTTTCATAAAAAAAAATTCTTTTTCCAACCGATACAAAATCGAATAAAACAAACTTGAGAAGTCATATTAGAAAATTTTGGGGATATATGATTCGATGCGTCTTCATCTGTTCTTTCCATTGGTGAAAACAGAAGCTCTCTATCTTGTTTCTATAGAAATTTGTTCAAAACATACTCATCAGTATTTATATAACAAGGACTAATTCAAACGAAACAGATCTTATCCAAACATTATTATCATTATCTTAGTTGAAGTATGATCCAATAGCATAGAAAAATAGAACTTATTTTTCTCTATCAGACGGTAATGAAAGAAAATTTGTTGAGGCCTATTTTAGGGGAAAAAAGCGTCACTCTCACTACTTTTCGTATGCCCTAAGTATATTGGTATTTAAATTTTATTTTCAGGCATAACATGCTTTAGAGAGGATTTTAATTGTCATAAATTTCCTAAAGAAAGAGAAAATTCTCATACAAATTCCACAAAAAAGAAGAGTAGGTCACATTCTGGGTAGCGGCGTCAACAGAAAAAAATTGGAGGGGGCGGGGGAGGGGGCTCAGTCGTTGGTCAAAACTATCGTAGGGAGGCTAAGCTTATTTTTTCTAGAGAGAGGAGGGGGGTGAGTCCCGCCCCCCGGCCCACCCCCGGTTTCGCCCCGAATTGNAAAAAAGAGAAAGGAAAGGCCGCACCACTGGAAAACTTGAATCGCTGGAAAATTTTCGCATTCTCCTCAACCAATGACAAAACAGACAAAATAGGTACAAACTCAGAAGCCCGATCCTACCCTCCCACGGTTACGCCCCTAATTGTGAGCACTACCGTGTATAATACCCACGCCCACCCTCTTCCAGAGACAAGCATCATCGCTTTTACTTCAAACACCAACAAAAGAGAACAAAACAAGCAGCTATTTAGTGTTGATGGTAAAACACACTAGTGGTACTTCCCTTATTACATTACCAAACTGCTTTTCAAAAGAAATAAACAACGACGGATGATCACGAGCTCCGATGGATATACGGATCCGCTTTTCCGCCCACGGTTTTCAACAAGCAGAATAAGAGCATGTGTTGGAGGAAGCGGTTTTCACTCCACATTGAAAGCATTTTGCAGATACACAAGCACGTTCGTGTATTCGCTCATAATGGCTTCCACAGCACCAATGTTATTGTAGGAAATAGCCAAATCTGAATGATTTGGAGGAAGCGCTATCTTCCTGATTTCAAGTGATTTCTGATAGGATGAAAGCGCTTTCGTGTAGTCGCCCATAACATCATACATAGCACCGATGTTGCTGTAAGAAGTAGCCAAATCTGGATGATTTGGAGGAAGAGCTATTTTCCTGAATTCAAGTGATTGTTGATAGGATGAAAGCGCTTTCGCGTAGTCGCCCATGTCATGATTCACTATTCCTAGCGCATCGTTGCAGACCATGCGTTCTGCATTGGACGATGATTTGTCGAGAAGGATCTTATAAAGATTTTCTGCTTGTGAAGATTTCCGTAGACGAATTAGTATATGAGCAATTGCGTACCACCCTCCTTCGGATTTCAGTTCTTTTTGTAAATATAGTGTAAGTCTGTTCATATCTGGATCATCTGTACTAACGAGGGTAAGTGTAACTGGCCACAGTCGATCAGTATGATCGTCGTTAATGTGTTGAATTTGATTGATACGAAATATTGTATGCGTGGAAAAAAAGTATTTCTTCCTCTATATCTTGATAGAAACCAACTAGCTTCGTATCTACGAATGAGATCGATGCTGCTGTGTAAAGTGTGGGATCAATGATCATAACAAAGAGTATGCCAACTGTATTCTGATCATTGTTCATGGCTGTTGATTGTGCGTAGAGGAAGGAGACCTGTCTAGCACGACTTGTAGAAAGAAAGTTATTGAAAGACATAAGCCCGCCTGTGGTTTGTTTCATTTTGTCAAAATTTTCAATTGATAAACCTTGTCCTCGAAAAACTTGAAAGGGGTTCTTGGTGGGTTTGATCTGCTGTTGTTTGCGATGTAAATTTATGATATCTTTGTGTAAATGTCGAATAAAAAATCCCATTTTAAGTATAATGTCGACATCCATCAGTCGAAGACCACGATTGAGCATGGAGTACAAGAAAAATGGTCCTGTATACCACCATATCGGTGTATGGTCACGATACTCACGTTCAATTTTATCAATATGGCCTACAGGAATATCATTCTGAAGACGACAGTAGTCAACCAATTATTTAATCGATTGTGTATCGTCGTCCTCAATTTCCAAAAGTGCTTCTTTAAACAGTTGAGTGTACATAAATAAGGGATCAATGCCATCATAACTGATTGATATCATGGAACGTTCACAATGCCCAAGATCGACTTTTAATGCTTCAAAAATCGTTCCAATTTGTGTGTATACACCTTTGATCTTTGCTGTAGTTTGAGCCCATTGTTCATAAGTGGATGGATTGTCATCGAGAACATAAATGGAATGTAACTGTGACCAAGTATGAATTCCGATATTAGATGTTAAGTGTCGTCCAAGTGAGCCAGATACAATCATGAATACTTTTTCATCTTGTATATCACTGACGAAATCAATGCATTGTTCAGCATCTGTGAATGTTGTAATCGAGACTACAATATTTTGTAGGTGTTTTACTGAGTTTTTGAAATCCTCATGCGACTCATCGAGATTGGGGTCAAGCCAAACCAAAACGAAATTTTGTAGAATCCGCTGAATATGTTGGGAAGGAACACTTGCACTACTCATGGTGGTGGTAGGTGTTGGCCCGTTTGCGGACGATACTGACAAGTTTTGGTTGCTCATGATGAATGAAACAATTGAAGACCGCAGCAATGTTTCGTTTCATTAAATTGTGTTTTGCAAACTCTTCATTTTTGTTGGTACCTTTTCTTTGCTGGTTGCAATAGAATTGAAGGATTTTTTTTGCTTCATCTTTCTTTCACTTTACGAGAGTTGCTTATAGAACAACAACACGCATAGTTTCTTTATATTTAGAAAAGGAAGTACAAGGGAGATTAAGAATGAAAATGCATCAAATGAATCACCATCAGCCACAAAATAATTCGGAAACTTGTAATTACCTTTTATCAGTGTTTTGCACATTTTGGCTCTTTTAGCTGTCGCGCCTTTTCTTCCCACACTTCGTTAGATGCATCGCAGTAATAATAAACAATTCACTGTGTGAAATAGACTTTCCCAGATCAATGATTTCAGAGAACGAATGGCATAGGAACAGGCCGAAAAGATGCGGAAAAATCACCGCATTGGCCGGAAAGCACGGGAAAGCGCTGGAAAGTGGAAGCAGTATTCCAGTTGGAAGTTATCGGATTTTTTTCTTGTGGATTCCGGTCAGTTTCCTGTACTTTTCAGCTGGAAGTTGATCAGAACCGGCGAGGGAAAATCCGGTAATTTCCAACCGAAATACTGCTTCCACTTTACAGCGCTTTCCCGTTCTTTCCGGCCGTTTCCCGCCATACCTCCACAACCTGGGTTATTCATCGATAGCTTGAGCTTTTTTTTAGAGATCTCATCAAAATCAGTGCTGAAAAATTGTCTTGACTAAAATACTACTAGAGAAAAATCAATTTTACTTTTTCATATGCAAATCAACAGGTGATAGCAACATCTATGAAATATACGTTTATCGAAGTTCTGGGCTGTGAAGTAAACCTTGAAATAGAAATATGTCCCAATATTCAGGAAGACGACCAATTAGTAGCAATAACTAGATGATATTTCACTTTTTTCCTGACTTCTAGCTTTATCATCTGAGTAGTATAGATTGAGCACAATAGTTGTCGCACTGAATAGCATGTCTAATTACACCCAATGGCATGACTATTATCATATAATATACAGAAAATTATTTTTTCTAGTGACTGTGGGTGTAATCGGAATATTGAAGAGTTGTTATCGAAAAAATCGGCCAGTATTTCAGATCTTTTTTCGGTGCTATTCTTCTAGAGATATTGCATGAATCTACACGGTCAGGGCTTCACTGCTATTTTCTATTTTATCTCAGTGAGCAAAAGACGAGTTAAATTACCGGGCTTTTTTCTAGTCGTGTCGTCCCGCCTTGACTAGTTTTTGTCTCAAAAAATCCTCGCCTGGGACTAGTCCGAGTTTTTGACCGTCATGCGTATGCGTTCTAGTACTTTAATTGACGAGTGGTCATGTAATCTGATAAGAGTAGTCGCGACGAGCGCCCCTATCGCTCGGTCAAAAATGGTTTATAAATGAAAAATTAAGGGCGTCTGTGACGATTATAGAACCAGTGGTATCTGCATATAGTGGACCAGTCTGGACTAGTCTGAGTGGGATTATTTACAGATGAAGGTTAGATTCGAACATGCATACAAAGTGACACTTACCCATCGCCAGAACCATTGAGGCCATATGATCGAGACATTATATTCTACACGCTTATGATCATTCTAAGGTTCTATTTAATACAATTTTTTGGAGAAATAGTTTTTGCTATTAGCAACTAGACTCTACATGCTGTTAAAATAATTACATACAATGAAAGAATTTCCGTTCACATGTCACCTCCAACTAAACATGCATTTTACGAAGGAAAATCGGGTTTATGACAGCTCCTCGCTGGCACTTACTTACAAGAGTGCTTAGAACTAAATATGTAAATAAAACAATGGAAAATATATATTAATGACAGCAATAGTAATGATTATCAATATATAAGAAAAAAAAGATACTGTAGATTATTAACTAACGTTCAGTATACTTCAATTGATCTTTGATGTGAATTTGTGGGTTTTAAACCACATTGTATAGCGGCACGTTGAAGAAGTCGTTTTTCGATTTGGTGACTGATGACCAGATGCAGAGTTCATGAGATCAAACTGGTGTTGGTGCCACCGCAACCTTACACCCACACGCTCATAAATATTCAATGAGACAATCATAAAAGATAATTAGAAACGAAATACAACAACAAGCGGGACATAATTTCAAAGATATCAATTATTTTTTACTTTCTTTGGGTATCGCTGAAGTTTTTAGAAAAATCAAACACTTTTGCTATGAACCAAATTAGAAAGCATATGAGCAACAATTTCAATAAATTAGCAAAAAAAAAAGGAAAATTATTTTTGTAGCAACAGCCATCGATGCATACAACAATCGCTTTGATTTTGATTTTGAAAAGAGTAATTAGTAGACAAGGCGATGGACAAGATCAACAGAATGAAGTGCTTTCTTGGGTTAATAATATCATTTCGACGATGAAATTCACGGCAAGTATGGTATCAATTTAATACCATGTACAGATAGCATTTATTGGCAATCTATGAAAGGTGTCTACGATACTATCAACCCCGATTTGAAAGAAATCTAATTAGTTGATAACTTTGCGGGCATTTTTTTATTTGTTATAAATTCAAATATTTTCTACTTTGTTAAATATTTTAACACACTTTTTAGCCACTTTGAGTCATTTGCTGCTTCTTGGAGTCAATTGAGTCACATGGGATCATATGGAATTATTTAGAGTCATGATGGCATCAATTAAAATCAGTCAGTATCAATATAATTCCAGAATCATCGAATCAACTCCGTTCCTCTCCTGCATTTTACTGCATTCATGTGTGATTTCTAAGGCAGAAAATATAGACCGATGAAAACTTCTTATTCCTATCTCTCCTAAGTAAACACGTATACGAGCCGAACGCACGCTCTTCGCTGCTATTGTTATTTACTACGACATAGGTTTATACCGATTTTTTCTATGATGAATCATCAAACGCGATTTTTTTCTTTGCGCTTCTGTGATGAAAGTATTTTTTTCTTCGTCATTCTGTGTCTGTGGTGATAGTACTTCTTTATTTTATTGATCCATGCAAAAACAGTCGATCTGTCGCTACTTATTATAAAAAAATCAAAATACATGATACATGGCTATGACAAGTGAAAATTCGGATTTCTGCTCGCACAAATTAAGACAAGATACGTGTGCAATGGAAGCGAGGTTTTGCGACGAGCGAATGGTTGCTAATGCAAGAAGGTATTAGCGGATTTTGTCAATTACTCGAATAAATTCATTCTTTTATCTTCAGCATTCACAGTGAACCGACTATTGTTTCTAAAACATGTGCAAATTTAGTTGAAGCTATACAATTCATTCTGTCTAATAATAATCAAAGTAATAATGGAACGATACTAACTGAATCTCAAGTAGAAATATTTGAAATCATTGAACAATTGCGCTTGTGTCCGACGAAGATGTACATGTACGCAATCAAAAAATTCGCAGATAATTTTAACATACACTTGTACATCATTGGCTATCATCAAGGCAAGCTTGAATTGATCAATAAATACCATTCTACATTAGAAAATAACAAAGAAAGCATGGCTTTTCTATTATTCAACGAAGATCATACAGTTAACGGTGCTTTATATATTGAAGGAAATCAAGATATTAAGCAGACTGTCTTTTCCTCGAAAGAAATAACTTTGTATGATGTATTCTATCGTTTGGAGCAGTTAAATGATACTAGTAAATTTTATTTTCTCAAATGCATTTTTTATTGAGATAACCTTTCGAGTAGAATCGGCTGCTAATATTAATCAATTACAACAGTGTCAAGATACAAGCATTTTCCAACCAGTCAATGAAGGTAAAAAAATGAAAATTATATTTATAAAGAAAATTCATTAAAAACTATGTTTGCTCTTGCTATTTCAGGATATGCTGCTGAATTCAGTAATCGAACAGAATCGCACTATTTACCTGAAAATTTGTTTAGACAATTCTTTCAATTATGCGATGGACTATCGCTTAGTCGAGATACAATGTTTCAAGTATTTAATTCGCATAGTAAGATTTTCTGTTTCCAAAAGTATCATCACTATTGAAAAATGTTTGTTTTTTAAATTATGACATAGTGTGTTCCAGTTCATCAATGCCTCAGGATATCATCGAAGCTATGAAAAATTGGATCGGTCATTTATCGATTCTTACTCAGGAAGCTCAATCAACTTTATCCAAACGTAAATTACCTTTTCTATCATGTTTTTCAATGATTACTTTTGAATTTCTTACTTCATAGAAGCTGATCATGTGCCCATATCACAATCAGTAATTCCGCATCCTGCAAATGCAAAAATAATCACTAGTTCCACTTCTCAAGCAACAATATCATCAGAAAAACATAATGAAGCTCCGCAATGGATTATACGGCCACGAAATCAAGAACACAAGCGTAATTTCCAAGAATTTTTCAATAAAGAGTGTACCTTGGTCGGAACTAATAATCCCGAAGGCATACACCCTCGAATAAAAGTAAGCAATAATTGATTAAATTCGAATCAATGTTTGGAGTAGCATTTAGACTCCTCCGAACGATGGAATTCCAAAAATTCTTGAAATAGCTATTCTAACTGTCGATAATACAGATCATCCTACAAAAGTTATCATTCCACATGGCACAATTGCTACTGATATGAATAAATTATTTCTGAATGATTTAGGAGGTTTAAACCTCAGTAACTGTAAAAATGTTGAATTCATTAGTAATAATGGACACATTTATTTAAAGATCGGTGAAGAAGAATACAAAGCTAAATATATAGAGTAAGTAGATAGTCATATTTCTCAAAATTCCTCATATGATTGATTGATTGATTCATTCATCTAGATTACTGATTTATGTTATCAGTAAGTACATTAATAAAGGATCAACAAAAGGTATAAGTCTTAAATCAAGAAAAGAGAAACAGTTGCACAAATGTAAGTTGGCATCCTGGTTTTGTGTTTTTGAAAATGGAGAATATAAGCGTTTATCCGGCGTGACTTACTCCGATGATATTACTGATAGTAAGTACGCATAAGATTTCGTTATCAATCATTTTCTCACTTCGCCTTATTGCCGCAGCTTTGGGTGCTGTTAAAAATTCCAGTTGTAAGACAAAGAAGAAGTCGATGACAATGAAGAGACTCAATTCTTCCACGACGCTACGAAAACCAATTGTGCAACGAATAGTTATCAATGGTAAATGTACACTTTTAGTATTTTTTATTGAATTCAGAAATCTATATGTTTGAAAGTAAGGAAAGTAAAAGAAATTCATATAAATTTGGCTCTTTTGGATGATAATTCGAGAATTCCATAAATCATATTCAGTTATTTATCTTGAGTAGCTCTTCAACTAATCATTATAATTGCGTCTTTTACATGTAGAATCTCAACCGTACGCAATCATTGATGAGAAAATATGGAGATATCCGACATACGGAATTCGTTATGTCGATAGCAGCACAGGTAATCAACGAACATAGAATGTATGTTAAAAAGTTTACTTTAAAATGATCATGTTTTAAAGGGCAACAGTATTCTATCATAAATACATGCAGCTTGGACTCGGCTCTATTTGCTCTATACTTCGCCTATCGCACTAATATCGATATTCAGCAGCATATTGGTTCAGATATCCTTGCTAAAATAGAATCGACATTCGCTCTCGTGGAAACAGAAGGATGGGGTGCAGCTCGTATAGATTGGCTAAAACGTCATAATCAACTGCAAATGGTACAACCACCTGTTTCAGAGGAATTGATTTCATTAGATATGTATGGCTCTTTGAATGAACGAGTGTTTTGTTTTATCACAGAATTACAACAATACTCAAGCATCATCGAGTGTACCAGACCAGAATGCAAAGAAAAAGTGCGCCGGGTATCGAACACAGAATTGTCTATTCGGTAAGTGAATGTTTTTAAGAATGAGTACCATTTTTAGAAAAATCTTCTATAGGCTTGGCGATGAAAATATTGAAGATTTTGAATTGTCAACGAATGGAACATGTGCGTCAATGATGAAAAATCAGACGGGCATGTGCATAGACGGTGTGGATGAAGCAAGAAATTGGAGACGTATTGTCGTAGAAAATTTAGAGGTCAACGACACTGAATTGATGTATGAACGCTATCTAATTATGTTTTCTTTCCCCACTGAACATTCTTCTTAATTGCAGGAGAGAATGGTCATGCAACGGTAAAACTGTGGTATCTTCAAAGAAGTTTGATCGTGATTCACCACCCTTCGTAATTGTCAATTATATAAATGATTCGCTCATCACTAAAGCTGCTGAATTTAAAAATAATTCGAATGAGTTAGAACGTGTGAAACGTGTCCTAACTATCGGTCATGTACGGTAGGTTCAAAACAAATGATCCTTGCTTCTTATACTAATTATTTTCTTTCCTTTATTTATTAGATATAATCTTTGTGCTGTGATTAATCATAGCAAGGGAAAACATCCAAATGGCCATTTCACCGCAATTCTCATTGATAAGAACAACAAACTCTATTTATTCGACGACCTTGAGGGTGTGCAACAAATAGAAAACTCGACTGGTACCATAGAAACTGGCATTTATACAAGACAGATATAAACTAAGAAGAAACAGTCGTTTTTATTGAATGCAGCGCATGACATAAGTTTCGCTGCTTTTTTTAACAATTTTTTCGCATTCATTACTAGCTTCAAAAAATGTGTGGCTGACGTCTTTGTCAAGAAATTATTTACTTAAGGCCCTTTATGAAATAAAGCTCTCCCAGGTCGTGGACGTACGGCGGGAAACGGCCGGAAAGCACAGGAAAGCGCTGGAAAGTGGAAGCAGTATTCCAGTTGGAAGTTACCGGATTTTCTTCCTGTAGATTCCGATCAACTTCCAGATGTAAAACACAGAAAACTGACCGGAATCCACAGGAAAAAAATCCGGTAACTTCCAACTGGAATACTGCTTCCACTTTCCAGTGCTTTCCCGTGCTTTCCGGCCAGATACGGTGATTTTTCCGCATCTTTCCGACCGGTTCCTACAGTATCCGTCCTCCGGAATCATTGACCTGGGCTGACTTGTTGTCACTAGATTGATTGTATAAAGCAAAAAATGAAGCTTTTTGATGATAGAGAATGGTCTGGTTCACTTGCATTCCTCCAGATAAACTGTTCTACATCTTAGTGGTAGTAGGTATCTATCTCTGTTTTTTTCGAATAGCCAGGTTCAACACATTAATTTAACTCTGATCTTTGTAAGTTTTTTTCATAAATGAACCAGTGGTTAGAGAATAATTGGATTTTCATAGTAGACCGGTTCCATCTATGCTGCGATTAATTCGTCGAGTTTAAAAACAAATATTTTGGGTGTCAAAATAAAAAGTTATTTAAATTGGAAAGAAACTAGATTTTTTTCAACACTGTTTTTATTTTATTTACCAACTTAAAACTCCGTACATTCATCTAACAAATAAATTATCTTAGCTTGATTTAAAATTATTAGAATTGATATTTAAAACAAACTAACATTATATTTTGATATCAAAATATTTAGATGCTTCTCGCTTTTCTAAAATTTACTACACTTCACAATTTAAAAAAGATATAAATTAGCATTCCTAGATGCGAAACGAATTTCCTTGCTAGTGCTAACTCCTGCTATTTTATGTTTCGATACACTTTTTAAACTTTTAACATATGCTAATACAAAATAAAATAGAGTATATCAAGACAGGGATGTATGGAATATATTAAATCTTTTTGAATGCACTATTGATTACAGCAGACTAGCTGATTGTCCTTCTAGCTAGAAAAAAAATCGATAAGCATTGAGTAAAATAAAGACTTCTTAAAAACGGACTAGTCATGAGGTGTCCAAAAGATGCTTCAGACTAGTCAATACCGTTTACGTCGGTTTGTTTCTCATTTTCTATGCATGGATGCGAGTCAATATATAAGTTTAGACTATATATACTTACAGTAGTCTATTTCAGTGTCCTAGTCTCCCGTCAGGATGTCCGCCATATCTCGAACACTGTCGGGCTGGATGTTCAAATCCACCGTGTAACCTCTGTTTTTAATCTTTTTACTAATCTGGACTAGGCCAACAGACAACGCGGGCTAGACATGACTGGGCTCAAGGGCATTTCAGACAGGTACAGACGTGTTTGTAAGCCACTCCTCATTAAGCTGATTAGACAAGACGGGTATGCAAGACGTTTCAGACTAGACTTGACGGCAGCTGCGGACATTTCTGACTAGTCATGTCGGCAATCTCCCTTCATTTTTTGCTTACTTGGGCTATCAACCAACGATAAAACTATCCTTTGAGATGCTAAGGTAGATAAGCCGATATTTGTCAGTAGAATAAAAAACAAACTGCCAATGAATAGGCATAGAATCGAGCATTCACGTACAGTACTAAACCATTTTTTTATTAAGATGTAGATGAATCAACTGTTGAACGTGGAATACTAAACCCTGAGCAGGAAATGGTAGCAGAGTCTACCCTTAGACGTAGAATAATGAACTGCTTCTGAGAAAGGGTAGCTTACTCTACCCAGAAAGGCAAAGTGATGTACCCTTTTAACGAAAAAGTAAAATAGTAAACCAGATAACGAAGAATAAAATACTCCTACCTTGAAAGCGAACAACAATCTGCTATCATCCGTTGAAGGATATATTCTTATCTTGCATTTGATGTAAATGACATTTTCTTATAAAAATAGATGAGTTGTAGTCTATAAGAAACAATTCTTGTGAATATCGAAGACAAAATCAAACAAAGATATGGTATCTTTTCCTTAACAATCGACTTTTTCGAAACCCAGTCGTACATATCTCGAATTATTTTTTTCATGAAATTAATTTCTTTTTCTTTAGAAAAGCGTATAATTAATATAATTACATACCAATAGATCGGCTAATGTAATTTTGTTTTCATCATTGATCCGAACAAAGTTCTAATGATTCAATACGATTATCGATGTGATTTTTCGGCTAAACAAATAAGAAATATTTAATAATAATCTCTTTATTGATATGAATGTTGAAAATAAAATAAATTTCGTATACATATAAAATAACTCACGTAACCAAAGTTAATAACATATTCGAGTTTTTCTTGTCTGGATTTGCTGCATCATCTGTGTTGGATGCAGAATTCAATGCTCTATCTAGTGATATCGATTTCGACGGGAATCATCGGGCAAAAATAGTGCTTACTTTAGAAGTACTCACTTTTTTGCTTTGTACTCAAGATGCTAAAGCAGTATTTCTTGTCCGAATTCGTTTCTGGACCTGTGTTGAGCATAAAACTCAATCTACTCGACGTAGAATTTACTTCTCTGTCGAATGAGATCATTTGCAATGGGATCATCGAACGAAACCTCTCCTTCTGTGCAGGTCTGATTGTGTGACAATCCCGTTGTGGGGTGGGTCGGTTTAGTATCGAAATGAAAGGAATAATGACACCCTACTGGCTTTGGTATTGGTCAAACATTTGTTCTTGGCCGGTAATTTTAAAGTAAAAAAGTAGAATGCTAGTTATAATATTTTTGCTTCACTTCTACAAGCCTTCGTAACTATTTCCATTTGTCTATTTTTTTAAATATTTATTAAATATTGAGTAAGATAGTAAATAATGTATTTATCTTTCGTTCTACAATTTTTTTAAGAGCAATATTACATAAAAGAAGAGGTTGTTTATTATTTATTCATAATTATTTGTTTCAAGAAATATATATGAAATATAGAACTATATGTGCATTGAATTGTAGCTTCGAAATAGATGACTATTGATTCTAATTTCAGTTGAACTAATTTGATGTTATTTATTGCTTTCAATCGAACAAGCGAATAAAAAAGTGAAAAAGAAAACTCAATTGTTTTGATGAATAGTTAGGCATCTTCAGCATTATTGTTACCTATTTTTATTTTTTTTTATGCACATGAATCTTGACCATGGATGCTATATTGCTGAAATAGGACTTCACTATTTGTTAAAGTTAAGATTGTCGATGAGTTTTAGTCTTATTTAAAGTATTTTGATTAACTACAAGGGTAGAGTTGTTTTTTCATAACATGAATTGCCTAATTTGAATTCAAAAATGAATGAAACAACAATCATGTCAACACTTGTGTTTTTCCAATAACTACGGAAGAATGGCCGAAGAAGAAAATATCTGAATGCTTATTGGAATTTTATTTCTATCTTATAGAACAGCTGTCTTATTTATAAATTTATAATTGAGATATCTTTTTTTTCTGTCTTTCTGTCGTAGTAATATAGGCGAGCCCTATCTTCTTTATCAATGATAGTAATATTATTTTTATTCTGCGAATAAGTGTGCTGACGATTCTTTCGAAATTTTCGATCATGTTCGAAATTGAATTAGTCAAATAATCATCAATTCACTATGACATTTCCAAGTATACCCGTTTGGAAACTCAGACTATTTATATATTTAACTATCAAGTACTTCTTTTGAGAAAACATGTGTATCAGCAATAATTTCATAGAATTATTAGAGTGGTCATCGAACAGTTCAGATGCTAATTTTATAGAATAGATTTGATCGATCGTGAAACATAAAATTAATAAAGAGAAAACTGAAAAGAATTCACAAAATATCCAGTCTTTTTTTCTGCATAACTCGAGAATTCAAGAACTAATACTACATATATTATTATGTGATAACTATCAAAACAAGATGGCTATCTTTTATTTACTCTAACATATGATGTTTAATAGTGCTCGAGGATGTCTAGTAACGTTTTGTTCTATGCACAGAAGAATTCAACCAGCAGTCTTCGATTTCCAAAAGTGCTTCTGTAAATAATTGAGTGTACATATATAAGAGTATATACTGCAATGAGAAGCAAAATTGAAAACGAGAATACATAAATCCATAAAAAAAGTAACAAACGTTGCGAACAAAATTGAGAGGCACTTAAATTAATCATTAAAATAGAATAAAATACAACAAATAAACAAAAAGAGGAAGTAGACCGAACTATGATAACAGCATATAGCGGGCACTTTTTTGCGAACTTAGTTATCTTAGTCACGAATATGATTGTTGTAGTATGTGCATCCTCACTTGTAGTTCTATTTAGTGCATCATAAATAAAAATAAGATTGAGCTGTATATAAACCTTTATTCAAAATGATTATGACTTGCAAACAAATAAACTAATGATTAAAAATACGATTATGAGGTGAAAAATAACCTTTCTGAAGAAAATAATGTTCAATTCTTTTACGTCCCAAAATTCATGACTGACTGACTGACTGACGACAATTAATATATTTACAGTTGATTTTCTATGAACATCGGATGTAAAGATATATAGAATATGAGTAAATTACATTCAGCATTGGATTAGTATATATTGTAAACATATATTTACGTAATATAATAATATTAGAACCGTAGTCAACATGAGAAAAAGTACCTCCTATTGATGGAGCAGATCGAATAATTTAATAACGATAAAAGTCCATCACACATTATTTTAATAGAGGGCTCCTGTTCGACCGTACAAATTGAACAGTGATATAGAAAACAGTCATGGCTAAAACACATTTAAAAAACATATTGATCAGCACTTAATACCTATAAAACTACTTTTTTGATGAACTCTTTTATAATGACTTAAATAATGGAGATATTCGTGCAAATAATTCATAAAATATTAATATAAATATACAATGTACATAGAATAAGTTTTTAGAAACAGGTAGCATAATATAGTTGGAGATTAGAAATTTATCAAATACCTTCTTGCAAATAGAAGTTATCAGCATGAATTCGTGTGATGATCGATGTGATCGAGGTGCTCTAACTATATGGTCTTCCAGTTCTTTTGCTTTTTTGATCGCTTCTTTTACATGCGAAGAGTTAACATATAGTTATAGACAATAAAAGTGCAATTGCTTTCTAACAACTGTAACTTTTATTGTGTTTTCCAGATGATCGTTCTTTTCCGTATTAGACTTCCCCTTATCCTATGTTGTTAATTCTTCAATCATTGTTTGTTTTTACGCCAGTATGCATCTAAAAAACGATTGTATATTCTTATTTATTTGTTTTTCTTGCTAAAACATTTCGAAATATGCTGCTCTGTTCGTGTAACAGTGGAATCAACTAATTTTGACCATTACTAATTAAATTTTGGGCTACTGTTGTAAGATTGTTTCAGGAAGTGTCTTCATGCATGGCATCATGTTCGATGACTTGTATTTAGATTTTCTACTGATTGATGTATCCAAATGATAAGAAGTTGCTGGTTAGTAATAGACGCCAAAAACCGTATTAGTGTTGAAATGGAACTTGTTGTACCATTTAAAATATATATAGACTTGTTTGACTGGCGATCAGTGTATTCGGCATGAGTAGAAATTCTTTTGAATGCATTTTCGAATCATTATCAGGCTTCCGAATAATAACGGAGTTCGGTAATCTATATTGAACGGCATTTTTTTAACCATAATTGTAGGAATATTTAAAAATAAGCATCAGTAGATATGTAATTTATATGCGCTTGGCTATAAAATAGATGGTTTTTTTGTAATTGATTGTTACTGTTTAGATCTGGATAAAATCGATCGTGAAAAATTCGTAAAAAGTACACGGAACGCAATCCGCTTTCAATATTAGTAGTTCTTTTTGTTGTAGGTGGCTAATTAATTTGATTCAAATGTATTTGGTATAGGTTTGGCAAATCGATATGGGATTATATCATAGTTCATCAATATATGCACACCTCTGGATGCTGAATGTATTATTTTTTCTTTTTTACGAATTTATGCACCATGTACAATATTCTCGATTTTGAGCGAAAGACGATTAGTCAGTTTCAATATTCCAGCAATTAATACTGTGGTCATATTTCTGTAGTGAATTTTATAAGACAACAGTGGCATATTCGTATCCCGAACATGTGATGAATAGAACTACATTGCAATATATATATTTTCCCTTTTGTAGTTCGTTCGTACGTAATGAAAATATATAGTATAGAAGATGATCAATGAAAAATGGTTGAAAATGATTCGCTAGATGTCGACCAAATTAAATTACCCAATATCACGTTAGTTAGTAATGGAGGAGAGATCATATTGTAAAGAAATGAACAGCGAGTCTACAATGTGGACAATAATAAGTAAGTAATTAAGGTAATTATGATGAAATTGGCTGTAGATGACTGTCAATTATGAGCCGAAAAAAGCAAGAAATGAAAGTGTATGAATATCAACAAAATAAAATAGTTATTAAATGAGTTTACAAATAACTGCTCCTAACTCTGTTGAATACAACTTGTCTCCTACTCTGTATCGAATAAAATATTGAAATTTTTTCAGCAGATTTATTGTCTCCATGCAATGGACGGGTCTTTGATCTAAAAGAGTAATTTCAATTTATTTTGGTTTCTATTATATAGCATTATATGTTCGATAAATTAATTGAACAAAATATATAATTCCAACAAACACCTATAACATCATGATATTTGCCTTTTCCTAGTAAAAATCGATCGAAGTATTAATCTGAATAGAAAGTATTCTCTCAAATGCTTTGCCTATATTGAATGAAAGCATATAATGATTCGTATGTTATCAATTAAAAGATCGAATTTTCACCAATTTTAGTCTACTTTTATTTGTTTTAGTCATTCGTGACGAAGAATCACACTAATCGCAACCACAAAAATGAAAACAAAACTTACACCCTTAATGCCCATATTCTAAAAGTTTGAAGTCTGGATAAATATGCATAAATGGCTAAAAATAAAAGATTCAATTACAGATTTTAAATACGTCAAACAACTTTACACCACATATGTACGGTTATATAATGGTACTCGAAATAATAGCGGTAGTCTTTTATTGCAAACAAGCCGGCATTATGCTACTGAAAACCACAGAGAACTTTGAATTTCCAATCGCTATGCGGCTAACTTTAGGATTCTTTGCATTGCAACAAGTTACAACCCCAATAATCCAAAAAACTTTTATGACCATCCTCGAAATAGGTCGTACGCGATCCAGCTCGGTTGTATTTACTTGAAGAGCATTTAATATGTGGATAAAGCGCCTCTTCAAATCGATGGAGTTGGTAAATGGGACTAAGCTTTTCAAAAAAGAATTAGTAGATATTATCATGATACGTTCTTACAATGGTTTTAGAAACAAATTTTCTCGTTTAGTATATACGATCGATTGCTCGGCAGAATAGATTCAGAGGCAGAATTCAACTCTATTTTTCTTATCGTGCTAGACCGATTCACAGACAATCTTCACATACTGCCAATAAGAAGCTGATAATTTATTAATATTTAACAGACAGCTGTTGATTACACGTATTTTGTTTTCTGTTAATATATCTACAAATAGCTATTGTAAAAGCTCATATGCATGAATAAAATATTTATAACAACAACAACAAAGGATTTCATAGTTTTAAAAATTAATATATATATAGAGATTGCCCGATTAAGAAAACTAAATGAGCAATTTGTTGCTGAAAGGTTATTTAACATAGTACTAGAAGATTTGCATGTAAAGGCAAAAAAATCTCATAGGATTTGTGTAGGATGTTGAAAGACTAAGCATGCTCCTATAGTCGAATTATATGATCTAGCTGACAGAAAAATATACTTATTTAGAGATTTTTAGAATCTTGGATAGCTGCACACAGGTTCTATGCGAAGATCCGAAGGCTGAGAGCGAAGGTATATAAAGACGGGTTTTCAAGAAAATCTCACAGAAAGAGTATGAAATTTAAAAAAGAACTGCCTTTTCGCTAAGGACACTGAGATTTTTTTCACTATTGGGGGACGAGACACACTCCGTTCACTTGTGTAGGTGATAGGCTAGACTTTCTATCATTAATTGAAATTACTAGAATAAATCTATATCCACTTCCGTGTAGTCTAGAATGTTTGAATCTAAATTTTTGAACGATGCTGTAATACATATTTCTTCTAGTTGACAACAATCGTATTCTATCAAACAGGCGCAAGTCGTTAACTTGACTTAACAGATGTCGTGCATAGAAAAATTATACGCTGTTTCTTTTCGTATTATTCATGAAAGATGTGAGGAGCTGAATTTACAACTATGCTGCTGCTTGTAAAATCTAGTCAGCAGTTTTATCTATTGTTTGACACAAATTTGCCAATTTGAATGTACTCACAGATCTATACAACAAACACTACTTCAGTGAAGAAGTACTGAGAAAAGATATACAATCGAACAACCCTTCATAGCATAGCATAGTGGTTGTCAATGATTTTTTAGGAAATAAAATATTGAAATTCTTCGATGTCTTTATTGAATAGCGTCCTGATTTTAGCCTGAATTAATAGTCTGGAAGAAAATGCTTCGAAAAGAAGTCTTTGATATGTAACAATTACTCTGCATTGAGAAGGAGGCTGTAACCAGAGTGTTGTACTGAGCAATGGCAACTAAAACTATTCTGTTGGTTGCAAGTTCATAGACAAAAATATTTTTGAAATGGATAAATATATTGTATGTATTATAGTTCAATTGACATTATTAATATCTAAAGTGCTTTTTTTTCAAGGTCGACAAAAATCTAGGCTTAGATACACTTGCTGAACGCATTGTGGTTCGGCAAAAAGATTCCAATAAAACTTATCTATTGTCAAAAGTAAGTTTTCTTTCATATTTGTTTTCCTCAAATTTATTCAATTGATAATTTCATTTTAGATGGAATTGATGGATATGGCAACAACGGCTGTGGCATATCAAGAAGTAGAAATTTCTATCCATTCGTTTTTAGTTTTACATCCTTTGTTTTAGTATCTTCCTCTAATGAAATTATCCTATGAAAATATTGCATCCTACTTTGATATATTTACATCAGTTGAACATAAAGTATGAATCATTTTTTGTGGCAATGATTGCAAACGAGTTATCTTTAGATCAGTGCAACTTACATTAATCTTATATCTGAATATTTTCCAATGGGAAATCTTGATACTTATCTGCAAAGCATTCGAAATGAAAAACAATCACTCAATAATCAAGTAAAATAATGAAGATATATTACAAAAATTGTATAGTTTTTTTTCTAGTTGGTCGATATGTGGTTTGCACAAATTTTAGATGGATTAATGTTTCTATGGAATCAACATGTTGTTCATCGGTGAGATAGAATAGAAGATTTTTTGTTTTGACTATTCTTTCGATTTTAAATAGAAATTTAAAACCGGATTGTATTTATTTACGCGGTGAAAATAATGAACAAAATTGTTCATTAGTTATTAGTGATATCATCCCATCATCGGTTGCCTATGATATTCGTATGCGAACACGATTACCTCGTCGTAAGTACTCATGTTTATCTAACGATAAACTTCTTTTTTTTTACTCTCAATCATGGGATCTAGGCCTTCCATCTGATGAATTGAGTTGTATTCAATGTCATAGTACGAGAAATAAATTGCTGTATGCAGATTTTGTTTTTTGCCTTTTCATTCCCTCGGAGTTCAAGTGACAATTTAATCATTGAATATTTTCTAGGTGCACTTTCGTATACAGCACCGGAAATATTGGCATCAGAAAAATATACAAGTCAATCGGATATATATTCATTGGGTTGTGTACTTTTGGATATGATTACTTGTGATACATTGACGGTAAGAATCCATTTAGAAAATATCCTCTAGTAATTACTCGTTTGGCTAGGATGAAGAAACATTACAATTACGTATTTGTGCTCGGCACGATGCTAGTACCTTGTCACAAACGTTGCAAACTTTACAAAAAGTAAATAAAAAAAATGATTTATAGAAAATATTCATTATTCTTTGATAATTAGGCACACGAAACAATACCAGGCTTGATCGGTCGAATGGTAGTTCCAAATATTGAAGAGCGTATGAAAAACGGGTAAGCGTCGAATTAAATCTATAGAAAATCTTGCAGAAACATCGAGATCACTATTGAATCTAATTTTATCATGCCCAGCATAAATCATCAGTCGTCTATAATTCAATTTTCTTCTAACATAGAGATTTTCTACATGATGAATATGTAATTGAATGTATGCATAATATCGATTCAAGTCAACTGAAATATCCATCTCGAAGTGATAAAAAATGGAGTCATAATGGTATTTATTCCTTTATTTTTATTTAAAAATCTTTACTTCAATATCCTGATTTCTTAGATTTAGCAACTAACGAAAAGATAGAATATTATCTCAAATATTTAAAACAACATCGTAACGCTGAAATTCGTGTTGAAAATGCAGTTCAACTATGTAATCAATCAAAATCCGTAAATCTATTGCTTTCTAAAGTAAAACAAATCGAAAAAAAACGCATCTTCATGATAGATTGATTTATCAATATTGACAATATGTTTTCAAAAAGATCTAATACCTATTGTTGAACATTTTCTATCGAATGCAACTATAATTCAAGCTACACTCGAACTCCTAGCTAAAATAATACAAAGTGATCTGATACTTACGTCGCAAGTTGTCTTCTTTGTTACAAAACTGATGCCTGTATGTTTATTGACTTTAATTTTTATATATAATCATGTTCCTGTTTTGATATAGTCATATGAAGATAATGAAGAGTTGACTAAAAAGATAGGTGATATTCTCATAGCTCTTGCAACACAAAGTAAATTTATAATTCTATCGATTAATTCTATGTAAATTTTATTTAAAAAACATTTAGATACAAAACTGTTGACCTATGCACAAATAGCTGCGAATTTAGTTCGAGTTATGACTAAATATGAAAATAATGCTGATATTAGTGCAAGATGTTGTACACTTATTTGGCTTATGGCAAAAGACGCAATGAGTTAGTAACCTAATTCTCAATCTATTTTTGTTTTGCAATAGAATACGATCGAAATACTTCGACATATCTTTGAGATATATCAATACAGATTGAAATCCTATCTCTTTGATTATATTAATATAGAACTTTTATTTCATCAAAATTATTTGGCTTAATCCTCCAAGCAAAAAAATGTATAACATAATTTATATTTTTTGTTAAATTTAGCTAAGGAACTTCGTGATAATCAAGCATCCATCTTTGGCAGTTTCGTAAATATTCTTCAAAATCATCCGAATAATAGTGATCTGTTTACTAAAGTGTGCTTTGCATTCTTACCGTTCATTTTTGAAAGTATGCCATTTTGTGTTCCGCCAATAACATTTCAAGAATTAAATCTCTGTCGTGTACTTTAGAACGGACTGCTGATTATTTAGTACAATTTAATCTTGTACGGCATTTTACTATTGGTTTACAAACGCATACTAACGATCAACAGGCCATCAAAGCTGGTTTGTTTATATGGATTTTAATAAGAAAGATGAACTCGTTGTCTTTTTTGAATTTCTAGCACTTGCTGTTTTATCTGAATTATTCAAACGAGATGGTATATATTATAAATAATTAAGCAAAGAGAGAATTCAATTTTTCTCGTTTTAGAACGTTGTGTGATGCGTTTTATTTGTAGTCGTTCCAATGATGGTACTATTCTCGAATCGATGGAAATTCTTACTAAAATATTTGATCATTTTAAAAATCATATTGATGTAGCACGAGGAATAATGACATTATTACAATCAATGTCATCTTATGGTTAGAAAAATAGTGTTTTATGGGCAGTAGAATTCATTTTTGTTTAAAATTTAATTATTTAGATGATGCTATTGACGAAATGATATCAACTAAAATGGATGAAACTTTACTTTACGAAATCAAACGTTATCATTCGGATAATGAAGTAAGCTATTTGATTAGATTTAATTTTATAGTATCTATTTTTTTTTCTCAAAGGATATTTCACGAATTAGTGAACATATTATGACATGTATTCGACAGCGAAAATTTATTTAATAAAAATCTTTATTTTTATTGTAAAAAATAACATTTACAATATAGAATATTTTTTTCTTCTGAAAACATGTTAAAAGGCATAAATCATTTTACATGAAAATATTCATAAATATCCTTTTTCCTCTATAAAATAAAATACGACATGTCTCAAACAGAGATTTCATTTAATAAAACGTTTCGGCAACAATGGCTTGTTGTGATTCAATGATAAATCATGTGGAATCTCGCCGTTGGTTGCTAGTGGTTCAAGTTTTGATGGCCGTGGTGATTGAGATTTTATACGAGATGAAGATGAGGCATCAGAATTACGAGGAACCTAAAATACATGAAATTCTCAAAATAATATTTCAATAGATTGAGTTTAGTCAATTTCTATGAAAAGCTCACTATGATTACTGAAACAAAGCGATAAATATAGAATCTGTGTCTATGCTAACCATCACTCAGAATAACAAATTCGTTCGTATTTTATTCTTTGCAAATCAAAAAATGAAATGTAAAACTTACAAATTTTGTATTATAAGACAAAGGATTCATTACACCGACATTGGAAGATGGAGCATTGGTAAAAACTTTATTGAAATTTGTTTCTCTATTCATTAATTCCATTTTAAGATATTTCTTCTCATCCTAAATAAACAATCAATGAATTCCTGATAAATAAAAATGACAATGAAAATAATCACATGAATCTTTTTTAATTGTTCTTGATAAGAAGCAATTGTTTGTTGGAGTGTAGTTATTAAATCTAAATCTTCTGTTCTTGATTCACGATTACGATATCGTTCGTCAGCTTGATCAAGTCTATGGTAGGAGGGGAAAAGGAAAATCACTTATTTTTACAAGCAAAAATATTTCTGTTAATTTACTTTAACTGAAGTTCGCCAATTCGTTGTTTAAGTAAGTCATGTGCTTTTGAAAATTCGTCTAATAGTTGTTTTTGTTCATTTTCATGGGTTCGTGTAAGATCACGAATTTTTTCTTCGTTCTCACTACGTAATCTATCGTCACGATGTCTGAAAAATACATAATTAAAATCGAATCAATTCATTTGGCTTTATAATTTGTTTTACTTGATCTCTTTTTGCGTTTCATTTCGAACACGTTGTAATTCTTTACTACGTAGTTCAACATCAGAACGTAATTGTTCAATTTGATCTTGCAGATCATTTAAATCTCTGAGACAATGATCAATACGTGATTGTTTTATATTAAGGTCACTTGTAAGATCTTCAATACGTATGTCAGCTTCACGTTCCTAAATTTAAATGTTAAGATACAACCAGAAGAAGAAACCATGATTTAACAAACTTTTATTTTATTTATTTCAAGAGCACGATCTAATTGAAGACGAATTGCAGCTAATTCTTTTCCGTGAGCTCGTTCTTTTTCTTCTAATTCATTTGAATGTGTTCGAGATATTTCTTTTCGTAATTGTTCTAAATATCGAAAATTGTGTAAATTTTAAATGAAATTTGATTAACCTTGATCATAGTTGTCTAGAGATGACGTGATTGGTTAGTATTAATCCTTTGCATTTAGAAAAAGAACACTTTTTTTCATATGTACTTTACGAAAGGGATTGTTGATATTTTTTTAGTGAGTCATTTTTTTTTGAAGAAGTCATACTTATCTTTCTTTTTCACTTGTAAATAAAGCTTCAAATATCTTTATTGTGTCACTGAGAGGTGACTTCAATTTGCTGTGTAATGGCATGTCGAATATATTAGGAGAGTATTCACATAGATATTTAATGTACTATAGGACTGTAATCATGAAATCTTCGGTTAGAACATAACAATTCAATGGAGACAATTTTAAGGTAAGTCATGAAAATTGCTTGTATGCATTAGCTGAGATATCTTCGAGTCTGAGCAAAGATTTGTATGTAGAGAAACGTCTTTCTTATCTAAGACCTTTCGATATCAATGATATTTTTTCTTCCAATTCTTGATTGGAATAGAAATCATTCTTTTAACTTTTTTAACAAACGATCAATCCTTGTGTTTGATTTCTACGTATCTATTTGTCGTTACCTATATTTGATTGTTGTTGAATGGTTTGTTTTTCGATTTCTAATGCTAATGCTCGTTCATGATCAGCACGAACTGCTTCTAAATGAGTATTATAAGCAAGCTGTTGACCACGTATATCTTCCATTTGTCGAGATTTTAATTCATTCATTTGATTCTATAAATATCATATTTTACTGGAGTGAGTTTAACATTCATAGAAACAAAAATCCTTACAATATGTTCTTTTCCTAACTGTAATTTTTGTTGAAGTAAATCTTCTTGATTTTTACCCTCCAGCCGTTGAATTTGTGTTGTTAAATCTTGAATGCGCATTTGAAATTCATTAATCGTACGACGTTTATCTTCATTAGCATTTTGCAGTGCCATTAAACTTTCTTCTTTAGATTTTTGTTGTATAGTGGCAAGTTGACTTTGTACTTTTTGTAACTAAAAATGATGTGCTTTCGACATAGAATATTGCGATAAGAAAAACTTTAAAAACTTTTATAGAAAGAATATACTTAAGATGATGGGAACAGTGACCATGGGTGTACAAAAAAACAGAACCGAGAATAAAAGAGCGAGTCAAGAACTTTTTGAATAGTTAATTTGACAACAGGGAATATTTCACTAACAGAAACTGGTTCAGTTTAAATAATCTTCTCAATATCTATAGGAAGTAAAGTAAGCTTAGTCATTGTTGAATATCGCTAATGTAGGATAGCGTCACTTGTCTGCACCTAGCATTTAATTGTTGCAAGCCGAAAAGGTCGACTTGCAATCCCATTGAAGTTTACGAACGGCATCGAGGTCAACTTTGAATATTATCAGCTGTTTTTTTTATCGGGATAAATTGAATTTTTGTAAAAAGAAGAATTTGCTTACTTGTTGTTCGAGTTGATCAATTTGATTTTGTGCCGACGTTAATTCTTTATCTTTTTGTCTTTGTAATTCATCAATTGCTTTCAATTTTTCTTCATTTTTTTGTTGAGTAAGTTCTCTTCGAATTTTTTCATAGTCAGATCTACACAAAACAAAATTGAATCCGCTGAAAATGAAATAGTTCTAGTCGCAGTTCGATCTCTTACTTGAATTTTTTCGACCATTTATCATTCAATTCTGATGTTAACTTTTCTAGTCTATCGTTTAATTCAGTTGTTGAATTGATTTCTAAATCATGACATTGCTGTTTTAAATCATTTGATTCAACCTATAGAAGAAGAAAAAAACATTCTCGTTCTGAAATATACTTATAATATTAAAAATATCAATACTTTAAATCGTTCAATTGTTTTTAATTGTTGTTCGACATCCAACTGAAGTTGTTCAATTTGTTTTTTAAATTCATAATTCAATGATTGAGCGTCGTGGAATTGTTTTTGAATAATTGAATATTCATTTTCATTATCGTTCAATTGTTGTTTTAATTCATCGATCTAAATAATGAGATAAATACTCTAAATTCAACTAAAGAACAATTGCTACTTGTTTAGTATAATTTTCTTTCAATTGATTTAATTGTTGGTTGACTTCTTTATGTTCAGTTTTAGTTAAATTAACTTCATTTGTCCATTGGGCAAGAAGATTTGATTTTTCAGTTTCAAATTCTTGACGAAGTTCCTAGAAAATGCAAAACAAACACAGAAAAAACCATACCGACAATGATAAACGGCAAGTCTAACTTTTTCCCTGAGCTGTAATTTTGTACGTGCTCGCGTTTGTTCATCGCTTGATAATTGTTGATAATGTTCAGTTAATCGATCAAGTTCATGTTGCATTTCTTCTTTACATAATGTAACTTGATTTTCATAAGTTTCACGTAGATCGGTTAATTCCCGATCATATTTCAACATAGTTTGTTGTTTTTCAACTGATAATTGATGAATTGTCTATAATGAGAAGAAAAATTAATTCGAAATGAGAAAAAAAAATCGAATAATACTTTATCCAATTCATGAATACGTTGTTCGAGATAATTTGTTGTTGATTCGGAATGAGACAATTGAGCATGTTTATCTTCTTCAATTTTTTGTAGACGTTGTTTTGTTAATTCTAATTCTTTACGACTATTTGTTAACTCATCTTCTAATTGTCGACTAGCAGAATCTTTATCTTTGATTAGTTCTATAATTGTAAACAAATTTATGTTTCTCAGATAAGAATAATGGAGAACCGCGGACTTTTAAAAATCTTTTTAATATCGACAACATAATATTCGTTGCAAAATCTCCCAAAAGTAGTCGTATCTCCACAAACAACATATCTTCTAATTGAGATTTGATGACAAGATACTAATATAGCAGAAGGAGAACAAGTCGTCTATCTTTTTTTGATGTTATGTAAGCAATTGAGACTCGTTTTTACTTTTAAAGGTATCATATTACAAGTGAAAATGAATGACTTTTTGAGAGCATAGAAACTTTGAAATGCATTAAATTAAAACTTTTGAATGCTACGCTTGTCTTTTGACGTGATGGAGAGATGCGTGTTATGCAAGCAGTAAGCTGTCTTAACATTCTTGTTATTGAAATCATAAACTATTAAATGTTCATGTAAATTTTTCAATTCGAATTTTCAAAACAAACTTTGTCAAAGTAAGACTACAAAATCAGAGAAGTTTATCAGATATGAGGAATTTTTGTGTGGAAAATTCACGAAAAACAGTTCATTAACTCTGTATTCGATGAGTCTTACTTCCAGATGTGTAGCTTGTATTAATTGTGGAAAATATGTCGAATTGTTAAATCTATGATTTATACTAGTAAGTAGCTGCAAGATAAAGACATTATCCTACTTTGTTTTCGGGGAGATACAAAATACTCGATAATTTATGATTTCCTTCTTGTCATTTAGTGTTCGGAAACTTCCATTACTATTCATAATCATTATCATCATCTTCAGCAACTAAATTTCTTACTTAATTTATCTTCGAGTTCAGTAGCTTGCCGATTAAATCGTTCTTTGACTGTAGTCATTTCACGATTAGTTTTGTCTAATTTCTTTTTTAATTCGTCATATTCATTACGTTGTTTCATTAACTAAATAGTTAATTAAATAAATAATCACATACATTTATTTTTAGTTTACCTGCTGATTAAGTTCACTCATATCATTAGAATTCGCATTAAAAATTAATTTATACTGTTCAAAGTCACTTTGTAACCTTTCATATTCATTGTTTTTTACATCGAATTGATTTTTCTGTTCATCAAATTCCAATTGAGATTTAAGTTTAATTTGTTCCATTTGATCTTGAAGCATTTGAATTTGTTTTTCTAATTGAGTTTTTTCCTTTTGGTATTCTTGTCCTAATTCAGCTTGTGTCATTTGTTGATTTTTTTGTTTCATTAATAAATCATTATGTTCACGTTTTAAATCTTCAATTGTCTGTAAATAAAATTTTGTTTGTGCTTCTGCTTCAATATCAAATAATTGTTTTAATTCAGATTTTAAATTCGAAATTTCTAATTCATGTCCTTCACGAATTTGTTCCAATGTTTGTTTTTGTTCTTTATTAATAGCCGATAAACGTTCATCATACGATTGTTTTATTACATTGATATTTTGTTTCATATTAGAAATTTTCTGACGAAAATCTTCAACTATTTCATGTTCATGTTCAATAGCTGTTTGTTGAACACGTAAGATTTCATTAGCTTGGTTTTGTCTATGAGATATATCAATATAGAATTGAGTTTTTTTTTTTTGTTTTAGAAAATCATTTTGAACAAGTTTACCGTTCACTTTCGAGCATTTGAATTTTACTTTCAAATAGAGAAGTTTGGGTATTTTTAATTGATGAAAGTTTTTCAACACGACAAAGTAAATCATCGATTCTAGATGATGCATTATTTGCTAAACTAGATTTTTCCTGTTCAAATGATTGTTTTAAATTAGCAACTATTGCGTCGTGTTCATCGGCTTTTGTATTTAATGCATAAATAACCTAAAAATGATGAAATTATGTTAATTAATCTATTAAAACGGTAAATTAGTTAATTGTCATGCTTTAGGTTTTGCTTTTTGACTCTATTATTTACTCAGTTGATATTCATATCGATGATTAGCATGTGAAAATCGTTACAATTATGCATATAAATTAGTTTAATTTTCATAAATGTGAACTATTTATAAGTTGAGACTTAAATAGTTATTGATATATATTTATGAATAATTAAATAATCATAAACAAGCGCAATTATCTTAGCGAAAAAATAATGCAAAATGGTATTTCATCGATTAGCAATTTCCTTATGTCAATAGCTCGTTTTATTTCAAGAAATATTTGCACTTAATACTACTACTCTACTATTAATCCCATACGACATCTTTTCGAAACGAAATTTATACAAGTGTATTTTAATTGTGAAATTATACACTTGAAAACTATTCACTCGACGATTATAACCTAGAACGAATTAAATAGAAAAGGAAAACGAATGAATGGTTTTTTCGTTATATGTCCAGCTGCGTCACACGCCGAACATTTTTAATAGGTTAAATGTTATTGTTTGTACTCTATCCTTGATTGAAGCATCTGTAATAGTAGAATGATTCTTTTGTATATTAGAAGAAAAAAAAACACACCGACAAATGTCAGTTACTCTATATATAACTTGAGAAAAATAATTATTTACGATATTTTCTATATAGTTTAGCTTATTTCTATCAGCATTATTATTCTCAAGTTAATATTTAATGAAAACCATTATGAATCTTCATTTCAAAATGGTAACATCCCTTAGACTTAATTGATTCTATTAGTGCATGAACACGTAAACACCTACTTTTTTTCTCCGATTGTTTATGCTAAAACGATATTAATTGACTTTCTTTTTGTTTTCTTCTAGCTCCGAGTACAATATATGTAAAGACATGAATTGTCTGTGGTGAATCTTTTTTTTAAAATTATTGCTATATTTCCAGTATCTCTTGAAAAATGATTTATACTGGTGTCTAAAAATCAACAATTATCATAACTGTCAGTAAGATTATTTTCTGATTACGTTCTTTTGCTATCAACTCATTATGCGTATGTCGAGAAGTGGGAAGTCGGGAACTACTATGACAACGAACTGTCAAAGATTGACGATAAAGTGATGTTTGTAATGATCAAATAAACAGAACTATCGTATAATGAAAAAAAAAACACACCCGAGAAAAAGAATTCAGTGTATATTAGTTGTCTATGCTGTTTGTATAAAGTGTAATAATATTTTTTTGTTTGTCTTTACTAACTTCAGTAAAACATATGGTCATATGAAAAAAGGGCACTGTTTTCTTTATTCAAATGTGATTAGCATGCTTGGGAAGGCCAAGCTAATCGATATACAATAAGCGAAATAAAGAATAAACCCTTCTATTGACATATAATATTTACTTTCATCGATATGGACACAGTATCTTTTTATTATTTTTCATTTTTTTTCTCGTTTTTATTCATCATTTCTTTCCTAGATTATTGTTCATGATCACTTTTGTAAAAAAAATAAAATGAAGAATCGAAGAGAACACACGTATGCAATGTGTATAACGGGTTGCATACCAAACCGCAATGTCTGTACATATAGAACATAAAACTATTGCCACACTGCATGCGCGCACAAGGTTTCAACATTTCTTTTACTTGTTCGTTACGCGTTCGATTGCTTTTTTTCTTCTCTCTCTCGCTCTTTCCGTGTATATGTACGTTTCTCTATACTCTTTTCTTTTATTCTCCTTCTCCTTCTTCTTCTTCTTTACGTATTACACACGAGACGTGCTGTAACCATTTTTTTGTCGCGCACTTTATGCATAGCCACTCTTGCCAGTAAATGATTTGTACACAATCTGACGCTGTAACATATATTCGAAAAAAACAAAAAAAAAAGAAAAACTCCAAACCGTACGTCATGCATGTTTAAATCACATACAGCTTATTATTTTTATTGATGTGTGTGCATAAAAAAAATATTATACATGTAGACAGTTTCTTTCCGTAGATATTTTTACTCTAGTACAAAGGCAAACAACAGAAATCCGAAAGAAGAAAAATATTTTTTTAGATTATTACAGTTATTTTTTTAATAAAATGGGTAATAAAGCGGGCGGCAAAGGGAAAAAAGATCCAGCGGTACTAACCGACGAAGATCTAAAAATGTTAAAAATAAATACACGATATACAGAAGAAGAAATTCAAGCATGGCATGCAGGTTTTCTTAAAGATTGTCCATCTGGTAAATTAGATAAAAAGCAATTTCTTAATGTTTATAAGGTATGTTATTTTTTTTACATGAAACGTTTTTATTTTATTCTATTGTTTTAGAAATTTTACCCAGAGGGCAAAGCTGACAAATATTGTAATTTTGTATTTAAAGCATTTGATACAGACAATAACAATTGGATTGATTTTACCGAATTCTTGTAAGAAAAAACAGACAAACACTGATTTATTCATTTTAATTATAATGAACTTCCTTTTTGATTTATTTCTTTTAAGGTTAGCTGTTGGTGTATCTCAGCATGGAAATCTCGAAGATAAATTAAAGATGGCTTTTGATATCTATGGTAGACTTATTAGTTTGTTTTACTTTTTTAAATTATTATTTTCTTTACTCAATTTAGATCAAAATAAAGATGGAGAAATAAATCGTAAAGATATGACCAAAATAATCGAAGCTATGTATGATTTAGCCAATGAAGAAGATCGTAGTGGGGAAAAAGCACCTGATCAACGAGTTGATCTTATTATGAAACGTTTAAATAAAGTTAAAACTGGTAAATAGTTCAGCCTATATATATATATATAACTATATTTTTGTATTCTATCTTTAGATGTTGTTCGTCGTAATGAATTTATAGAAGGATGTCTTCGAGACGAACTTTTACGCAAAATTCTCGCACCTAATACAGCTCTTGCCTCAGATGGGCAAGCATCAAATATAACAACTACGACTAGTGCTCCGATGCATACGACGACATCGATTAATGAAACGGGAGCAGCCGTTTAAACCGTTTACAGTACATGAACACTTCTTTTTCAAGCTTTGTTTTTACTACACAATGTATATGTTTGTTGAAGACGTGGTGCTCTTTTTTTCACTTATTTGCAAATAATAGATAAGAAAAGATATAAATAAAAGTCTTCCTTTCAAAAAACTTACTTTCGTCAATTGAGCAATCTTTTTTGCCATTTTTACATGCATTTCTTGTGTCAACGTTGTGTCTTCGTCCATATTTGGAATTGTTGTTGATGATGGACCTTGTTGTTGATGAAAAAATGAAGTCGAAGATGTATTTTGTGCATGAGGATTTTTTGTAAACATTTTAGTACTAGCCATGATTCGATTTATCTGAAAAAAATGTTGACAGATAAACACATGATTTACTAAATCAATCAACAGGTGAGGAGAAGCCATTGAATGGGTATTTTTAGAATAGTGTTGCGTAGTTTCCATGAAATATTGAGTTAATTATTAACTAGAAAAATGTATCAATATCAGTAAATCATGAAAATGCATTTTAGATAAAAATGATAAGAAATATTTTGTAATTTAAATTATTATTATGTTTCACGAATTGATGAAGCGCGACATCTAACTCGTAGATGCCATATAGATGCAGTATTCTTCTATGCAGATTGTCTCGTTTTAAAATTTGAGAAGTCATTTGAATACAGTGCAAAGTTGATTTTGTGATTTTTTTCAAATATCTAATTTTATCAAACTCTTAGATTTCATTTTTAACGAGTTCATACGCTATACACGTATCTTTACATCGATAATTCTGTTTTGTATGTTCGACAATGTAAAATAATATTTCAGACAACATTAATTCTGATGAAGGCTATGCCAATAATTTGGTAAGGTTTCTGTTCAAATTTGTAGAAGGATGATTTTGACAGAAAGTTCTATATATTTTTTCAATCAGAATCGCTTTCAATACAATTTTGTTTGTTAAATAGCAACATATATATTTCTTTTACTTCCACACAATTTATAATGAGAGTTCTTCTAAAAATCATTTTTATGGCAATATTAAGTGAAAAAATAAAAGATCAAATAATCTCTATTGCATAGAAATTAATTTCGAGGACTTTGTTTTAGATATTTTGTTGGTAACTGACCTAACATCGACGCAATCCACAGAACTACCTGTCGAGAGAATCTTAACTACAATTTAAAAAATGTTATTACTCGAAAGTCAGCTTTCTATAATATTGTCATAGTCGAAACTATTCGAAAGTTTCTTTCAGATAGCAGAATATTTATTCAAAATTTTCTAATATGTTATACAAAATAGCTAGAGATCATAGTTTACTGTTTGTAATATCTATAAAAGTATGAGTGTTTTCTATCACTTGTCTAGAGACCTTGACTAATAGCAGTTTCTGTTTTCGCATGATGATAAAAGCCATAATCATTTCGAATCTAAGCCAATATTTTTAATCGTTGCTAGAAGACACTATGTTGCCACGGAATCCTCAGCGGAATGGAGAATTTCGATCAGTTATCACTATTGTATCTAATATTCTAGTTTAACGCGCAAAAAAAACATTCTTAGTTAACTATTGCTGACTCAATGGCATTGTAATAATGTCTTGTCTCTAAAACATCTGATTTTGTCAAAATTAGTAAAATTCTTCTTCTAATTGATATAAAATATATCTCCGAAATAATTTTGTTAGAAAATATTTTCAAATGTAATCTATTTTTAGTTATGTTCTAAGCTATACTTACTACGAGTAATTTAGAAAAGTAGAGTTTACCTGCAGTGAATATTAATTTATACTTGGCTACTGAAAAATCACTCGAAACTTTTGTTTCTTCTGTAAACAAAATAGATTTATGTTAACATTATGTCGTACTTGACGCTTGACAAAAGTTCATACAGAAAAATTTGTTAGACTGATGTTCAATTCAGCATATTTGCATATGTTATATACATCATTCTAGCGCTGAAATATAGAAATATTTCGAAAAAATACGATAGAATATTCTCTATTCACTAATTTACAGTTAAATTGATGATGTTGTCTATAATCATATTAAACTTTCTTCCATGATTGGCAATAATGTAGAAAGAATTTGACGTATTGAATTACGATCTATAATAATACTTGATCTCATTCGGTCATGACTTTCTATCGTACCTAAAGATGAATTGATAACTAAGTATCGATACCGATTGAGTAAAATGGACAAAATTTGTAAGTGAATCACCATGAGGATATGAACACAGTTCCGTACATATTCACGAATATAACTACATGATACGATGAAGTCATGAGAGAAAAATGACTAATGAAAAGAACTAGGTATACCATAAAATGTAATATGACTGGTGTAAATGAGAGAGGACCATCTGCATACATACATGTAGCGTGTGAGTGTAGTTTATCTTAACTATTGTTTCTAGGGTTCTCTGTTGATGAGCTGTGAGAAGCAAGAAAAAGTTCTACAAAGGTTCAACTAAAAGAGTAAGTGGCAGTTTGGTTTGTCACGCCATATTTACGTAAACAAATGAAGATACAAGATCCTTCAGAATTATTAATACAATTATTTTTTCATGATCTGCCTAGGTGGTAGTCTTTTTGTGTACTCAAAAAGTGAGTACACTCTAGAATCGGTCAGTGTGTGCGTCCGTCCGTTTACACGATAACTTTCGAAAGGAGAGTTAGATCATGATGAAATTTTCTACACAGTTCAGCCTCATCAATGTCTCAGTCGAGTTCGAAGATGAGAAGGATCCGTCAAGAAATGGTTGAGTTATCGAAAAAATTGTCATTATTGACC